AGACTCTTGTTGGAGATTTTTATAATTTTAAACAAATATCAATTTACTCTGACATCTGTTTTACTAACAGCCGTGAAGCTCTAACTCTTCTTCTGGTTTCAGTTCCTTTTTTGCTTTTTGCTTCCTCTATTCACTGGCTCACAAACGCTGAGGTCTGGGGTACAATTTTCTCAAAACTGTATCCATTGGTGTCAATTTGTGCTGTGAATTTGGGGGAAAAAAAGATCAGAATAATGTGATTCAGATTGAGGATAATTTGAGGTTAGCGAGGCTGTAGGATTGAGGAGAGTGCTCATAATCTGGCCTGACACTCTAATGCCATGTTGCATTGCTGAAGGCAATACTGTATTTCAGCTGAGGTATTAAACGGTGCTCTCACCTGCCTGTTCCTGTGGATATTAAAGAACTGTGGCACTATAGAGAAGAGCGAGGACTTCTGGTTCTTGGAATATATATCTCTTTCTTCAAAATCTGATAACCTCTCCCACCCCAAAAAAAAACTGTTCCGCTCCAGCCTTTTGCATTTCCCTCATGCCCTCGTTCCACCATCGCTGGCTGCGCTTTCAGCCACTACGCCCCGAAACTCTGGAACACTCTCCCTCAATCCCACCAACTTGCTCCCTCCTTCCCCATCTTCAGATCGCGGCTGAAGACCTTCCTCTTCAACCATGCTTACCGTCACCTCCCCCTCCCCCTGGCTTGGCATCGTGCTCAGCCATTATAAAGCACTCTGGGATGCTTCCTTCCACGAAGGGCACTGTATAAATGGAAGTTGTTGTTGTTGCCTTTCATCTCATTGCTGTTTATGAGATGAACCTGCAGCAGATTAACAGCTACAACTATCAACATAATAGTCTAATTTGTCTGCAGTATTTAGTATTTTATATACTTTGATGTTCCCTTTTAACCACATTCTTTCCAGCCTCTAAAGCTTAACTTTCTCTAATTTTTCTTCATAGCACATTCTCATTACGCTTTGAATCAGGCTGAATGCTACTCTCTGCAACTTATTTCAGGCGAACCTTTTGTTATTTTCAGTCTCTAAGTTCTCTCTCCCCTGCTGAGCCGTTTGTGTGTTGTAAGGAAGCAGGCCTTCACTGCACTGACTCCTCTGTGCGTCAGCACCGGTGGGACTGAGTCTCACAGGAAACCACAACTACAGATGCAGGCACCGAATCGTGAAAGTCTTGCATCTTTCACAACCAGAACGCTCGGAACCCAGGGGGCTGACTAGCGGGTGATGTGGGACCACTTGGCAAGAGTGAGGAGGTCAGGACAGGTGTGACCGTGACTCCTGTCAGAAAACTGAACTCTCGACTGATCTACTTCAGGTTACTGTTGATCTCACCCTCCCTTTGCTGACACAAAATGCTGTCTCCCTCCCTCGCGTAGAGAGCTTTAAGGTGAAGGATCCCTCCTCACGCCGTTCTCCTGGGTTCGCTTTAAAAAAAAGTAGGCTATTAATCTTGGAAGACCATGAACTCCCTGTAGTTCAGGCTCGATGGGCTGAATGGTCTCCTCCTGTTCTTGTTTTCCTGTCTACCCACGCATTGAATAGATTGGGTGGAACTGTCATAAACTCTGTTGCTAACCTCCAACTACAGAAACGTTTGGGTGTGGGTGTACATGTGGGAACTTATATTGGGATAGCTTGGAAGTCAGAGGAAGGAGTGGACATCACACATCAGTGCAGAGAACTGGTGCGATTGCGACTCCCATCTGGAATCTGAACTCAAGACTGATCTACATCAGGATCCTGTTGGTTTTTCCTTTCATTTTTATTGTAGAGAAAACATCTGGACAGATAAAACGTTCCAGTGCACATGTGTCTTGTTTAGAGTTTCACCTGTCTGTGTGTCTGAGTTAAAATTGGAAAAAAATCTGAAATTATCTACTACTTTCAGGGACCTCTGAAGGCAGGGATGGCAATCCACAATCTTAGTTCAGTGTGTCAATGAAATGGTTTTAAAATGAAGATGGACACTTCATGGGATGTTCTCCCGAGGTGAAAGGCACTATATAAATACAATTTGTTGTTGTTGTGATTGTTGCCACTATCTGTGCGCTTGCCTTTCAGAACTCGCATCCATCAGAAGCACCTTGGGGTATACCAGGGTGGGAAGGGGGAGAATAAGCAGTGGCGGGGTTTGTGTCACCGCACAGATTCCGATCAGTGCTCTGAATACAACAGTGTCAGCACCCCACTGTCATCTTTCATACCAGTGTGTGAAGTGTTACAGAAATACAGCCGCCCCCATCAAGCTAAAACAAGCTACATAGATATGACCCAAGTGCCTCAGCAAACAACGCCTGGGCCTCTCTTTCATTCCCCCAAACCGTGCTTGTTTTTTGTGGTTACTGTGCATAATCGACAATTTATCTTTCTTGTCACAATTTCTGTTAGTTTTGCTATCCCCACATTAAAGATACCCGCAGTGGGAGTGCTTGATATGACAGTACAGAGGGAGCTTTACTCTGCACCTGAACTGCTCTGTACCTGAATGTGTGGAGCTAGATGTAAAGCATTATTACTGTGCACCTATGCAATAATATTTCTTTTCTCCAACTCAGTAGTGGGCACCGCAGATTTTGTGTGATATTTCCACACCAGCTTCTGAATTCTTTTGACATTTAACGTTTGACCTTTACAGTTGGTGCCAAATTCTGGGCAACGTTGGGTCCGTTCGTTGAAAAGCTTAGAGGTCACTTCAAATTTAGGTAATCGTGTAGCATCCCTAGAGAAGAATGTATTTCAGAATGGACTGGATGCAGAGTCAGGGATGAAGGGATCAATAGAATGCAGCGATTAAAACCACAAAGTGCATAGACCTGACCTGAGGAGTCAGCACTGTGATCACAGCAGTAAGATGTTTTATCAGTTACCTACACATTGTGGGATCTCTGCAGTAATCATGTTTACTGGCATGGAAATGTGAGGCAGAGAGATGTACAAATGGTGGCAAAACATGCAGTTTCTTATCACCTGCACAAGCCCAAAGTCAGACCAAGAGATTACCACAACAACAACAAATTGCATTTATATAGTGTCATTCTTATCACGAGGGAGTCCCAGGGTACTAGACATTGAGGGGTTTGCACCTGAGCAGCAGGTGGGATCAGAGAGGTGGAGAGAGATGGGAGTGGAGGAGGGAAGATGACCAAAGGCACGGTTGAAATGGAAGGTTGAAAAGATGGGTCTTGAAGCCAGCAAGGGAGGGGACGAGGCGGAGGGGCTCCGGGATGGAGTTCCAGAGGGTGGGGGCAGAATGTTGAAGGCCCGACCGATGATGAGGAGCAGGCAGGGCAGGAGATGAGGACCAGGCCAGTGCCTGCAAAGGGGAGAGACCAAACGTGCAGTCATGCCCCAGTCAAGCCTTACTGTAAATATCAACATTGCTGGCCTAATTGAAGGATGAGGAAGCAGAGACTAAAGTCCATAGCAAGTAAGTCAGTTTTACAAATTTTGTTCAAAAACCATAGCCTGTGAGAAGTTCCACAGAGCCTCTTGTCTAAACAGCTGGAAATGTGACTCCACTCTTTTTAACTGTAACTACGCATGTCTCAGACAATTCCTATTGGTGGGGCATTTTGCAAATTCAAAATGTAATTTTTCAGCATTTTCTGAACTTCTATCGGTCTTTCTCAGACCAGGGTTAAGATTGTTTTACGATACTTTTTACTTTCTGCTTTACATCTCTACAGAGTGGCAGCCAGGACCTTTCGAAACTGCTGCAAAGGTGTATTCCCCCAAACACGTTCCATTTATTTTTTAAAATGCAGTGATCATCAGTTTGCATTCCCAAACCACTATTTCTTGTTTTACCTTGGCCGGACAGTTATTTTTGAAAGGGGTTAGGTGACACAGCAAGTGAATTCATGTCATTCAGAAAAATAAGGAGATACAAGAAATCTTTTCTGATGGGTCTCTCTCTCTCTTGCTCACACCTCCATTAAGCAAATCAGGACCTGCTGCACATTCCTTGCTTCCGCTATCCCAACAAACCTTCAGCTTTAACTCTCTGAAATCCCCTTCCTAAATGCCTCTGCCTTGGCCCTTTATATCTGTTGTTCAAAGCCACCTGAAAACTTATTTTTCAACCATCCCTATGGTCCAACCCTTCCTGCTCTGTGTCTGGCGACATCTCTGTAAACTCCTTTGAAATGTTACCCCATGTGAAACGTGTTATATAAATCCAGTTCACCTTCAAAGCCCCTCCTTACCTCTGTGACCTCCTAACCCCCTACCAACCTGCCCATTCCCTCCAGGCTCAGTGGGCTTTTTGCCCTGCTTCAGATCCCCCACCTCGCCTGCCCTACCATTGGCCGGTGGGCCTTATGCCATTCTGCCCCAAACCCTCTGAAATTCCATCCCGCACTTCCTTCGCCTCAACCTCTCCCTTGCCTCCTTCAAGACCCATCTCAAGACCCTCCTCTTCAACCGTGCTTCAATCACCCTCTTTCTCCCCCTGCCCTGCACCCTCCCAATCCTAATCCCCAGCTCGGGTCCAAAACATTGACTGTCCAGCGCCTTGAGGCGTTCTTCCGATGTGAAAGGCGCTATACAAATGTGATTTTGTTGTTGTTGCTGTTGTAATGTGTCACAATTGCTGTCTCCAGTGAAACTCTGGAAGTAGCTCCAGGCTGATGTGAGCCCGCAGGGAGTTGTGTGGCACTCCATATTATTCACTTATTTACCTTCAGGCTCAGCCTTTGGTTACGTAAATAACCATAGAGTGAACCTAAACTGGTCAAACTAGGGTATGGAATGCGTAATAAGTCAGCTCACACTCACTCCCTTTCAAACCATGCAAGAACCAAAAGGTCTGGGAAGCAAGGAGTTAGAGTAGGGGACAGTAGGAAAAGTGAACAAGTATGTGCACAATGGCTTTAATGGAGCTGTAGCACCAATTAATGATGGGCGTATGCTTTGACGTGAGGGAAATTAAAATCTGTCTAAAGTACATTTTCTATCTCATTTCTGTTTCTCTTTTATCTTTCAGTTATCAAAACTGCGTCTACACATACAGGATCCTTCCGAATGAGGAAAAAAAGTTGACTGTTCAGGTAAGCAACTGTAAATCCATGAGATTTTCTCATGTACTTTGGTCTTGTGAACCCAGAAGAAAACCAAGCCATGGCAAGATTGGGGGGGGAGGCAAGCACATGGTTAAGTGTTGGCTGCACTCCCAGCCATTGCAGGTAATGCCTTGTCACTGTAGCCTTTTAAAAAAAGAACTGGCAAAAGATCTGTTCAAGAACCGTATTGGCATATAAAGAGAGGCAGGGATCATGGAAATACATAATGGAACTTTTTTTTATTGGTGTATCTAATTTGTTTTAATGTTTGCCCAGCTGGCATGTGCCTTTCTCTTCCTAGTCCCCATCATGCTTTTGCTGGGCTGTGTTGCTACCTGTGCTAGTTGCCCTACAATATCCCACCCAACCAGCTGTTCAACTGTGAGGGAGTCACAACTAACTGCCTTACGCACAAACTACCAGTAGAGGGTGATGGAGTGGGATGAGAAGCAGCAACCCTGTCCGGTTTTATCCTCCCTAACCCAAGGAAACTGGGGTCCAATTTAGTTTGTGAGATGCCATACTGCCATCACACAAACAAGCCAGCATTGTTGGGAGTTTATGGTCCATATAACACGTGTTCACATTTGGGGGAGAAAATTCTACCAACCTCCACTCCTCCCTGAGATATTTCACATTAATAATCATTGCAGTTCACATTTCCTTGCATTGCAACCTGTGCTCTTGTAATGAACATTTTTGCTGCCACTTACAATTTGCAAAGGACACCTAAGCTCTCGCCTCCAAGAATCAGATATGTTAGTGCCTTTGTAGGATGCGACAAATTTGCATAAAATTGGGCTAAATTACCATACGTTACTGAACCCTGCAAAGTCCTGTAAATAGTTCAAAAGCAATAATATGATATTGTGTTGAGGGCAGCAATGACTGAAGGTAATAACTGGCAGAGGGTTTGGGCAGGTGTGAGGGGCAAATGGCTAAGGCGCTCAGAGGAAGAGAGACTGAACAAGCATGACTGAGAAAGAGTTGTTAATGGAGCAGAGAGTGCAAGGTTGCTATGAGCTGTTTGTTTTCTTTAGCCTGCTCCATAGGCCATTTGTTGTCATGGTGCAACATGAAAATGGGAGGGTGCCATTGGAGCTGCATTTGATTACCCCAAGGGCTGGATATTCCTGCTGAAGAGTGCTAATCATATGTAATTGGCAGAAGCGCTTTGAGACGTCTCAAAGATGTGAAAATGCGCTATAACAAATACAAGCATTATTATTAGTGTTATTAGTGACGTGTGAATGTTCAAAGTGCCTGCCCTGGAGGCTAGTGTGGGTGGGTGCACTCAGACAGCTGTTTCTACTGGTGCCTTAGCATTCTGAGGAAGTAGATAAGCAGCCTGACCGAGGAGCTGAACATAAGCACACACTGAAGAGGAAGAGGTTTATGTGGCCAATTCCTGTACAACAATCCAACATTCTGTAACTGTATAAGTTTCCATTACCATCAAGCAAATGCCCTCATTTGCATTTCATATATATCTGTGTGCAATGCGTTTTCAGCCAGTAGCTTTCCTCTCTGTTTTGAGGTTGAAGAGGGTTTATTGACCAGAGGGTTTCTCTACACAACAATGGTAACAGAGACTGGGCTCTGTGTTTGAATCTCAGAAGTCTTTGCCCCCCAACCTTTCCTGTCCAGTTCCATTGAAGTTATTTAGGTGGAAATTGAAGGAAAATTATGCCTGGAATGAAACAACATGGTTGCTTAGCTCCCGAGAGCAGCAACTGTGGAAGAGGTGCCTGGCAACTGAAAGATTCCAAATGTGGTTGCCTCAAAGTGTTATCACTTAGTTTGAACCAGCATGAGATTGTGATGCCAATAAATAAAAGGAGATTTGATGAGTGTGACGTAGGTAGGGAAGAGACCTGGAGAAAGAGAGGATTACTGCATTGCTGAAGAGAGACACAGGGTTTCACAAGATGTGGGCAGAGTGTGCACTGGAGCCATTTATGCCCCTTTCACTGTAATTGCAGAGTGCAGTGATTGCCCGAGTGATGCAGAGTCACTCACTCAATGATTGTACAGTGATACAATATCTGCCAGTGAGTGATTGTACAGGGTGTCCACCAAGTCCTCTAACCACGCTCCCACCTCAATAGCAACTTGAGACTATGGAGGAGCTGAAACAAGCTGTCAGAGATGTATTTCGCCTCCTCACTCTATCAGTGGGCATGTTGTACCAAACACGACAATGCATCATTATCTGCCATGAAAATGATGGCACTCACACTGTGCACTGTAGAAAAAAAAGGGGGGTAACATGACTTTGTGGACATCCTGTAAATTTTAGAGTGTCAGTGAATGGTTCACTCTGAATGATTGAGATTATGGGAGTGACGTGCATCAGGGCTTGTAAACAGTCAGCATCAGCCTGAGAGGACATACTGCCAAAAGGGATGAAAGTTGTTGTAAGATCTCCATTTTTGCTGACCGTTTTTTGTAGTTTGATTATTTTGTTATTTTTCCGTTCCTCATTTCAGCAACCACAGCGGTGCGGTGAGATCTAAAATTAAATTTTAGTGTAGGTGTAACGCACGCTGTCTCCTGCAAACGTTATTCCAGCCCCCCACCTATAGCGTTCACTTTACAGCTAGATGAGAGGTCTCTGTGGTTACCACATGTGGGTCCAGAAATAGAAGAAATGACCATTGCTTATGTTGATACGGTTCCGTTAGGCCTCAGACCTGCAACAAGGATAAGAATGTAAATCAAGCAATATTTTAGGATATAGAGACAGAGGGGTAAAGTAAGGGTATAATAATGAAGTGGTAGAAAGTACGAGCTGGCCAACCAGTAGTCTTGTGTGCAGTTGTGGTGTCTGTTTTGTAAAAAAGGGAACTTTCTGATATTGGAGACGTTATAGCTAAGGTAAATTGATGTACAGGATTAGGGGGAAAAACTGGAAATCCATCTTTATAAAATGTTATTTGAAAAAAGTGAATCCCACTTTTGGAAAATACTCAGGCTGGTCAGTGTTCAATTCACTCCTTCAGTTAGAGCTGCTGCACTTTAAATATTTGGCTCAATAGCTTTATTTTTTTGTAACTTGTGAAAGGAAAATCTCATTTCCTGTAAAATATCTCATTTCATTGGCTATTACATCAGAATATGTGGAAAGATCTACAATATCCCTGCTGTTTGTTTCCAGGCCTCGGAAGGAATCAAAGTGAAGTATTTTTCGAAGCTGACTGAACTGATTGACTATTACATGAAGCAAAACATGGGGCTGGTGACCCACCTGAAGCATCCAGTGGAGCGAGATGAAGAGGTGGACCTGGAGTATGAGGAAATTGGTAAAAAAACACTACTCTTTTTATTCAGACTGCACTTATTATAAATATCAGATTAAAATAGCGTACTGGATCCACCTGATATGAATTACATCGCCCAGTGTGGTGCTGAGCCACATAGATCTGGAAAGTCCCAGGTTCACTTCCTGTTCTGGATTGAACTTGTTGAGCTCTGGTTGAAGTGCTGCTACATCTTGAATTAAATAACATATTGTGAAAATGGCAGGAAGGGCATTTATCAGCTCCTTACTCCACACGCTTCTGTTTACCTAGCAGTAAGTAGGAACCCAATTGTTAGTCGATTGGCAAATTGCTTTCCCGGGGTAATAAAATAATTTGATCACTCAATCCATGGCAGTTTGTGAGACTGCTGTGAGCAATTGGCTGCCGTATTTCACCCACAAAATATGCCGTCAATTCACTTTACAGTATACAATATGTTAAAAGGCTATAACAAATGCAAAGATTATTATTGTACAACCGGAGATTCATCTGTCTTAACCGCAACCAACACCTCAACCCGAGCTCAACAAGTTCAGTGCAGAACAGGAAGTGAAACTGGAACTTTCCGGATCCAAGTAGCTCAGTATCACACTGGGTGATATTCGACAATGCCTGAATTTGGGATGGGAAAAAAATCAACCTGATCACTATCGAGCATCCTCTGCTAGAGAGTGCAGGTTTGTGGTCTTTGAGTTTGTTGAGCTAGTTGGCTGTGGAGTACTTACCTGTTCAGTCTGTTAGAATGAGAAATATTATTGCTTAAGATATTATTTTCATTCAATTAAAAATCCTTATGCAATTGTTAGTCAGTGTTGGATTGACTTGCACACAAAAAGCTTAATCAGTGTCAGCTAAATTGTAGAGTTTATGTCTAAGCATGTTGGATATTATGAGGTAGTAATTTCCTACAGTTGAATGTGAACAAGACCGAGGCCCTCCTGATTGGCTCGTGCCAGCGCCTCTGCACCTCAGGCTCTGGCAGTGTCAACCTCCATGGTTGCACACTTCAACTCACCAAGCCAGTCAGGAACTTAGGTGTCTTGTTCAACCCTCAACTGTCTTTTCTTCCCCACATCCAAGCCATGACCCGCTCTGCCTTCCCTCAACTCTGTAACATCGCCCGACTCCTCCACTACCTCACCCCTCTGAAACTCTTGTTCATGCCTTCATCACTTCCAGGCTCGACTATGCAAACGTCTTGCTTGTTGGCCTTCCCAACTCCTCCCTCCACAGGCTGCAGATAATCCAGAACTTTGCAGCCCATGTCCTCTCCCGCACCAAACTCCGTGATCCTATCTCCCCTACTCTCGCCCGACTCCATTGGCTCCCTATCCTTCAGAGGATCTAGTTCAAGATCCTGGTTCTCACATACAAAGCCCTCCATGGCCTCTCCCCACCCTATCTCTGTGACCTCCTAACCCCCTACCAACCCGCCCGCTCCCTCCGCTCAACCGGCTCCGGCCTGTTCCACGTCCCCCAACCCACCTACCCCACCATTGGTGGGAGAGCCTTCAGCCACTCTGCCCCCAACCTCTGGAATTCCATCCCCCAGTCACTCCACCTCACCCCTTCCTTAGTCTCCTTCAAGTCCCGCCTCATGACCCTCCTCTTCGACTATGCCATCGGCCACCCCACCTTCCCCGCCCTTCCCTTCTCCCCCCCTGACCCCAGCTCGGGTCTGAAATGCTGTACACTGTCCAGCGCCTTGAGACATCCTCCCGACGTGAAAGATGCTATACAAATGTAATGTTGTTGTTGTAGTTTGTATAACTTTAGATGAAATGTTACGTGGAAATATCAACATTGATATTAACAGTTAAATTGATTCAGAAGTAAGAAATGTGTTTATTACAGCTGCAGCTCTCTTGTTTGTTGATGTAACAGTCCTACATTGTATTAAGACAAATTAGTTTATAGGTACCATTCTCAAGGACAGTCCCAGCTTCTTTAAACCAACCAGAAAACTATCAGCTAGGTGGGGACATGCAGATTCGCAAGGACCATCCTGATGTTTAAAAAAAAGTACAATTATAAAAGAGGTTGAGCTAAGCTACACTTTCTTGAGTCAGAAATGCTTACTTGAATGGTCTGTTCGAGTTAGTGAGAGAGGGACTGCGTTTTTTGCTCCTCCGCTTTAAAAAAGACAGAACTTCTATTCCAGCAATTCTATCAACATTGTAAAAAAGTAAAAGAGAAGAACAGAAGAAATGCAATGATACGAGAATAAAGCTGCAACACAACCGCTAGGGATTCTCGACTCGAGAATCCATTCTCGACAACTCAAATGTCACCAGACTTATCCTAGGGGTTAGTAGCAGTATCTAATGGCTTCTTATTTCAAAATATTCCTTCAGACCCATTGGAGGCCCGGGTGCCTATTCCCCCTCGAAATTTTCCAAGTCCTGACGTCAAAGAGGCTTTGAGTGATTCTTCCCCAAAGCACGGCAGTGAAAGTACAAAACCACTGCTGTCCGACGTACTCATTCAACGCTTCCAACAGATTGACACAAGCATGTGAGTATAGTATGGTGTGTGACTGAGTCCAGGGGATTTTACTGTGAGTGATGTTTTGGGGAAGAAAACACATGCTCGCGTCCCCATTTTTGTTTCAGTTCTTTTAGCCTCCTTCCCTTCCTCTCTCTAGGTTGTGATTCCAGGTCAACCACATACATACGCGTACTGTTTCACCTCTGTCGTCAGGGAGATTTCAAATGCAGAACCAAACAGTTCTCCCATAGAACTGAGTTATTCTAGACCATGAATTGGAATTAGCCCCATTGTTCCTGGACCAAGCTAAGAAAAGTGTTCCACAGAGATCTCACCCCTATCCAGTGAACCCTGCTGAAAAGTAACCACCAGCCCCCCCCACACCACTATCGAAGGCTAAGGCTTCAGTTATTATGCCTCTCTCCCTCCATCTTTCCCCCTGCTCTGCTCTATTTTTAAATCCCAACTTAAAATCCAGACATTGGCCTATGTGAAGGGTGCTACATAAATGCAAGTTGTTGTTGAGTCATTCACAGAAATTCTTACGAAAAGCTGGGTAGTTCTATGGATAGTTTGGGGGTTTTATTCCCCATGGCTGTATTTCCTATACAGTTTGAGTCCCCGATGCTGATGTTCGAAGCTAAGAAATGAGTGGTAAGAGCTTTCTCAAACCTGGCTTTGCCAGACAATCAGGAGCCCAGATCTTATGACAATCACCGAGCCTGCCCTGGCGGCCCAGCCCTGTGTCCACAAAACTGCCCACAAAACAAATGGTCTCAGCAATAACAACTTGCATTCACATAGCGCCTCTCGTGCAAGGTAACGTCCCAGAGCGCTTTCACTTTCAGGAAGCTTTGCTTGAAGTGTGCAACATGTGGGAGAACGGTTTGTTTATTGGGAATGTTTTAGATAAAGGGAGTGTTCTTTCCCCCTCCCCTCTTCTAGATAGGGGGGGAGAGAAGTTATTCTGTTTTAGAGGTTTGCCCTCTGCCTGTATACAATTGTGGGTTTGCGCTGCAGTGAGTTTTACATCCTGTTTTCCAGTGTTCCCCGTGAATACATGAATGATCTTGAAAATTACCTGCGCATTCATGTAGTGACTGATGCTGAGGCAGTGCGGGCTGGAAACACCAACCTGCCTCAGCTGAAGAAGCTGCTCTGCACCATCTGCAAAGGACTCAGCAGGTACAGTGCCAGTCACTCTCGACACTCATCCTTCACAGCACATGCACTGCTTTAACATAGTGCACAAAACTCTCACACGGCACTTATTACTATGTACAGGACCGTCTGGTTGTAACCTGATGATCCGGGGCCATAAATTCAGACGACTTTGTTTAAAAAAAAGGTGAAGAAAAATGGCCACTATCCAGGTCATCGGGTTGTCATGAACTGTCGCTGACTGATGTCACATCCTTCACTGAAATGACGTCAGCTTCATGGTGCAGGAAGCAAGTGTCAGATCCACTCGTATCTCTGGATTTGCAGGAAATCAGCAAAGGTTCAGACATGTTTGAGAATTAGCCTCATGGACCCCGACTGGCAAATCTCCGACTCTGTTTCACTATTGCAGTCTGTGACTCCAGGCCCTTGTCATTAGGGCATAGTTTAACTCTATGCTGGTGCCTATTCTAATGCCTGATTTTGGGGTGTGTTTCAGTGAGCTGAACCGGACTATGCCGATGCTGGAATCTGTGCAGAAGCTATTTGACCAGCAGCTCAGTGGACGGACACGCACTCAGGTCAGGTATAGGTATAACGTACAAAATCAGCAATTCAGAAAAACATTTCTTTCCAAAATCCTCTAAAGGTTTTAGTTAAATTAGGTGCAACAAATGACCACCCGAACCCGAGGCTCACAACGTCTAGTTTTCTCCCCACGGGCACATGCCTCTCTGCTACTAGTTTGACCTCCTCTTGCTGGGTGCTGTTCCACAGTGCCCACCAGTGCCCCACCCAAGTAGCCATTGTCCATGTGTAACATTGAGCGTCAGTGGCCTCCCAACTATAGAAAGCATCAAGCCTGATCTCTCACCACCCAGCTACCTCATTAACTCCCTAGGATTGCCAACATTTCTCAATTGCAGCATTTGCACTTGCACTTTGTTATGGCCACAAAATACACAGTCAATCCACTTTACACTATATTCTGTGAAGAACCTTGAGACATCTTAACGACCTGATAAAGTGCTATATCAAATGCAAGCAGTATTATAAATGAAAAGTGCAAATGCTGCAATTAAGTTGACAATCCTAGGGAGTTCATATCTGCAGTTTTGAGTCAAGAGGTAGAAGCTAACTGTATTTCTATGTTTTCTTACAGATTTCCAATGAAACCAGTGCCAGCCTGATCATACCAAAACTCATGGAACTGACCAGTTGCCTCTCATCAATTGAAGATCTGGTATGTCTACCTATTTGTTTATTGAATAATGAGTTATCAGGACACTGTAAATATTGAATTCAAGGAGTGAGTTATTCTATTGTCATTTCACCCACATTTGACAACATAAATCAAGGTCCATTGATGTCCTGACCACGTGCCTTTTAGACATCAAGTCCTGGATAAGCCTCAACTTTCTTTAGCTAAACAAAGACAAGATAGTAACCATTCTCCTCAGCTCCCACCATTATCTTTAGCTTCATGCATCTGGCTCCCATCTTCTCCACTTTCCCACCTCTTTCTCCAACTCACTAAACCAGTACATAACCTTAGAGTCCAGTTCATCCCTCAACTCATTTTCCTCCCTCACACCCGGTCTAAGACTAAGACTGCTTTACTGCATCGCCATATCACCTGCCTGCGTCCCTATTTCACGCCCAATGCTGCTGAAACCTTCATTCAACAACAACAACTTGCAGGATAGCTTCTTAGAGCGCTTAACAGTGGCAGAGCCTGACTCCGAGCCTGGGGAGGTGGTCGAACAGGAAAGTTTTCAGGCGGGACTTGAAAGAGGGGAAAAAGGGGGCAAGGCGGAGGGATTGAGGAAAAGTTTTCCAGAGTTTATGCCTTCATCACGCCTAAACTTGACTTCTCAAATGAGCTCCTCACTGTTCTTCACCATCCACAAGCTCCAGCTCATTCAAAACTTAGCTGTCTGCATCCTTACCCATACAAACTTCATATGCTCATCACCCCAGTCCTTGCGAGGTTCCACTGGCTACCAGACCTCCAATGGATACTTTCCCCACCAAAGATCCTTACTCTCCCCTCCAAATCCTTTTATACTCAAGCTCCTCCCTACCTCTGTGATCTTCTCCAGCTTTAATCTTCTGCTCGCTCTCTGTGCTCAGCAAACTCAATAATAGTAATAATCGTTGCATTTATAATAATCTTTCCTTGCATTTGATATAGTGCTTTTCCCATCTTCTAGATGTCTCAAAGCACTTCACAGAATGTACTGTAAAGTGAATTGCCTATATATTCGTGGGCGTTTGATGTAGAACCTTCACATCAAAACATCTCAAAGAGTTTCACAAGATTTACTAAAAATGTACAGACTGTGTATTTTGGAAAAATGAACTTACAGCATTGAATGGACTGAAATGAAAGTGGATTCTAATTCTAATCTGTAAATACTCTGTGTAGGTGAAACATTTCCTGTCCGATTGCTCAGGATCAGGAGGCCAGCGTCGACGTTCTGAGATTCCTCCTGTTACGTTCGAGGTGGGTGCTTTTCATGAACCAGTAAAAGGCTACTTTGAATGGATGTGAGATCTGCACTTCCATTTTATGGTCAGCCAGCTATCTGACACATGCAGTCACCTATGACCATGCTTCAGAGTATTCAAACCAGACTGAGACGTGCATATATCTATGGCACTTATGCATAGAAATTTCTCTGTACCTGGAGGGATGCACCCTGCTTACCTAATTCTGGAGAGCATTTGGTGCAGGTAGGCAGGAGCCAAGGCTTGGGTTTGTGTGTTTGGTGTGCTGGAGTTTAACCAGCCAAAACCTTGCCATTGAATCTGAGCCTGGTTTTGAAATATTGACCTACAACAATATGCAAAAGAAGCAAAGCCTGTTTCTTAGATTGAATGGAATGCCAGGAAACACGGAGCAAAATGAGGCTTCAGTCAGTAACTCCACAAGTTCACGGGCACTGAGTGTGAATGTGTTTGAGATCACACTCCAGCATCTGCGTCCTTCCTGCTAATATATTGACTGCGGTATGAAGCATTACACACAGTGAGAGAGCTGGTGAATGAAAAATGCAGGGCAGATTTGCAGTGGCGTTAAAGAGACCTTATAATAATAAAAAAATCCTTGTGTTTGATATAGCGTGATATCATTGAGACATCTCAAAGTGCATCGTAGGATTTTACAGTGATCTATCATGACAATGTATTGGTATGAAATGATGTCCAATTTTATTTGGGGGATTGTTAGCTAGGATACTGGAAGGAATTCCCTTTTTTTGAATAATGCAAAGCAAAGCAACTATTTAACTCAAACCTCAACAAATAGCACTGATTAACAGGCTGACCCTCTGCACATGTAATAATAATAATTCTTGCATTTGAAATAGCACTTTTCACGTCTTCTAGCCATCTCAAAGCCCTTTACAGAATATACTATAAAGTGAATTGACTATTTCTGGGCAAATTGCAGCAGCCAATTGCACATGGCAGTGTCCCACAAACAGTCATGGATTGAGCAACCAAATTATTATTGTTTTTTTTCAAGGGAGTATTATCCCCGGAAAAGCGATCCGCCAATCGACTAACAACCAGGTTCCTACTTACTGTTCAGTAAACAGAGGTGTTTGTAGGTGTATATATAATATGTGTGCTATCTATTTATTTTAAGCGCTAGTGGATCTGTTCATCAAGTTAACATACGAGAACGTGTATACTCTAGTCCTAAGGTATGATTCTTTGTTCTTTTTTAGGTAAAATCGGATGGTTTAGGAATTTCAACAAAAATATTTCTGAAAGTGGATGTAGAGAATGGGAAAATGTTTATTAAAAAATCGAAGGATGGAGCAGAAGACAAGTATTATGGCCAGACAAAAAGTAAGACTCTGGTGTATTTTTCTCTGCTTTAAATCTAATAAGTGTTGTGAACACCAAATCTGTTGTCCTGTTTAAGAGATTCTACGATTGATGCAAAACTAGTGATCCCTGACTGTATTACCGAGAAACTCACAGAAACCAGGTAGGTTTGTAATAAGTACAGAAATATCTTGATGCATCCTGTCTTGTATGAAAACTAAATGCCTGAATTTGAGGAACCATCCAAACGAGGCATTAATTGATTAATAAAGGGAAGTGTGATCTTTAACTTCACCATTAATTTGTTATAAGTTCTGATTTTAGTAAGTGAAAAACAGTCGTTTAGGAAATTGAAACAAAGATGTGGGTTTGCACATGTACTTTCTCACGCACAGAATTCCCAGTTTCAGCACTATCGGGAGGTCGGGCACCCTCACACAGCGAGAGAGAGGGATACATGGTGGGTCCAGGTTTGAAATGTCTCATTGACGCCCAATATCTCTCAGTTTTGCAGTTAATCAAATCACACAAGTTTCACAATAGGCTGGTTATCGTGGTTGGAAGTGAGAAGGAGAAGACGCTACGAAAGGAATATGTCTTTGCGGATTCCAAGGTCTGTCATGAAAGTGGTCACACAACACTGCAACGTCAATTACTTTTGCCCCATTTATTCCTTTGTATATCCTTTTATATAAACGTTTTATATAGTCAGGGAGAGCATGTGCTGTAAACACATTACTGCCCCTCACTTTCACGATGTCGTACAGTGGGAGTATAAGGAGAGCATCAGTTGTTCTTTGTTAGCGACTACATTGCTCTGAGATGCTATATGCTCAGAAACGTTATTCTATATGAAGGGCGCTATAAAAATGCAGGTTGTTGTTCTACCTGCATGTGTAAGACCAATGCTTTTCTCCCTAGTGTCGTGGCCAACAATCTCCCCTCCTACAAAAAAAAATTAGACATTCACTTCATTACTGTCTGAGGGACATTGCGGTGCGCAAATTGGCTGCTGCGTTCAACCACAAATACTCAGTTACTTCACAGTAAATCCTGTGACGTGCTTTAGGTGTTCTCTCAAAGTAAAAGGTGCTATAACAAATGCAAGGATTATTATTATTACATTAATGTAGTCTGTGTCATGCTGTGTCCCTAGAAACGAGAAGGCTTCTGCCAACTCCTGCAGCAGATGAAGAACAAGCACTCAGATCACCCAGAGCCGGATATGATCACACTTTTCATTGGAACATGGAACATGGGTAAGGCCATTGCATCCCAGCCTTCTAACACAGAATAATGTCATTCCAAGCCTCAATTGGGAATAAGTGTACAGTATGTGGGTTCTCTCTCCCGAGTAATTAATTTTAAATCTTCTGTTTAATTACTGATTTCATGAGTTTCTGAATACCTTTTGTTAGATTTGTCTCATTCCCAGAAAGTATCCTGGTAAAGCCAAGGGACAATTCCTCCTGACTTATGTGTACGTTGCTTTGGAATGCAGTTTTGCTTTATATTTTGCTTTGTAATCCTTATTCGTTTAGATGGGAAAGTAATGAAGTGGTTTTTCCTGCGTGCTACTAACGCTAGTTACTGTCTATGACCAACTCTTTTAGTAGCAGCACTGTTCTATGTAATGCCTGAAGCTAAATATCTCATTTAATCTGTTTGGAATTACCTCTTGATTCTCATCTGACTTTAGACTGAGTGTCTGCCAATGAACTGACTTTGGGCTCTGAGAAATGTTTCATTTCCTCTTTTGACTATTGCCCCATAACATCAATTACTCTGGGACTCTACCCTGCATGAGGAGTGCTGTATAAATGTAAATTGTTGTTGTTTTAGAGGCTGTTATTTGCTTTATAATACGATCCCTATAATCTACATCTACACTGAGTGTGTTACACTATAGCATACATGGGATCGCTGTTTACACTATAAAATGGACAGAGTTTGCTGTTTACCCTATAATATACATGGGGTTACTGTTTACACTGTAATATGCACTGGGCTGCTATGATCTTTATTACTAACACCTGAGAGCCTTTACTTTTATTAACACTTCGGAATAATGTGTGTGCCATTATATAAGACCTCTGCTTCTGACTGGGAGCATACACTTGTCAGCAATACAGTGGGTTTGAGTACTCCAGTTCTGTGGTCTGCACTCAGCCATGTTTTAGTAACTCCTTTTTACTCCTGTTCAGGTGATGCCTCCCCTCCCTCGAACATCAAGGCTTGGTTCCAGTCCCTGGGGCAGGGTAAAACACGTGACGAGACTGCTGTCTATATCCCATATGATATGTATGTCGTCGGAACTCAAGAAGATCAGCAGGGTGACAAAGAATGGGTGGAAATTCTCAAAGCCACGTTGAAGGACATCACAAGCATAGACTTTAAACACGTAAGTATCGTGCTAATGCTTTACTATCGGGGAAGCACCCATCCCTCCTCGTAGTTACTGCGGGACAGGGAGAAACAAACTGACAAAATGATCAAACCTCCTTGTTACCCAGCATCTAAATGAAGGAAAACTAAATTCTGCACCTCATGGATCCGCTTGACAATAGTCCTTTTCCTCCACAGGTAGTGACACAGACTTTGTGGAACATTCGGATTGTTATATTTGCAAAGCCGGAACACGAAAATCGCATCAGTCACGTTTCTACAAACAGCGTTAAGACAGGAATCGCCAACGCTCTAGGTAAGCAGAGCCAGAACGCGCTGCTTGCTTTGGGATTTTGGAATCTCCACATGTAGGTGGGGTGCTCTTAAGTATGGTGATGGTTTCTGCATGTGTTAGACACCAATAGAACGTAAACCTGCCTCTACTCTGCCCCATTCAGCATTCACAGAATTATTAGAGTAAGTGATGATTGAATAGTAATTGTTTGTGGAGTGTTGATTGTTAACTTGTGTCTTCAGGTAATAAAGGTGCTGTGGGAGTGTCCCTCATGTTTAACGGTACATCCTTTGGATTCGTCAACAGCCACTTGACATCAGGAGCTCCAAAAAAGCTCAGGTAACAAGAGTCAAAAGTTTGAGGATATATTCTAGCTCCAAAACGGTAGCTTCCTTCTAATTAACACAATGGGGGTCTATCAAGTGCATTTTGGTAAAGTCTACTGTCCAAAAAAANGTGTTTAAAGGCTTGTTTAAATTGGACATTAATGAATTGTAGTTAACAATCAGTTACTGTAGAATGTTAGCAATATGGCAAAGTAATGTGTTCAGCACTTACAATAGGTATAAATGCATCCAGACATCTTTATTGCTTATTATTACAATGTGCTAATTGCTTGTGGAAATGTGACTTGTGGTCGGTGTGTGGGTTGGACTGTGAGCTTAATAATAATAATAATCCATGCATTTGATATAGAGCTTTTCACATCTTCTAGACGTCTCAAAGCACTTCACAGAATACACAGTAAAATAAGCAGGAAAGAGTGTGCTTTTGGAATACTGTATGTCCAAAATAGAAGCTACTAAAATTGAGAAACAAATCCAGACATCCACCTGAGATTCTCCAAGGTTTTGAAAACGGGTAGATATTACCCTGTTGTGTGGTTAGTCATCACAATATGAAGAAATACCCTTACTGAATGCTGTGTCTTATCAAGTGATTGGTGTTTGGAGAAATTCCACAAAAAACATTTTATTCAGTAATTTCCTTGATGCATCTTTTGCTGAAATGCTGTGTGAAAATGTTTTCTGAAGCCAGTCCTATTTGAATTTGTTTTCTGTCCCTGGCAGACGGAACCAGAACTATATCAACATTCTTCGCTTGCTGACACTGGGTGACAAGAGGTTGAATCCCTTCGATATCACCAATCGATTCACCCATCTCTTCTGGCTGGGAGATTTAAACTACAGAGTGGACTTTCCAGCATCGGTGAGAGGCTTTGAGTCATCATATGCATTTCATTAATAATCAAGTTGTTCCTTAATTTCCTCTTTCATGTCAAAAAATCCTCTGCTCCTCGATATTCTCAACATTTGATAAAGCCTCAAGCTATCCAACACTGCTCCAATATCTAGCATTTCTCTGCACTACTGGACAGAATAGCTTGTTTTCAACTGTGTTCTTGCTTTTTTTGATGTATCAATACTACTATGGGTTCTGCTCCACTGAATTCTCCCCCTTGTTTCTCCTCCATAGATTTCCCTTCCTGCATGGTGCAGTGAGGAATTTCATATCTCGTAACAATATACGCCTGCAGGAAGGTGCTTGACTAATAATTATAATAATAAATTAGTTAAATAGCCACAAGGTCCATGTCAAATCAAAGTTGAGGCAAAATAACTATTTCTACTTCATTCAGAATAAAAGCTGATAAAGAAAATAAGAACCAAACCCTATTTTTTTNCACCAGTGAAATGTTTAAAAGATTTGCTTGCATGAGTGCAGCATTAGTCTTGCAATGATTAAGATATCTACAGATAAACAAGCCCTCTAGCCTTGATCCTACTCACTGCTAAAATCACAACGTACACTGTCAATAATGAATGACATGTAAAGTAACTTGTGTTGGTTGGTACAGGAAGCGGAGAACATCATTCAGAAGATCAAACAGCAGCAGTACCAGGAGCTGCTGGTCAAGGACCAGCTGACCTTGGAGAAGAACGACGGGAAGATTTTCCTTCAGTTCCGTAAGATCACATTCTGATAATAAGCAAAGGGCTGGGTTCTGGCCTATCCCTCGATGGCGATGGTGTGGGTGGAGGAAGAGTGCAATTAGTTTTCCTGATTTTATTTTTGCCACGAGCTGATCCTCTCACCATTGCTTGCACAACCTTTTTTGGGAGGGGGCGGTGGGAGTTCCGTGCTCTGGTGCTGATGGTATCAGATTGCCAGCCTATCCTTTTAATTCAGGATTGATCCATCACCCATAAAACACTACACTTTAGGGTATATCCAGTGAAGCCCTTTGCGACTTCCTCCCGAAATGGAAGGTGCTTTATTAAATGTAAGGGTAATTATTATTATTGTTATCATAAAGAAACATTTATAATAGAGAAAATAACATGCCTTAGATAGGAGCAGGTTTCTCAGACTCAGTGGGGAAATCCACCACATGGTGTCGAGCCGTAAAAAAAAAAAACGTGTGAGATCTGCGGTTGATTTGTTAATTGGTGCTGATTTCAGTCAGGTAGAGTTGCACCAGTTGGCTTGTTATCAACATCGCAACTATACCTGATCATGTCCTTCTGTGTACATGAGAAGGACATGATCAGGTGTGGCTGTGATGCTCTCCACATTGAACGATCAGCGGATACTCACTGTTCAGGATCATAATTGGCTGCTTGGGCAGGTTCTGACTCTTAACCCTGACACCATACTCTGCACAGAGAGTAGGAGAGTAAATTGGAGAGATAAAAGTCAAATTATTGATGGTGAGCATTTCACGTTCCAGAGGAAGAAGAAATCAACTTTGCTCCATCCTATCGATATGACCGGGACACCAGAGAGACCTACGCTTACATCAAGCAGAAAACAACTGGAGTGAGTACATATGCTTATCTTCATCAGACATAACGACTGCGACACTGCAAGCGATGCATAGCTGCAATGCATTTGTGACAATGTATTAAGTGCCTCTGTACCCTGAATGGCCTCTGTGTCCCCAAATTCCTACTGCCCACCATTCTCGAGCAGGGCAAAACCTTAAGCAAGTTTTCTTACTCCACATGCTTCTGTTTACCCAGCAGTAAGTCAGTACCTAGCTGTTAATCGATTGGCGGATTGCTTTGTGGGGCTAATAATACCTTCAAAAATAAATAAATAATACTAAGTTGGTCACTCAATGCACGACTGTTTGTGGGACACTGCTGGTCTCAATTGGCTCCTGCATTTCACCCACAAAATATAGTCAATTCACTTTACAGTATATTCTGTGAAGCGCTTTGAGACATCTCAAAGATGCGATAAGGCACTATGTCAAATGTAAGTATTATTACTCTTGGAAAGGCATAGCAAGTTTAAACTGGGCGATAGAGCAGTGTTCACCATGGGCTGCCTACCATCAACTGAAGCGCATCTTTGACCAATGTTTGAGGAAAAGTCAAATGCTGCCCTGTAGCTAAGGGCAGTGCCGTGACATGCATATAGCATAGGGAGAATATCAGGACAATAGAAAGAGTTGGAAATGTCTGGAACTTTATACTACAAGATTGTTAGATTGATTGTTATCTTCTGGATGCTGATTTTTATCTTCTCCCTGCAGATCAAATTCAACCTGCCATCATGGTGTGACCGAGTGCTGTGGAAATCCTACCCCATGGTTCATGTCATGTGTCAGTCATACGGTACGGAGACATTTGCCAACTTCGTGTGTGGGCTGCCGACTGTCTCAGGAGAAACAGCTGGTCTTGTGCTCATGTGTTTCATATCCTTTGACTTTAATACATTGGAGTTACAGTGAGCTCAGAGGGAAAAGTAACCTATTGAATGTGAATCATAGGGAAAACAGATCATTTTTTACAGCTAATATATAGTTACCCCAGGTTTACTATCCGTGTTTCCTTACCATGATAGCCTATAAAACGAGCACAGTGCCAGCAAGTGGAATCCTTTTCCCAGGGATTGTGTAACATACACTTAATCCATCACATCCCGTGCTGATTACATGCATGAGGGCTTACCATTTGCTTTATACTATTTGTCTGTATCTTAGATTTTATACGGTCACATACCACTAAATTCTATTAATAATGGATATTACAGCAGAACACACATACACCTTCTGAACACCTAAATTCCATTATTTACTATCCAACATAAAAACTAACAGTACTGTATGCACACTATTCAGAATTAAAGTGAAAGTTCTTTGCCCATTTGAGCAGCTCAGTTCTTTGACCTTTTAACCGCCTCATACTTTGTGTTGAGCACACCTTTCTGAGCACACAGGTACTCAGTGATTCACTATTCTTCCCTCCTCATTTTTAAAAAAATGTCCAATAGGTTTGCAGAGAATTGTTTTCTCTCTCAAACATATAAACCACAGATTTGCCTTGTGCACAAATGTGATTCTTCAATAGATACACATACAAGTGGAGCCCGCAGAAATACATGCGCTCAGCTAGCTAAGCACTCATGAATTGAACAGCATTACTGATCTATGGCAAACAAGGGTCTGAGTTGGATGATTCTGATTTTGCACAAGGATAAAGCTCCATCACCTTGGGCCCTGCTTTCTCCCTGGGTCTTTTCTCCCAAGGACCTGTATCTACAACAACAATAAATTTAACTTGTATAACGCCCTTCACATCGGCTACCAGTATCTTGCCATCACAGAGTAGCTGAGTTCAGTCATTGCCTGTTAGGGACACAATAACTGTGTTCAAACCTCAAATAAGAATAAAGTTGAGGGATATGGGGAAAAGACCTGGATCTAAGGATAGGATCTTAGGATATGGCTATGTTGGATGGATCAAATGGCCTGTTCCTGAGCTGTACCTTCTTTGAATCTACGTCGTTTATGTTCCAGGCTGCACAAATGACATCATGACCAGTGATCATTCACCAGTCTTTGCAACGTATGAGGTGGGAGTCACATCGCAATTTGTGTCAAAGAACGGTTAGTAACTGTCACAGCTTTCCGGTAACTCTTCAGAGCATTACAATGAGATTTTGCACCAATACAGGATTTAAAAGGGGGCACAGGGTTGTTGGTCAATTAGCCTCTAAATTATATATATGTTATATATATTATAATAAAACGACAATGCCTGTCTGCCCTTCAAGAAGGATCTCAATAACCAGTTGACGTAGAGACATGATTTATACCTTATCGGAAAGGTCTTGCATCTAGGAGTGACATAGGCATATTTGTTTTCGGGTATCTCCTATCATTCATGAATTATTTTCAGTTTTACGCTGCAGTTACTCCTGGTGGCTTCCAAGTCAAAGTGGCACTAGGCATCATGTATTGCAGAGCAGCACGTAGCCAAGCGGTGGAAACAAAATAAAGAACACAGACTAAGCTAAGCCACAGCAACAACAAATTACATTTTTAAAGTGCGGAGTCCTCCCACTGAATTCTCCCAAAAGGAGACCTCCCACAGGCCTCCTCCCAGATGAATATAGATAAATAGGAAATATCTGTCTGTGTTTTGTCAACTCCATTATCAATTCCATATTGGACCCTTTGGTTGCAAGTAAAGCTGCAACGGGTACACCTAGTTTGAAGTAAGCACAGAAATGGTGTCAGGCCTGCTCAGTGGTAGCACTTGCAGCTCTGGGTCAGAATGGTGTAGGTTCAAGCCCAACATCGGGACTTAGAATCACACAATGTAAACTGAAACACTAATGCAGTACTGTGGGTGTGTTGCATTGTTATTGTCATTGCCATTGCATTGTCAGAATATTATAAATATTGAAGGGGGAATATTGTCAAGGATTTGCGAGGAATTATTTTTATTAGAGTAAATTTGGGGGTTGGATGTATTATTTTCTCAGAGGGTTAGCTGGGTGGTGTAACTCTCATGATGGGATTATAATTATAATAATAAAAATAATCATTGCATTTGATATAGCAATTTATCATGTTGTTGAGACATCTCAAAGCATTTCACAGAATACACCGTGAAGTGAATTGACTGTATATTTTGTGGGCAAAACACAGCAGTAAATTGCACATAGCAGGCCCCACAAACAGTCCTGGATTGAGTATCCAAATTATTTATTTATTTTGAATGGATTATTATCCCAGAAAAGCGATGTGCCAATCGACTAACAATTAGGTTCCTATTTACTGCTAGGGAAACAGAGGCATGAGGAGTAAGGAAACTTGCCTAAGGTCTCAGATTCATTGTGTATAGTCTATGGAAGGAGTTGCCTTAACGGGCTGAATACACCCTCTTCTTATTATCGTATTAGAAATTTTGCATAGCTGGTTCTGGCTGTGTAGATTGCAATGGAGGTGTTCCAGGATTTCCCCCTCTGGAAGGTCCTTTCAGATCACTCTTTCTCTGCTGGCGCTCATTAAACCAAAAGGAAGATCACCATACTGACCAAGAAATGATTCAATAAAATCAGTATCCCTCTGCTCCATCCGTCATTCTAACCAGGGTCTGTAAGGCAATGTCAAATGGTGAGAGATTTAAAAAACACAGTGAAGTATGTAAGTTGAAATACTTGTGAATGTCCAGAAGATGAGGTTGATATGGGCTTCCCCGCACTTCATTTGTTTTGAGTTGCAGACCACGTTAACAGATCTGATTGCTTCTTAGGTCCGAACAATGGTGACTCTCAAGGCAAAATAGAATTTTTGAACTGTGAAGCTAAGCTGAAAACAAAATCAAAGACAAAGTTCTTCATTGAATTCTATTCGACCTGTTTGGAAAGTAAGTAAACCTTGCCTATCATTTGCTGTGGGGATTTGTAGCTACCCTTCCTATCACTCAGAACTATCTGCCAGTGTCTGTGTAATTGTGCCAATGCTTCAACTGCTTTTATCTCACTATCTGTATGGAGCTATTTACCTCTTTTGTCAAAACCAGTGGACAGATGTACCAAGCTGAGTCTGCCCATGCACTAACACTTTGTGCCCATGTGTATGCCTGTCTGCAAACAAGCCAATCTAATTTGCTGGAATTATATCACCGTCCTTGGTATCTGTCCACATTTTACCTTCCAGTACTGCCTGCAGCCACTTCTATTTTGTTCTGCCCATGGGGTCCAGGAAACCACCTATTAGCTTGGGATGAGCTGGTAACATTTTTTAATAGTGTTCCGAAATGTGAACTGGACACCAGTTTAACGTCTACCTCTGGGTATTAGTTATAAAGATTTTTAATACAACTTTCATCAATGGCAAAGAAAACAAACAAACTCATGATCTATTCCTGACCTGGTCTGTTCCTACCCTGCCACTTGAAAAAAGGTGACTAATCTAGCATGGTCTGTATTTGTACAGCTTTCAGTCACTGGGCTTGAGCCCATAGTTACCACTGTACTACGGCTAATGGAGTCTGTACATACTCAGTGGTGCTGGGCCTGTTCTATCCAGTGGCAGAGCTGTCTGCACATAGTCAACAGACCTGCATATTCTGCTCATTGAATCTTCCACAGAGAAGTATTCACCTACTTAAATCTACTCTCGTGCTTTTCATTCCTCCACTGAATACTCTGCTACCAATTGTCTGCTCCCTGAAGGTGTTGTGAAGAGTGGTGAGGGTGAAAACCAGGAATCCAAAGCCGGAAATCTGAATGTGATATGGGGCTCCCTCCCCCAGGTAATGTGCTAATTCTCCTATTCTCCTGTTTCAAGGATGGGGGTGATTGCTGCTTCTCACTGAGAAAATCCACATGTTTAGCTTCAGTTCACTCACGTATTACTGCAAAGTAAGGTGGACAAGTAATGTTGTCAGCATTTTTGATTTCTCCACCCCAAAATGAACTTTGCCCACTGTTTATGGACGGAGTTTGGGATCTACGATGTTATTTTCTTATTGTATGTCCTGTGTGGTCAGTCATGTAAAGGTTGATTCTTTCTACCAATGGATCAATAGCACCTCCTCACAGACATAGGGAGTAACCCTCATCTTGCTGAATAAAGAGCAATGCCATAAACCAAGCAAAATAAATGCTGTTGGACATGTGAAAAATTAGCACCATCTTGTGGTGGTGATCGGCATTAATTCATTGCAGGACTGAACGGGCATCTCTGTAGCAGGACTCCAGATTTGGCAATACTCAAGGCTGGCTTATTGTTTGCAGAAGAATGATGTGGCCATTTCACTGGTGCCTTCAGTTCAGATTTGCATGTGCAGAGTGTACTAATAGAGTGATAGAGCATGGAAACAGGCCATTCGGCTAAACTATTCCGAATGGCCTGCTTAAACACACATTGTGCTGAAAAAAATAAACTGGGTTCTTTCAGATAAGTCAGGACTCTTTATCAGGTACTTAACACAAGCAATCTTTTAGTTAAATGGCAAATCTCATTATAAACATTTAGTAACGATACTTGTGGTGGTATTAGCATGGCGATAGGCATCTTCTTTGCTATCAGCGCCTTGGGACGTCCTCCCGACTTGAAAGGCGCTATACAAATGTAATCTTGTTTGTTATTACACCAAAGTAACACCCAGTTTCCTCCTCTCTATTTCCTACCTGCATCTATAGTTAACACCTATTATCTCTGACCCGGAATATTTACTGGATCAACACATCCTGATCTGCATCAAGTCCACAGACAGCTATGAGTCCTATGGTAAGTAACTTAGGAAAGAGTAAGTTAGAGGGGATGGTGTGAAGAGCCTATAAAGCATACATTGTAAATATAATTAAATGACTTTTTTGTAAGTGAACGTAACAGCTAATTTGTCCACAAATACCCATGAAGTGAATGACCAATTTTATCCTTGGGATTGTTGAGTGGACATTCTCCTTTCAAGTAGTGCCATGGGGTCTTTTACTCCACCTGTATAGACATATAGAGCCTTGGATCCATGGATCCATTCAAAGGACAGCACTTGTTTTAATGCAGGACACCGGAGCCATTGAATTGGAGTTTCAGCCTAGACTCCATGAGTTTAATATGTGGCTTGAATCCACAACTTTCTGACTCTGAAGCAAGGGTACTACCAACTGAGCTAGGCGATTACACTTAATGGGTAATTTATGAATGATTTATGTCAGTCTGGCCTCGATACTGTAATGTGTTTCATTATTAATCTTGGTCTCTACCCATCCCATGTGCAGGAGAAGGTTGCATTGCATTGCGAGGGGAGTCCCACAGCCCCGAGGTGGCTTTCAACACATTTCTGACACACCAGGGAGAGGAGACTGGCGAGTTCCAAGGATCATACAAACTAACCACTTCAGAAGGAAAACAAAGAGAACGCACTTATGGTTATTTTTACTTGTTAATTTTCTCCTACTTGCTCAGCTAAATGTTGTCATCATCTCAACAGAGCTTGCTCAGGAGTGATCGCTGAGGTTGCAAGACCAACGAATGTTTCAGTGGTTGGAATGCCTGCTTTATAAAGAGTAATAACAGGAAGATGTTTGCAAGTCTTTGAACTCTAACTTAATTTCTACTGCCAGTAATTTGAGACCAACTTTTTATTAAACACAATGTCTTGATTAATTGTATGTTAATTGACAGCCTCTCCTCACTATTATTTGAAGCATTTAGTTTCTGCCCTGAGTAAAAAAAGAGTTCTAGACAAGGACAGCTCGATAAGAGACAAGAACAGATTAACAAGTAGTTGAATTTAAAAATCTGAAGTTTATTTATAGATATAATTTGAAAATAAGAATTTCACTGTTGGAATTTACTTAGGAGTTCGAAATTGGGCTTTTTTTTTCTTCCTTCTGATATCCTTCTTCATTACAGATTTTATAAAATTGGAAAAGGATGAAATGATCTCAATGAAACATACAAAAGTGAACAATAACATAGAATTATCCAAATGTGTGGATCGGTCGGCGAGGTAAGATGCATTGGGCTTGGTATTTCAGTTAATTAGTTGATTCTTGATAATTATGATAATAATCCTTGCATATAGCGCCTTATCACATCTTCGAGACATTTCAAAGCACTTCACAGAATATACTGTAAAGTGAATTGACTGTGTATTTTGTGGGCAAAATACGGCAGCAAATTGCGCACAGCAAATCATGATTCTGAGTGCCAACAGATCGATGCAGAGCTCTGATCAGCTCTCTTGAACAGAGTCATCTGCGATGGCCATCACTCTGTTGTATAATGTCTGCGCTTTCTCCTCTGGTCCTCAGGGTAGCAACACGAAATGCTCCACAAATAATGGCCGAGGAGGCAGCAGCTAGAGCTCGAGAGAGAGTGTCGTCACCGTGTCCATTAGATACACCATCCAAAGACCCCTTAAGGTATTTTCATTGCAAACCAGTCTGCAACAGTGTGGAACCAAGTGGCACGGCCCTTTCCTTTCTGAATCGCTGGATTAGGATCAGACAGAGGGATAGTAAAGCTTTCCATCTCGAGGCTGTTTAAAGTCTGAGGGAAATGGAATCTGTGGATTTGACTAAATATGAGAATATAGAACAATGTCCCACCCTCCAGCGTCTTATCTGCCATTCATTAAAAATGCCCTTAAGGGAATTGGAGGATTTTATGGGATAACCTAGTGGTGAGTTCCATCTTTTCAGTGCCATATAGAACAAATTACACCTGTGTAGCACTCTTCACGTTGTAAAGATGTCCCAGGGCACTGGACAATCGGAGGTTTTGGACACGAGCTGGAAAAGTTGGGGTCAGAAGGGGAGGACCGTAGTGGGGATGGGGGTGCGGCCGAGGGCACAGTCGAAGAGGAAGGTTTTCAGACGGGACTTGTATAAACAATGAGGCGATATTGTCTTATATCCTTCATGTCCAGTGGGATGATTCCATGGATTATATTTCCCTTTAGGATCTTAGGCATGTCTGTAGTAACTCGGGGCATTTTGGATTGAGTTGACTAGACAATCTGGCTCATCAAGGAGACTGAGTTTAGATATGTTTTTGACCAAGCAAGTCAAGTCCCTCATAGGAAGAGTGGTCCTAGCTAGACAAATAGGAAGAATGTTGGGCCAAGTGCTTTTTTTTTTCTGACCCACAAACTTCTAAGCTCTGTTTGGACTTGATGCCTATTTTCACCAAAGTACATTCGGCAAAGCAAGGTGATGATTTAGACCTGGGTGGTCCATCTGGCAGGCCACAGGCTGCATCTGGCCCACCTGCTCCCTCCATTACCTGTTATGTTTCTGGTTGAAACACAAAAATATTGCTTATGCAGCCCGCAGAGGGTAGCCAAAAGATTGGACCGCACATTTAGACAGCAACGGGTTACAAAGATGAATGTGGCAGAAGCTACAGGGAAGAACAAATTGAATCTAGCTCTTGTCTGTAGGTTTCCTGTAGTTAGTGTTGGTCTGTTTGACCACCTATATTCTGTATATATATTTATTCTTTAAAATATTTCTGGCCTGAACAGATTACCACAGTTCATGCCCTGCCTGTCATCTGGTATTAATAATCCAAACTACATTCCCGTGGGCATGGCCCGCCAGCCACTCCCTGTGACACCTGCAGGTGTAAAGCAAGTACCGTCTCCTGACCAGAAGCCCTCAATGTGGGCCTTTGATGTGCCTCCAAAACAGAATCCTTCAATTGCAGGAAGAACTGACAGCTCCCTGACTTCATCCAACTACTCCCCTCTCTCTCCTAAGAAAGTCAACCAGATGTCACCTAACAGAGTTTTGGCATCCAAACCTCAGGAGCCAAGGTAAATGTTTCACCTTCAGCTCGGCGCTCCAGCTGGCTAGCATGTTTGTGTACCACCACATAGTGGTACAAAATGTTCACCCAAAGTTTCCACCTCACTACCACTGAGCTCCCAGGTAGTGGCGAGGTCACTCAGGCAGTGACCTCCCCCCTGGAACTACTGATTACCTCAAACATTTTTTGCCACATGTATTCAGTGTTCTAAATATTATACAATTCCTGCATGCCTAGGAGGAAAGACATTGCACATGCAGCAAACTGGCTTCAGGAGGAGGCTAGTGCACTCGGGAGTATACCCATGCCCCTGTTTAGTGATAGACTTTGGCAGAGACCAAGACCTGAAGTGAGGTGCTTATAAACAATATGTGGGATTGCATCATGTGATAGAGAGGAACATGGTTCACTGATGTCCAGTGTAGGACTGAGCCATACCAACCGAAGGTCCAAGGTTCAATCCCTGGTCTGTGTTGAATTATCTGATCTCAGCTAAAGTAGCAGTAAAGGCACTGCAGTTGGCTTCAGCATCTCTGGGTCAAGAGGGATAAATCAGCCCAGGTCTCTGTTCTCGAATGTTATCCTTGCTGGAAAGTGTGTATGCATTTTGGATGAGCACACCATTGTGCTCAAAGTTTCCACCCTACCACCACTGAGATTCCAGGCAATGGCGAGGTCAGGCATAGGAGGAATACCATCTCCATAGTGTCAACTAGGTGTGGAGGAACATTGTCAGAGGCCTACAAGCGAGCCAGCCTGACTGTATATACACTTACAGGTGTTATAATGGGCTGGGCAGAAAGTGGGGATAAATTAGAGGAATGTAAAGGAGATGAGGATTCTAAAAATGTTGTTGCGGCTTGCTGTAATTTTTGTTTCTTTGTTCTGTCTCTTTACGTATATATTTTTTTAAAAAAAGCTTCCAAGAGAGTCCCTGGGTTAAACAGCACACTGTGAGCCAGCCACAGCCAGACACTCCACAGCCATTACCACTGCAGGACTTGGAGATGTTTGACAATCCTTTATATGCGTCTTTCGTCCCGAAACCCAAACTCAACCTAAGGAAAGATCTGGAAGTTCCAAGAGGAGCAAGGAAAGAGGTCCCGCCAATCCCAGACCAGACTGGGACGAGCAAATATGTTGAGACTCCAGGAACCAAGCCAGGCAGCAGGCAACTGCTCCCTCCTGTACCCCAGCCTCGAATGCGGTCATTCACATGCTCAGAAATGAAAAATCCAGTCAGTGGAAAGACACATGTTAAACAATCATATCATGCATTTATGGAAGATAATCCCAGACTTGGGGTCAATTTATTAATTCCAAGTCACTTGAAGCAGCCTATGTCTACTCCAAAATCAGAGTTGGAGCATCCGTCCTCTCTTTCCAACCAGGGGCAAACAGTTAAACCCCCACTTCCAGCCAAGAGCAAACAGGTACTAGAACTACAACATTCTCAGAAAGATTATAGAGAGACTACAGAGCTGCCAAATAAGACCAAGCACCCCAGCACTGAGAACGCAGCGCAGCGATCTAGTGTATCGGTAAGTCAGATCTCCGAGAGCAATGTGTCAAGTGTTCAAACATTCAAGACAACAATCCCCAAAACATATCTGCCCTGTATCACTTAGCTTTGTAATACATTCTAACACCTCCCCAACCAGAGTGAGGAAAGACCTGTGTTCACACACAGACTTCTATTTTCTACTTCAAATAATGCATGGACAATGCCATCCAGATACACCACAATGGTGACACTGAATTTCAGTGCTGTTCAACCATGGGAGAGAATCCTAATCAAGCCTGATCCTATTCACACCCATACACTGAATGATCAGGATCAGTGAAAACGGGAACACTAGCCTGTTTTGCTTCCCTAGTCAACAGCCAAATTATAAAAACAATTTGGATATTAATCCCAAACCACTCCAGATAGGCTCAACCAAGCTTGTACTTTCCTTTATTTTCTTTACACTGGAGGTCACTTTTTGTCATAAACAGTATAGCTGGGAGTGATCTAGCACAAACAGTTTCCCGCCACATATTTGGACTGTACATGCGTCCGTACATACTCCAGGTATGAACAAGGTGTGCCACTGGGTGTCCAATTACCAAAAGAAAAGATTTAAAGTTTGCTCAACATAAATTTCATGTCTCTAAACCACTGCTCCCCCACCCCACAAAGAGGTAAATTATTTAGGTAAGCAACTAAGAGGCTAGGGATATCATCTCTGTTTAATCCTACATTTTTGTTGAAATTGCTTGAACTTTTTTTTTGTGGAATCTTCTCCTAAAGTCTTCCTTTATGGAATATATGACCTCAAAAAATGAATTTGTGCTTTCAGAAATTTGGACCAAATGGCCTATTTCCTTGTTCTAAAGTCTGATGCAGTATGAGTATGGCCAGACCCTTAACTCTCCATTTCAGAGTGTTAAATAATGGAACCCAAGTGTGTGGTTCAGAAGCTTCTCTGACAGTGAAACCTATGTCCTTGCCTTAGTTCCAGCGCCTTGGGACGTCCTCCCGACATGAAAGGCGCTCTATAAATGCAATCTTGTTGTTGTTGTTGAGTGATGCTGACTCCTGTTCTATTTAATTTCAGTGACCAAGATGCCTTTCGTAGCAGAGATATTTGATCCTGGCTGTGAATTTTTGGAAAAATGAAGAGAATCCCTGCTTGCCCCAGCTTTCTTTCTCAATGAATGTAGCTTGTGGATGGTGCAGGCTTGGGTGTCAGAGGCAACCTTTGGCCAGACCCTTAACTCTCCATTTCAGAGTGTTAAATAATGGAACCCAAGTGTGTGGTTCAGAAGCTTCTCTGACAGTGAAACCTATGTCCTTGCCTTAGCCCCAAAAGCAAGGGGTGTGCCACTGATATATCAGATCATGTGTCCAATGTCCTCAAAGGAAAGTCCAAACCAGCCTTGGTCTGTCTCAGAAGTTCAGTTCAATGTTAACTGATTTGAGGACAGTTCCGTGCTACGGTTTGAAAGCAGTGCAATAAGTGAAAGCAAGGCTGTATCTCGCTTCAGCTCATTGCTTGGGTTTAGCTTTTCTTTTGCAACCGCAGATTGTGACATAATGACTAAATCCCACCTTAGATCACAAATTCTGCTTTTGTTCTGACACCATGTAGCTAAACCCTTTCTGCTGCCTTGGACTGTGGACTGCTCCCACCTCTGCAGGAGGATGCACCAAACACCTTTACAAGAGCCCAACAAACTAACCAATCAGGAGAAATTTCCATCACAAACCTGTTGGTGGGGGAGTGAACTATTACAAAACTTGGTTGTACAAATGGTCGATTTTTATACATACTCTAAACCTTCCTTGCCTCTAGGTTTATTTATTTTTTATCAGCAGGTGTATGACACATGTAGAAACCAATTAAAATTCATTAAAAAGTATCCAGATCAGACTGAAGTCCACATACAAATGGAAATTCAAATGAAAATTTCCTACAAATGGAAATTTCCCTGTGTCTGGAATAGAATACGCTCTCTCTCCTGCTTAACTTATTCTAGAGCTTATTAGGCACAAGTTGGTGAGAAACAAGACTTGGAGAACCAAGATTGTGTGTTGGGGTACTGCTGGAATTTAACCAGCTATAACCACAGAGCTTGCCAGATATTAATATGGATGGCTGACGATGGGAGTATTGTTTCTGCATTGTGAAGTGGCTGTGCTCATCCAGCAGGAGTCCTGGAATCAGATCATAATAATAAGTCTTGCATTTGATATAGCACCTTATCACATCATTGAGACGTCTCAAAGCGCTTCACAGAGTATACTGTAAAGTGTATATTTTGTGAGCGAAATGCAGCAGCCACTTGCACACAATAGAGTCCCACAAACAGTCGTGGATTGAGTGACCAATTTTTTTTGAGGGATTATTACCTCTGGAAAGAGATCCTCCAATCGACTAACAACTGAGTTCCTATTTACTGCTAGATAAACAGAGGCGCGTGGAGTAAGGAAATAAAAAATTAAGTTTGCTGCTCCTGACTAGAAGATTAAATGATTGTGTGATAAGTGACCTCAGACCTGCCCATTCACCACCCTCTCCTGTTGTAACCTGCACAACACCATATTATTTTGTGAGTCTGCATCTCTTTGACATGCATACTAAGAGTGATGGCATTAAACATATAGCGCTTCAGATCCATTTGCTTTATTCCTGCATATTTAAGATTACCTAAAAATTGTTACATGCCTGTTGTAGACACATCTATTGGTGTCAAGTTGAAGTGGATTTAATGTATTCAATCAGAGCTCTCAGGAGCACATCTACAGGTGCAATAAAATGTGGAGATTGACTCGATTTTTTTACTGCTTTATTATTTCAAATAATATTTATTGATTTGGCCTCTTTTAGGTTGCTGAAAGACATGAATAGGCTCCAGGAGCAAAAGGTGGAATAATATTCCAAACCCAGCACAATCATCCCTCACCATGATAGAGAAAAACCTCCTGTACTGTAATGTCCCTTCTCTCTTTGATACACTGGGTGAATTATCTGTAAATTGGTGCAATGATGAGCCACCAACATTTGATGGGCCTTGTATTGCAAAATATCACCCTTTGAAATCTCAACTCATTGAAATGAGCATCTCCTTATCAAATGTCAAATCTTACTGATAAAGATGTGGTTTGCAGATAATGACATAGTGGCTATCCCGTACCATCGCAAATCTGCATTAGTAGCAAAAATAGTTTGTGCTGCTTTTTAAAACATCGCAATTAACCAATAAATGCCATAGAAAATAACAAATGCAATATCCTGTTTTTACCATAGATGGACCTTTTGATTTGAACCTAGGCCAGGAATCTAAACAGTCAACGAGTGCTAAAAAACAACTTAAAGAAAAGGACATTTGTGGTATTGCAAATAAAAATTGTTGCCTTTTTTGTTGAAGTAGGTGAAAGCTTAATGGTTAGTTTTCATTGTCTGTTTCAGAATCCGGCTCAAAGTTAACTCAATTGCATAAGCTCCATGCAATTCTAAATGCTTAATGTGAGAAATGAGATTTTGTTAATTTAGGAAACAAATTGTCCCATCAAGCTATTGCCAGGTCAGGTACAACAAGGTTAGACACAGAGCAAAGCTCCCTCCGCACTGTCCAAACATGAGTGATAGTTAAAAGCCAGTGTCCGCTCCCAAAACACAACACACTGCAGGAAATGATTTTTACAGATAGATTACAAAAACAGTTGGGCCAAAAATGATAAACCTTTTCTATCAAAAGGACAACAAAATGTGGTGCCCAGTGTGAACTGCAAGAAATCATCAAGGTCTGAAAATATAATGCCAAACCAGGAAGTGGGCCCTTCTTCAGTTATATCTTGCTTTTTTGTACACAAACTAGTGCAGGGCTAGTCTGACACTGCCACATTTACAGAAACTTTGAAGAAGTCTCAGAAATCCGAAACCACAGGAGCTATCAGCAGCTTATATCTCTACTTGTGGTGCAGTTCAGACAGAGGCGAAGGGTAAAGAAAGCCCTGTGTAACCCCAGCCAGAGATGATGCATTCAGCCATCAACTTTTTTCCTACGTCTGTGACATCACTGGCAAACACTGTTTGATTTACTTATGGTTTAGAATGAGTCGAATTGTACTTTTTTGTGTGAATTCCCTGCCTACAAGGGACAACCAGTGCTGGGGAATTGAATTCCTAGGTCAGCTCCAACATGGGCTTGACAGAATTTAACAAATATCAGTAATTTTGAGTGAATTGACTCCTTCAAAAAGAAATGGATAATTATTTGGTTGAGAACAATTTGTAATGGTGAATACAAACTCGTAAACATTATCCCAAAGGACAGGTAGGAGTGAGGAAAGGGAAAGAACTTGCACTTTCTTCTCATACCGTCGTCTCTGAGCCCAAAGATTGCAGGTTCGAGCCCCACATTGAGACTTTTGACTTTGAGTTCAGTATCTCGGTCAGGGATCTCCAACCGGTTGATCACTGCTGGGTGGCGTTCTCACAGATAACCAAAAAGCCAAGAGGAAGAACAGAACCTCGTAGTTATTGAGTCCAATTGAAAACAAAGCCCAGATGCCCGAAGTATTTCACGCATCTCGAAATAAAAATCTAAACTTTTTTAACATTTTAAACTGGGCTAAAAATCGTTCTTTCCTTGGTTCATTTTTTTTTAAAAACGCGTGCGAGATGCCACCCGGTCGGGAATCAACCGGTTGGGGACCCCGGTCTCGGGTGACACTCCAGCGCGGTGCGGTGCCAGGGAGGTGCAACGGTGTGGTCGGGAGGTTGGCGCTGCCCTTTTCAGATGAGGTGCTAATGAGGTATCCGCGCATTGTACTCCATTGTGGAGTCCTGTAGCTCAGTGGTTAGAGCACTCGCTTTGCAAGCGAAAGACCTGAGTTCAATTCCAGGCAGAGGGCGAAACCTTGGGCAAGTTTCCTTACTCCACACAGAGCCTAATAATAATCCCTCCAAAACCAAAACCAATAATAAATTGGTCATTTTCAATCTATGACTGTTTGTGGGACATTGCTGTGCGCAATTGGCTGCCGCGTTCGCCCACAAATATACAGTCAATTCACTTTACAGTGTGTTCTGTGAAGCGCTTTGGGACGTCCTCCTGACGTGAAAAGCGCTATATCAAATGCAAGGATTATTATTATTATTGCCAGTTGTCGGCGAAAACATTCACAGTGCTGGGGTTGTTTCCCCCCCCCCCCCACCCCACCCAGGCTGGAGCAAAATGACCCGTTCAAATGTCTCGATCGCATGCTTCCATTTTTTTTTTTGGGGGTGGCTCCACGCTGCGCCCCAGTCAAGCTGCGCGTCAAAAGGTCGCGCCGGGTTTGAAGCGCCGTCGCGGCGCACCACCAAACGACCCCGAAGAAGGCCCTACGCCCGAGGCGCTGCGCGGCCTCCGAAGGCCGTGACGGAGGCGGCGCTTTTTTTTGGGCGAGTCGGGTCGGCCGGTTCTTTCGTGTTCTCGGAGCCGGGAAAACCCCCGTCTCAGACGGACATGAAAGATCCCGTGGCATTACTTGACAAGAGAGTCGCCCCCCCACCTCCCCACCCCCTTCCCCACACCCCCCACCGCCCCGCAAAGCGGTGGCCAACAAACACCCCCCGCAGCAGCCACACGTGACGACAAACCAACACGTGGCAACGAAGGCCAACGGCCCGAGCGACCGCCCGCCTCCGCCAACCTGGCCTTTGCGCAGGCGCGGTCTGGTCTTTTAGGTGGCCGGACAGGACGCCTGAGCGAAGGGCGGCTCTGTTGCTGCTTTAGCCATCGCTCAGAGAGAGAGAGAGAGAGAGACACGACGGCGGAGCGGGGACATACCCGCAGCGTCGGTTGCGGCCCGCGGCTGAGGCCAGTAACCTCGTCCCCTTCCAGGTGCGTGTGCGCCGGACAGGCTGAAGGACCCTGGTGTGTGTGTGTGTGGGGGGGACGGTGATGGGAGTAAGATGGCGGAGCAGCAGCAGCAGCAGCGGCTGAGGGAGAAGCTGGAGCGGCAGGCGCTGGAGGCGATGCTCGGGACATGTAGGTGCCGGGGATACCGGGAGGGCAGCTTGTGAAGGGCTGAGCCCGTAATATGAAGGAACCGGCAGTAAATTCGTATCTCCCAACACCCCGGGCCCGGCCTGTGAGGCCCTGTCCCTGTCCTCACTCGGTATTCGCTCGGGTTAAGGTGTTCCTTGTGTCTCAGGTTCCCCTCTTCTCACGGCTCTGAGCCCTTTTCGTGTGTCCGAGTCCCCAGGCACCTGCTCTCCCACTGTGCCAAACTGGCTGATTATAATCATATTCCTTACATCTGATACGCGTGGTTGGAGGCGCCCCACATATAAGGATGATTATTATTAATCTGGAGCACCTCTCATGCCTGGAGTACGCTTCCAAACCACGTCCCGGGCTGAAGTGTAGAGGTTGTTCCCGTTGTAGCCAAACATTATCTCGTGAGCATCACCCAAATTGCAGTTTCCAACAGGGATCACTGGATAGTGACCATATGCCTTCTCTAGCGTAATTAATTGTAACTCCTGTACTGCTCCAGCTGAGATCTAATTTAGCACTGATGATGCGTAGATCTGGGACTTTCTGCCAGTCTTGCTCATTTGGCAGTATTTTGCCTCTGGGTCATCAAGGTGTGCATTCAAGTCCCACATTTTAACTTGAGCTCACTGTAGACTTGACTGTTCAGTGCAGTACTGCAGGAACACTGCATTGTGGAGTTGATGTCTTTTAGGTGAAGTGTTAAACTGATGTCCCATCTACCTGCTTTCAGGTGGACTAAAGATTAGAATTACAGATCCATGCCCTGACAGCTTAGTTCCACCACTGTAGGACGTGTCCCATGTTCACAATGGCAGATGTCTGTGCAATCAACTCTGAGGTGGGCTTGAACGATGAATTACAGCATAGGAGACTAGAGTAAAATACATGTAGGAATTATTTAATTATCGAGAGGTTCATGCAAATATTTCAATAGATCAATTTGTGAAATCATTTCCATTTGACCTTTTAATTCTTCAGACAGTAAGCTACTGGACAAATCAGACCTACAGGCTGTTTTGGCTGAGAGACTTCAAAGTGAGAAGTGTGAACTTCAGAACATCAGGTATAGCACATGTATCAAATTGGACTTTAGGTTACAGAATTGACATTACAGGAAATGCTGTGCTATTATATGCAGGCATTGATGTCATACATAATGTGTAACTTGGCAGTATGATGTGTATGTCTGTGTAAGTCTGTAAATTTGGTTCTTAATCCAAATATCAATATTTTAATTATGTTGGCAATAAAAAACACTGTATCTGTAATGCAATGTATCTGATCTGTTGATCAGTGACCTGGTGCTGTACAAACCTGTATTGTTGGTGGAAGGGAAAAGTTTTGTAATGTCAAATTTATATTGATTTAACTCAGTTTGAACTCATTGTAACTCAGTTATAATTGCTGCGCATCTCAAGATACTCATTCGTGTACAGAAATTTAATTTCTAGCACTTGTTTTTTCATTTCTTTCTATAATGCAGCCCAACACTGGACAGGGTGCCAGATGAAACACTGCTGGAGCAAGGTACCCAGATACATATCCATCAGCAGGTGGAACTCAGGGAACTCTATCAAAAGCGTGGTCATGTATGTCTGTCTTTTTCAATTGAGAAACCAAGAATAAAATGTATTCCTTTAGATTTTAGTTTAATCATTGTTCAGTGATGTGCACTGTTGAATTTTATGTTTCCTGTGTTCTCACCCAGCTTGCACAAAGCATGATTGAGCTCAACAGTAAACTGCAACAAAAAGACCGAGAGATTCAAACCAATGAGGCAAAGTAAGTCTGGAATTTTCAGCTTGTCTTTTCTGAGATTTGAGAGAGGGGAGGGTTAATTTGAATTATAATTTTCCATAGAAGAATTAGCGATATAATTTACATAGAGTTACACAGATTGTTAATAGCTCAGAAATGGGCCATTTAGCCCAATTCAAATGAATAAGAATAATCCTTACATTTAATATAGCGCCTTATCACATCGTTGAGATGTCTCAAAACGCTTCACAGAATATATTGTAAAGTGGATTGACTGTATTTTGTGGGCGAAAATATATGCATCGAGTTTCTTGTTAAAGATAGTTGTATTGCACCAGACCACTATCTGCTATGCTGGCTTCTGTCTTGCAAAACCTATCGTAAAATCCTCTTTCCTCCCTTAGAGTTTCGGGCAGTGTGTACCCAGATTAATGTCAGTTGGATATCAGTTGGATTCTTCATTTACAGTGGGTGGAAGCATGCACAATCAAATTGTTCTTACCTTTTAGCTGGAATGATCCACTGAGGCAGAATTATTCTAGGCATGTTCAAGCATTGGTAAAGCTTGTACCCTGGAGAAAAGAGTAGCTATGGAAATGTATGTAAATGTGCTTTGGCCTCCAAGTTCCATCTAATGTAACTTGTAATATATGTGAGAGGGTAAATGGAAATGGAGTTTAGAATTAAATGAGCACCAATTTGTTAGATTCTGTCTCTCATTCAATATTTCTCCAATAATAAAAGGCAAAAAATACATGTTGCAGTTTCTTATCAATGCAAGTCTTGCATTTCATTTGATCAATATAAATTGACAGGAATTGTAAAAGTGATCAGTGGGGCTGCCAGTTTCTATGTAATTCCTGTCAAATGATTTCTTTAGAATGGTCGAATACCATAAGCGAATTAAGAAGCTGGAGACAGAATGTCGTGAACTGAGAAATAATCTACAGGAGTTGGAGCGAGCCAATCACACACTTAAGAATGAATACAACACACTGCAGATCACCTTCAGCACCCTCGAGGAGAGCCTGCAGAAAATGGCCGATGAGAACCACGAACTAATCACACGGTGGATCACGGAGAAAGCACAGGACACCAACAAGCTGACTGTTGAGAAAGAAAAACACGACAGGTAAACTGATTGTGCAATACTGGAAGTTCAACTTTAATTTGCTATATTCCCAAATTACTTTGAGAGACTGTAACCTTAAGAGCAAGTACTGTGAATGGTAAGAATTTATCATGATGTGATGCAGATAGCTTATTTTAAAGCAAAATGTCGCTCTATGGTACTGTACATAATGAAATTCAGTTTGTGACTAAGTAAGGTTTTTAATCAGTCTTAATACTGGTGGAGATGAGGCAAGGGAGGTGTACACCATTGTTAACCAACAATATGCTGATCCCAGTTTCAGAAATCGTAACACTGAATTCACCACAGGGTGTAAACACAGCTCACTATCCCATGTCATCACCAGTCATGTCATCTTGAAGCCAGAAAGAACTACTTTGCCTCCCCCCCCCCATATCGCAATGGACTAGTCGCATGTTGTTTATCAGAACTGTGACAAGTTTGGGTTTAAGCTTTTTCCCTGGATCGGTAGTTACTACTAGGCATGCCCTTTTGTGGAAAGTTTTCTGACATCTCTTGCCTTTAATAGTGTGCCAAGTAGGAGAGAATAAACACTTGAGAAAATGGGTAAATGAAATGTAAATTCTCCAAGGTATAAATACTTATACTGATGTTTTCGTCAGGCCATTTATCCTCCTAGGAAGAATTGGGACAATGTCTTCAGTGTCTATGAACCCAAAACGCACTGATCTTCCTTTAGCTGAGAAGGTGAAGGTTGTGGCTGCTCTGCAGGGACATAAAGCTTCTTATGCCTCGGTTGCAAAGATATTCAACATTTCGAAAAGCCAAGTCGGACGCATTAGCCAAAACAGAGAAAGGATTCTAGAGGAATGGAGACAGAATGCAAACCCCAACAGGAAGAGGAAAAGAAAGGGGAAGGACATTGAAGTGGAGGATGCTCTCTTGCTATGGTTTCAGCAAGCTATGGTTGAGGGAGCTCGCATCTCTGGTCCAATGCTGAAGATGAAAGCAAAGGAGTTTGCGGAAGACCTGGGCCACGATGACTTTGAACCCACAGATGGATGGCTCTCCAGGTGGAAGACCAGGAACAACATTGTTTCTAAGAAAGATTGCAACGAGAGGCACGACATGGACTGTTCTGCGACAAATGGGAGGGGGTCTGAAATAACCAATGTGGGTGGCATGGCCACAGCAACGGAAATCGCTCGTAATGTGACTTTATTTAGAGCAATCCAGATGCTGTATAAAGCCTGTGAAAACATGCAGAACAATCCCATGAACCATCTTAACAAAGTTGAATTGAAGAGAGAAACACCCAAGACTGATGCTTTGCAATCTGAGGGTGAACTGACCTCTGATGACATTTTTGCTTCTTTAATGACTAAGCAGGACAGGCAGCCAGACGTCAAACAGGAGGATTTTTGCGCTGTAGCAAAAAGGCCAAGACTGGAGGCTGCAGTGAAGGAAAGCATGGCTGATGCTGCAGTAACAGATTGTATATCTGATCAATCGATGTGCACAGCAGCTGCTGTAACCAATGTAGAAGCGTTGGAATGCGTCAGCAAACTGGAAAATTGGTTGCAGCTTCGAGGAGCTGTGGGAAACTGGGAGCAAATGAGAGAAGTACTGAGAGAAGTTCAGACTGTGGTAAATTCTGCTAGGTAGACTTACCATGTTGATTCTTTTCACTACTGAGCCAGATAGCAAGCAGTATGCATAACATCCACTCCTCTTAAAGGTGTAACTGATTATCCAGTAGTTTTTTATGATAGTTACTTGGGATATATTATTCTACTGAAGAGGAGTGAGTGTTTAAATTATGTTGGTTGTGCAAAAAATTAATTTATTTAGAGATTTTTTTTATATTTACAATAACCAGAACATTCAGTAGAGTATAGAATGTATAGTAACTGGACTCCAGCATTCAGTAAATGAGTCATTAGACTGATCATCTTTAACTAAAAGATGAATGGATTTGAATTTGTGAAACAGGCAAATAACTCAGTACAGAAATTGCATTGTATGTATTAACTTTAAAATTGCTTGAATCAAAGGAACGTTTTACTACACAATTAACAGACTTCCATTCAAAGAATGGAAGAACACTGGGTTATAAGTATAAAAATAAACACTAAAAAGAAGTCTGCGACAGGGAATGAAGTGGCTGTACTACAGTATACGTGAATGCTTGATTCCTGTTTTAGGTCAATAAAATTGTACAGAGACCTGAAATATGACTGGATTTTTATTTGTGATGTAGCAAAGGCTTCAGTTAGATTGCAACTGATCAAAGGTTAGAATCCTATTTTTAAGAACAGAAATGCTAGGCGAAAAAAAGACCAAGGTCCATCTAGTTCAGTTTCCACGCGATCGCACTTGTGTCCTGCTATAATTGGGCTCAACACACCTAAGAGGAACAATTAGCCAGGGCTCCTGCTTTTGATAGCTATCATGACACTCCTGCTGAAAAGTGTGTGTGTGTGTATATTGATGATGACAGATTTGGGCTCAATGCTATTTCCATCTAAGTGTCCGCAAGGTACTGGAGGGTGACTGCTACATGGCACACTTTCTAGTAGCAATCACTATATGAGGAGTAGAAAGCTGTTGATTTTTTTTGTGTACAGCTGGGGGTGGACAAGTCCCACTGCTGTATAAACTGACATCAGTAAACTCAGCAATGGACTCGTAGTGAAGGTTGGGACCTATTGTGGTCCATTTATCCACTAAGCCATGAGGGTAGCTTGATTGGTCAAATTTATTTAATGAAAACATCTGCCACCATCTTGTAATCTACACAATACTTGGCACGTCAATGGAGATGTGACTCGGTATGCTAAATTAACTGCTTTTGGAGAAATGCTGAAGCTTTTTGGCCCATGAATTTCAACAGCATTATTGCTGACTTGATCCCGGATCGAGAGCCTGGTATTTTTGCTAAATTGTAAATGTCACACGCAATATTTTTGGACTATTTTGAATGTCCGTTGATTGCCCTTTACCGCTGTGACACGCAGTATGTGGACAGTTGTTCATACCTGAAACAGTAACAGCTTGTATTTTCCTAAGAGGCTTTTTCGTGGTATGTTCCGAGAGAAAACAAAACACACGTAACTTTAATAATAATAATCCTTGCATTTGATATAGTGCTTTTCACGTCTTCTAGACACCCCAAAGCGCTTCACAGAATATCCTGTAAAGTGAATTGACTGTATATTTGTGGGCGAAACGCGGCAGATGGAGGTAGACAGGTGGAGTCCTGTTGCTCAGTGGTTAGAGCACTCGCTTTGCAAGTGAGAGACCTGAGTTCAATTCCAGGCAGAGGGCGAAACCTTGGGCAAGTTTCCTTACTCCACACAGAGCCTAATAATAATCCCTCCAAAACCAAAAACAATAATAAATTGGTCATTTTCAATCCACGACTGTTTGTGGGACATTGCTGTGCGCAATTGGCTGCCGAGTTCGCCCACAAATATAGTCAATTCACTTTACAGTGTGTTCTGTGAAGCGCTTTGGGACGTCCTCCACGACGTGAAAAGCGCGATATCAAATGCGAGGATTGTTATTATTATTAGATGACTGCGCGCAGCGGTGTCCCACAAACAGTCGTGGATTGAAAATGACCAATTTATTATTGTTGCGGCTATCGGACGCCACGCCTTTTATTTGAGTTATTTGGACCAAAAAAGCCTCCGCTTAACCGATCAACGGCCACAGCGGCTCAGGGGCGCGAAGCCGCTCCCGACCGACCGCGGGCGGCGCCTCCACCGCCCATTCCAACAGGGCGCATGCGCCTTGGGAATCCCCCCCCCCCCGCTTATGGGTGTCCAAACAGCTGCCTGATCGGCCATGTGCGGAGGAACCCCCTCGCAAACCTACGAGAAGCAGCCGGACATCACATTGCGGCGGCGGCTTTAGCTTTCGCGGCGCTTTTTCTTTTTTTACTTGGCTTCGCTTTGGTCCCGGGTGGGGGGGCGGTCAGGCCGAGGCGTTACGCGCCGAAAGTGAAAGTGCGGCGCCGCGCGGCGGTTGCAAAAGGCCCCCACGGCGGCGGCGGCGGCGGCAAGATGGCGGCGGCGGCCCGGGTCGGGGAGCGGCGCTGGAAGAAAAACATCGCCGAGCAGCTGCGGCTCCGGGACCGGGTCCAGCGGCAGGGCTTTGAGGACCTGATCCAGGCGTGTAAGCGAAGGGAAGGCTGAGCGTTGAGCAGCGGCCGGGAAGGGTGTCCTCTGTCACCCCTTGGACTGGGTGGTGTGGACGTCACCCTGTTACCCCGTGCAACCGAGTAGCCCAGTGGGATAGACGCTGTTCTATCTCAAGGACCGAGCAGTGCCAGTGGGTTAGACGCTGATGTTTATCTTTAGTTCCGAATAGAGGGCTGCGGGGAAGACACTGGTGTAGAGGAATCGTCCCCTCTCTACTAATCGTATCCACCACAACCGGGTCACAAACAGACGAGAGCTGTGTGATGATGATGGTGGTGGTGATGATGATGATGATAATAAGAACGATCCTTGCGTTTGACGCAGCATCTTTAATCACATCAGTGAGACGTCTCGATAACCGTTTCACAGGATGTACCGTAATGCGGGTTTTGATGGTGTTTTGTGGGTACAAGCGCGACCTGTTGGGCACAGCAGGCTCCCGCAAACAGCCACGGAGTGACCAATTTTATTTTGGGGGGATTGTTGGCCATGACACGAGGAGAAACTCCCTTCCCTTTACGAATAGTGCCGTGGGATCTTTGGCATCCACGTGAACTGGCTCCAAGGTGACGTGCTTGGCAACGGAATGTCGGAATCGATCCGGTCCTCTGGTGGTTAGGTGTTGTCTAAGCTATGTTTTAAGACCGTAGGAAGACTGAGAAGGATGAGTCTTGAGGTACATGGGAGGATAATGAGATTGAACAGGGCATGGAACAATTTGATTTTAAGGTCTTGTGGATCTGTAAATCCTTATACCAATAAACATTTGTAAGCACTCCAAACTCTTAATGTCTCCCACAAATCGCCACCACCTCTTCCTTCTCAGCAGGAATAGGAGCGTACGAATTGTAATTTTTTGAGGATTTTTTCAGCTTTTCCCTTTCAAAGAGTAGCATCTTGTCTTTACAGACAATAAGCTTCTGGAGAAATCCGACTTGCAGACTGTCCTGGCTGAGAGATTTCAAGGAGACAAATATGACCTTCACAATAGGCATGATATTAGGTATGGTGTATGTGTGGTCCTTTCACTTGTCAATTTTCTGGTGCCAACTTATTTTCTGACCATTCGTGATTGATGTATCCCCTCAACAATGTTTTCCTCTCCTCCTTCACTCCCTGTGCAATGTGAATTGGCACTTTGTAATCAGACACTTGATGGAATATGAGAGCAGCCCAGGTTGTTATTCGCCCTCTGACCACCAGCAAAACAAAAAAAACCTCATTGCACTTTTAGACTGACAGCTAAAAGTCAATCATAATCTGCTTTATAGTGCCAAAGACCATTGCTGTGTCTTTTGCTTGTTCTGTACATTTATGTGTTTAACCCTGTGGAGGCTTGAAATGCAAGTCTGGCATATAGACAGTGCTGGGATCTTTTGCAGCTTTAGGTTGTTGAATAGTTAAAAAGCAATGGGAGTGAGTTAATAGGAACAACAATGTACAGAACTGGGAAAGATCATTGTGGGGTTTATCTGGCCATCGTCCTAACTTGATTTATACACCAGAAGGCTATTTAATTCTGCCTTGAAGTTGGTGTCTGTGGTGGTGGCACCTGGTCTTATTATTTAAATCTACGAAAAGTTATGCTGAATCAAATTGATTACAAAATAACTGCTTTTAAAGAGGAACTTTCATGCAGTGGAAATTCTCTTTGTTTGATATTCATCTTTTTCTGTGTTGAATATACAGGATCAGTAAAGACCACTGGGGGTCCACATGGCCAGTCAGAAACATCTGTACAGCTTAAAACAAAATTTGTAGTGAAATCATTGAAATTGTAGAAATTATTTCCTACAGACAAGAGCACACAGAACAACATTCTCCTTTAAGCCACACCCATTTCAGTTTCACTAAACACGAAGGCGATACTACTGGGGGCAGCTATAATGTCTTTGCAACACAGTTGGTCTAAGCAGGTAAGTACAAGGACCCATGGTGGGAGGCCTGGGTTGATGGGAATTACTGCGGCATTGAGTGCTAGTTCCCCTTTTAGATTAACATATATAATGCCAAATATTTGACCGTATATCTTCATTTTTAGTATGCCTAGTTTGAAAAGTAAAAGTTGATCTTTGTGTGTTCCTCAAGTTAAGTTTTTGTTCTTTTTCTCACAACAGTCCAGGCTCTGATAACATGCGGAATGAATCGCTGGCTCAGGAAGTTTCCCAGATGAGGATTCGCCACCAGGAAGAGCTCACCGAACTGCACAAAAAGCGCGGTGAGGTGTGTGTGCTTGCATGGGATCCAGTCAAGTCTATTTCGCCTACCTCTTGTCCAGTTTTGTTCAGAGGGTTTACCGGGATTACTGCTCCTCTGAACTTTCCTTTTTTGTCCCTTCCAAATACATTGCCTCACAATCTCTGCAACCCCCTTCATCTTCATTGTGCTGAATTCAGGCTCCTCGCATCGTCTCTAACTCTTAATTTATATTCAACCCTGGACTTCTTCCTCCAGAATATTTTAGCTGCTACAGCAGCACTAAAAACATTGTGTCCTATGCATTATTTCACAAGTGCCGGTACTGTTGAGCTGAATGCTGCTGTGAAGAGGTCCTAAAGACATCATAAGAAGTTAGAGAACATCTCAAAGCGCTTCGCAGAATTTACGGCAAAGTGTAGTGACTGTGCACTTTGTAGGCAAATGTGGCAGCCAATTTCCACACAACAATGTCCCACAAACAGCCATAGCGGTCATATTAGAATATGGGCTAAGATATTTAAGTTGCTTTTATATGTAAGACAAGATATTTAGGTTGTAATCTGTTTGATGACAGTTCCCTTTCTCGTAACATGGTCTGTGTGCAGTGCAATGAGTACCCCTGTATATTGGCACTTGTATCATGCTATTGTTGCTTGCTGATTATTGTGTTTGTTTTCCTCTCAGCTTGCGCAAAATGTAATTGACCTCAACAGCCAACTGCAACAAAAGGACCGAGAGATCCACGCAAATGAAGCAAAGTAAGTCCCGACATGATTGAGTTGCAAAAAACTGTTTATCTTATTCTCTAATCTACCCTTCCCTTCTTTCAAACAGTTGTATGTGAGTGTGTTCCAATCCTTGTTGCTTTTACACACTCAACGGCCCATACATGTTTGAGTAGGGCAGTTCTCACGTATCCTAGCACAGCCATTGTGCTTCATATGAAATAGCTTCTGGATCAGCAGGGAATCCCTGCTGAGGGCTCTTCTGAAGTGAATGTGGCACAGTTCATCTTCAGCTTTGTTCTTCTGAAAGTGTTGAAGCACAGAATTAAAATTGTTGTTGTCCTCTGAGGGTGGGTTAGATTTCAGCAAAAGTGCTCAGCTCTTCATTGTGACTAGACTGAGCAGAGACTGGGCAATTCCTGGGAGAGGTTGGTTCGTTTGACCCCTTAGATGAGGACTGTGCTGTGGGAAAGAGCAGATCACACTGGAACTGCCAGTGATTGGCATCTTGACGTATGTTGTCTAGTGTCATGCAACAGATTTATATCAACACATCCTTTTCAGTTTGGCAGGTGTTTCTATGGGTCATCTAAATTTGGTAACGGAAGTGGAGGAGAGGACTAAATACTTTCAGTATGAAAATAAGTGAATGGTTTTATTTATTTAAAGGCATTGAGGCACCTATCATTTGAAGTCTCAACCTTCACATTAACTCTACCTACCTCAGCTATGGGGCTACCGGTAAATACCTCAAGGAAATGGGAGAAAATCTCTTCCTAGGAAATCAGAAATATTCCACAACCTAGTTGCCTAGTTTTATTGGGGGTGGAGGAATATTTTAAACAGAAAGCATTGATTTTTGGCCTTGTTCTGTCAACACACTATGCAGTGTGCCAGGGCTGAAACTTTCAGAAAGCGTCTCTATTCCTAAAGTATTAGTTTTTCAATTTGCTTTTTCAGGATGCTGGAATACGAGAAGCAGATCCAGCAGCTGCAGGTGGAGTGTCAGGACCTGCGGAACAACCTGCAGGACCTGGGACAAGCTAATCAAACGCTGAAGGACGAATATGACGCTCTGCAGATCACATTCAACGCCCTGGAGGAGAAGCTGCGGAAAACGTCTGATGAGAACAGGGAGCTGATCACCCGGTGGATGGCTGAGAAAGCGCAGGAAGCAAATCGGCTGAATGCTGAAAATGATAAAGATACCTGGTATGTTATGTGCCTCAATGAGCAACAACAATCTGTGCTGCCACAGTCACTACACATTACAGTGTGTCCTATGAAGCGCATTAAGAAAAGCACTGCATCAATGCAAGAATTATTATTTATCAAGCAACTTTCACTTGGATAACAGTTCGGAGTACTTTACAAAGTCAGGGTCAGACGCCATGCAAGGAGGAGGGGAAAAGGGGAGCACAATCAAAGAGGTAGGTTTTATGCAGGGATTTAAAGACAGATATGGAGGAAGCAAGATATGGGGATAGAGGGAGGAAATTCCTGAGATCAGGGGAGTTGGAGCTCAGCTGGGTATAGTACAGGTGTGGTGTTCCATCACTCCACAGCTTGCAGCTCAGAGATTGCAACTCTGTTGGCCAGGACACATGTATTTCCATTTCATGATTTTTTTTTACTTGTGTAGGAGACGTCAGGCCAAACTGAAAAAGGAACTTGCAGAGGCTGCCAAGGAACCATTGAATATTGACCCGTGAGTTCATTCAAAGCCATTGATCTGACAGGTTCAACTTAAGCACAAGGTTTCAACCTACACAAGAAACAAAACCATTGACTTTCTGGGACCACTGCAGGCTCCAAGCCACAGAGACCCTGGAGGAAATTGTCTTCAGAGATTTAAGTTGTTCATTTTTGGAATGACCTAGAACCCACATTAAATCCACCTTAAACCAATACACAAAATATTTCAGGAATAATCATGAACATTTATTTTATCTGCTATCAGTGGTTACCTAATCAGGGTCTGATCATCCAGTGGTTAGCTTAGAAAGTACAACAGGCAAATCAGTTGAATGCTCAAAATGTGCTCCTGTCCTTGTGTCCTCACTTACTCCTCACAGTTCTCTTCTCTACACCCCAATTTGGCCAATTTTCTCACCACTCCAGGGAAATGCTAGCTCTTGCTTCAATAGTTTCAAGAATGCACACGTTTAGGCAGTGAGTGTTGGCAAGGTATTCACTTTTGGTGGTTCGGGTGAAAGGGTTTCAGCTGAACCAGCTGTGGATTCTGTGGACATTATAAGGTGGGAATTAACTGCAATTTTGCATTTTTCTCAGTGATGATGACATTGAGGTGCTGGGTGAGGAAGGCCCTGACACAGGCAGCGAAACGTCACCCGTGCGAGGAACAAATAGGACTAGTAGGTAAGCACAACATGGTAGAGGCTAGGGGTGGGAGATGGAATCGAGGGCTACTAATCAAAAAGAGATCTCAGTCCTGGCTGCTAGTTAATGGAGCGAACATGAAGGGCCAATGTTTACACTTCATTGTCTCACACTGACTGCTCTTTACCTGCTCTCTATAGGCGGACATCACAGGCATCTGGACTCTTGGATTCTATTACTAATATTTTTGGGTAGGTTGGTAGTTTTTCTCCTTCATTTCCCTGTATTTCTTTGAAAAGTTGTCTTCATTAATATGATATCACATATGAACCAAGGTACAGCAAGTTTTTTTTTACTTTTCATTCTTATTCCTGATTTTCTGTCTTTATATTCACCCACATTCAGTCGCAAGCCTGCATCTAGGAAATTGTGACCATAATAGTGAGGCAGGACTTTACCCTTTTAAATTTAAGATTATACTACACGAGTTGAAACAAACTGAAATACATTAGTATCAGCAAATTCAGCTGAGAGTTGATAGATTTATTTCACTATATAAGAGAATATTACACTGTTATGTTCGAATGGGACTTGCAATGGTCTTTTCCGGTCCTGTGCATCCCTATGCCTTTTGTGGCTGCTGTCTGACTGGGGTTTCCAGACAGGAGATGCGTCCTGGAACCAGAATACAGGCACTGAATTAGAAATATGTGTTTCATCTTAGAAAGCGTTCACCCACTTTTCATGGGATCACGACTGAGGCCACAGAGTGTCGTACGGGACCTTGCAGCGAGATGCGACTGCCCAACACAGCTCTCCACGTGTTTGTGAGTATTTGTGTTTTAAATAATAATAATCCTTGCATTTGATTTAGCACCTTATCACGTCATTGAGATGTCTTAAAGCACTTCACAGAATAATGACGAAAGTGTAGTTTGCACAGAAGGTAAAATGGTCCTTCTCTTCTTCAGGGTTAAACATAGCAGAGGTCGGTGATGATAAGTAAAAGGTCTGATTGCTCCAGGGCACGTTCCCAGCACCTTCGCTCCCAGAAGCCCCCGTGCATTTCCCATGCTGCTCTAGCTGTGCTGCGATGGCAACCGGGGGACTTCTGACAATAACTGATGCAGCTGCTTCAGTCCATGTTTCAGAGAGAGATTTGGATCACGTTCACAGCGGCATCTGACAAGAGCTGTCACTCGGGGCACCGGGTGCTGAGGGCAACTCTGGTGCATGACTGCAAACCACAAGCTGAGACCTCTGCTCAGAGAATTGGGAATGAGGTTAGATTGTGAACTCAGTGCAGTTCTGAAAAACGGTCTCAAGAGCTTATAATAATAATCCTTGCATTTGATATAGCACTTTTCACGTCGGGAGGACATCCCAAAGCGCTTCACAGAACACACTGTAAAGTGAATTGACTGTATATTTGTGGGCGAACGCGGCAGCCAATTGCGCACAACAATGTCCCACAAACAGTCGTTTAAACAGCTTAGTTTAAATGGAGGTGAGAGAGTCAGAAGGTTTGTTCCAATGGAAGGAAAGGCCAAGTTTACGATCTGATGAACCTTTCATTGAATGTTTTCTTTTTATTGTGGGGTTAGTGAGAAGATGGAGCATGGTGAGCTTATTTCGAAAAGGGTATAAAGGTCAACGACTGTCAGTAACTAATAATGTGTGTCCACCCAACGAGCTGGAGAATCCCAACATCCCCAGACATCTAATTGATGAGGAGTTGGGCACAAAACCAACAGAGGTTCCATGTCTAGGAATGTGAATGGACTTCCCTCCTCTTTCCCCTCCCCAGCTCACAATCCATAGCAAGGGGTACAGACTTTCCCTGGGTGCGGGAGTGGAAGAAGAGAACTTCTACATTGCAAGAGAGATGGAATGATGGGAGGAGGGAAAAGGATATTCAAACTTTTTGATTTCCATATTGCTTCCCTTTTAATGTAGTTATGATTACACGAGCTGGGTCTGTATAGACAGGGATTTCTGTCAAGCTCACTGGAGCTTTGTTTTACTTGAGATGCTGCTATAGAAACCCATGGGTTTCTGTAACTTTGACCTTTTTTTTTCAGGACGCTCATGATGGGGAGGTGAACTCAGTCAAATTCAGCCCAGCCTCGCGGGTGGTGGTCACTGGCGGAACAGATCGGAAAGTTAAACTATGGGAAGTCTCTTTAGGTACGAGCAAGAATCTTCGCAGTGCACCATTGAGCAGGTTAAATGTCACTTCCTGTGCTGGATCCCGGTACAAGCCAAGCCAACCGAGATAGCAGAATGAAAACTGACCAGCAAAGGTGGACATCCTGCTTTTATTATGCTAGAATAGATTTCAACAGCCTTACCAGGAATTGAGGTGTTTGTGGGGGAGGGTGCTTTTATTCTTGCTCAGAAGATACAGGTATGTTTGTCTCATCCTGTGTGTTTACACAGTAGGCTTGTTATCGGGACTATTGCAGACTTTCAGTTTTCGCCAGCAACACAAGCCCCACATTGCATACAGTACAGTTACTTGGCCTTTGTCTGCAGAGGACGTGTCGAGCGTAGCAAGGATCCTGTCATGAGTGGCAGTGTGAAGGGACTTTACAGTGTGAATGATGCTTATCTGCAGTTTGGAGCCTTATTTCTGAAGTTAAAAGTAAATTTTCTTCAATTTGCAAATAACTGAGCAGATTTCAAAGTGAGAACGGACCTATTACCTTATTCTGTATTTTCTGACACATTTATATTGAGTCCAGATGATATAATCATCAGTTATTGTACTTCTATTTATATTTTAATCCTGCAGTGTACAGAGGTCGGTGATGATCAGTAAAAGGTCTGATTGCTCCAGGACACGTCCCCAGCACCTTCGCTCCCAGAAGCCCTCGTGCCTTTCCCATGCTGCTCTAGCTGTGCTGTGATGGCAGCCGGGGGGCTTCTGACAATAACTGATGCAGCTGCTTCGGTCCATGATTCAGAGAGAGATTTGGAGCATGTTCACAGCGGCATCTGACAAGAGCTGTCACTCAGGGGCACCGGGTGCTGGGAGCCGAGTTATATCTGGCGCATGACTTAAAGTTTTCAAGCTGAGACCTCTGTTCACAAAGTGAAGCAAATTTCAAATTTCTGCTTCCTAGTGAGGAGAAATTGCAGTTTATCTACTGTGGGCTCTTCCTTTCCCTTAGACATGCATCTTTCTCCTAGGCTGTGCACATTTGTCTATTGAACAAGACCACCTGTTATTAAGCCTCACCAGGTCTCTGCTTGAGGCTTTCAGGCCAAATTGGTTTGTGGTGATTATCGATAGAATCAGTTCTTCCATTCTCAAGCAGCCATTTGGCCTCAAACCTCACCACATCCCGGCACAGTTCAGCTTAGAGCCAACACACTTGAATCTGTCAGAGAATTTAATGTAGAATTTCAATCTTGCTTCCCTAAAACTATATCCTGTGCTTTTCAGCATCATATGAACCATTCAGTAAGTAAGTAACATCAAAATTATTTTGAGTTCCCATTAAATAAATTAATAGCGATAACCTTTAAGATATTCAAGTACTTGGAGTGTACATATACACTCTGTAGTACATGGTTGTGTTTAGCTATGAATACATTGGGCCTGTGTCAAAATGGTTGCTTTAGACTGGAAGAATAGAGTTGACTTGTTTTGGCATGGAGATTGGATGTGATGTGAGGAAGTGTGCTGTGTGTAAGCATTCTACATTTTATGTGGTGCAAGTTGGGAAGTTTAGTGCTGAATTTCTTTTGCTTAATTGACACAGGAAAGTGTGAGTTGAAAGGATCTCTAACTGGGAGCAATGCTGGAATTACAAGTCTTGAATTTGACAGTACGGTAAGTGTTTGCCATTTGTGCTCAGCGAGATGTTTGATGTAGGAAACGGAAACTCCTATTTCAGGTGCCCAATATCTGCTTCGAGGACACACAGATCGTGTAAAGTAAAGCACAAGTTAAACACAGAATAAAACTCCTTTTATACTGACCGTGAAGCATTTCAAGGTGAAATTTTCCATTGCTCAGGCCAGCCCTTGTATGATCCCCTCTGAGAGAGATTGTCTAATTAGGAAAGCTTGTTCTATGAGCTGGGAACTGGGTTAAAATGGTCCAAGCACAGCGCTTTCAGTCTCCCTCTCTCCTGAGCCTGAGTTGGTGGTGGCCGTGGTGTAGTTTTTGATCTTTCCCAGTGTCATGGAACGCCCTCGAGTTTGCACTGATATGTCAGGGTTTCAGATTTGGTGGATAAACATGTTCTCCTTTTGGTGTCATAAAACTGTTTATGAATTGTTTGGACAGCTCACCGTCTTATTCAATGAAGAGTAAGCAGTAGTTACTATAACCCTTTCTGGAGGTTGATCCTAGGTACAAAGTATGACAAACTTCTATTTCATGGCCATGAGTCTAAAAATTTTTGTTCAAAAATGTTTTGGCTGCAGGCATTGGCTTTCCAATGTCACATATTATTAGGTTATTCTGTGCAGTACTGACCTTAATGCTAAGTGTTTTTCTAGGGTGCTTACCTGTTAGCAGCCTCCAATGACTTTGCCAGCAGAATCTGGACAGTGGACGACTCCAGGTTACGAGTAAGTAGTAAGAACAGAGCGTGGTTTCATTGGCACAGAGAACGATGATCAAGGTCTCGTGGTTTTTTAAAATTCAGGAAACCCTAAGCCATGTCTGTACCCCTTCCTAAAACTCAAATCAATGCAAGTAAAGGGACATTTTGTCACCTTTAGCAGAGGACCATTATCTGGGAGGAGAGAATATATTGTGAATTGAATGGACTGTATATTGTAGACGAAATGTGGCAGCCAATTGCATACAGCATTAATCTAGAGCTGGTTATATGTGAAAAGCAAAGCAGTGAAGTACCTACCTTTTTGGTGTTAGTCTCCAGTAAGAAGGGGAAGATTGAGCATTATTTTACCTGTGCAGAGACTGCTGCTGATGTGGGTTCTTCTGGGATTTATTGTGATTTTTAATCACGTAAATAAGGTGTCCTGATCTTTAAAGGAGGGAAGGCTGTGAACGGGAAATGATTAAAGTTATTCTCTGAGGCTAACAGTGCATAAATCTAATGCTTCAATTGGGGGGTGAGCCACACTGAATGAGCAGTGAGGAAGGCAATACAGAAGATTATCATACAGAAGTCGGTGATGATGAATAAAAGGTCTGATTGCTCAAGTGCACGTCCCCAGCACCTTTGCTCCAGCAAGCCCCCGTGCATTTTCTATGCTGCTCTAGCCGTGCTGTGATGGCAGTAACTGATGTAGCTGCTTCAGTTCATGTTTCTGAGAGAGATTTAGAGGGTGTTGACAGTGGGATCTGACAAGCGCTACTCAGGGACACCGGGTTCTGAGGACTGAATCTGGTGTATGACTGTAAACCACAAGCTGAGCCACCTGTTCCCAAGATTTGGACTCTCCTAGGGAAATAATTCTTTAGAAGTCAGTTAATCCACGTAAAGGTTATTGACCTAAAAAAAGTCATTCAATACTCGATTGTTGTGGGACATTGTTATGCACAATCGTCTGCCGTGTTTCGCCTACAAAATATACAGTCAATTCACTTTACAGTATATTCTTTGAAGCTCTTTGGGACGTCTCGAACATGTGATAAGGTGCTCTATCGAATGCAAGGAATATTATTGTTATCTCCATTCTTCATATATTTATGTATTGTATTTGTCTGCTGTGCGCAATTGGCAGCCGGGTTTCACTCACAAATAAATAGTCAATTCACTTTACAGCATATTCTGTGAAGTGCTTTGAGACATCTAGAAGACGTGAAAAGCGCTATACCAAATGCAAGGATTATTATTAACTTGTGGTAGTGTGTTACACATCGTAATAGCATGTGTGTTTAATAAAAAAAAATCTTCTAGCTGCTCCCTCTGGGCTTCTATGAACAACCATGAGCTTGTGTCCCTAAATGCCAATTGAAGAAATCTAAGTAAAACAACAGAGGATTTGATCCCCTTTGTGTGGAGTATTTTGATTTAACTTTGTTTGCTTTCCTTTACTTACCAGCATACCTTGACAGGGCACAGTGGCAAAGTTCTGTCTGCAAAATTCCTTCTGGACAACGCCCGGATTGTATCAGGCAGCCACGATAGGACCCTCAAACTCTGGGACTTGAGTCGTAAGATCTGTAAGTGCTTATTATAATTTTAAAAAATGTAAACAAGTGTGAAAGAAGCTGCCTGAAGCTGGATGTTCTGCTTTTCCTAAGCTTTGGATTCCCCTGGGGAGATGCAAATGCTCTAAGAATAGATGCAAGATGCATAATTCACTCACGTGCTTGGATAAAATCTAATGCACTTAAGTGTTTTAAGTGATTAAAGTCTTAAGTGATTTATGAATGTCAGTTATGTGAACCTGAGATTGTGGATTATGTTCTCTTCCCCATCATTTAAAAAAGTTGAATATTGTTTTCTCTAGTTCACCTCTATCTCTTTACCGTTGATCATTTATCTTTCAGGTATAAAGACTGTGTTTGCTGGCTCGAGCTGCAATGACATTGTTTGTACAGATCAATGTGTTATGAGTGGGCACTTTGATAAGAAGATTCGCTTTTGGGACATCAGGTGAGAATCTTGTTCATCTGGCTTTCGATCTGGCCTGTAATTCCAATTATTTTAAAAAAAATAATGAATCAGCATGATCAAGTACGGTGTAGTTTTATTGTTTAGTCTTCACATTATGGGGTGAGCTTTTGTTCCCTCTGTTTGTTGAGTAATTGCTTTGTGTTTTGTCATATCTAGAACAGAAAGCATTGTGCGTGAGATGGAACTGCAGGGCCGTGTGACGTCCCTAGACCTTAGCCCCGAACGGTCAGAGCTCCTCACTTGCTCCAGGGACGACCTGTTGAAGATCATTGACCTGCGGACGAACGTTATACGGCAGACCTTTAGGTCAGTGTAAGACAGGTACAATCTTCCTCAGGTTGTTAGATGATGTCAGTATCCCCAACAAATTGATCTGTTTTCTCACCCGAAATGCCTTGTGTACTGATTTAAGAAACCTTTTACCTACTTCACCAGGGCCGGGTGGGTCCAGGCCATCGTTAAAAATCAGCCACTGCGGTAATTTGTAGCTTGCCAGGCACAACGCTTGTATGATGTGATCAGGTACAGATTATTGTTACTGAGGTAGTAAGCATGATGATCACCCATTGATGGGTCTGGTGCCAAACTTGCTCATTGAACAAGTTCTTCACTGTAACCCAGGCACTGTCCAGAAGTATGAGGAAAAGAAAGTCTTATAATTTCCCAAGCAATTTATTAAACTGTAAGATAATTATGTTAAATAGAACACGGGATATGCAAATACTGTAGTCAATTATGAAGGTGGTAAGATTTTTATGCTGCCATTTACTCGATCGTTATCTTCACAGTACGCAAGGATTCAAGTGTGGGTCTGATTGGACAAGAGTAACATTCAGGTACTGACTTTGCTACCGATGATCTCTGTTGATTTTATTGTATTTTGATGAAAAGAGAAACGCATACTCTGATCCCTTTCACTGGATTACTGAATTGTGATTTTTTTTTTCCAGTCCTGATGGGAAATTTGTGGCGGCTGGATCCTCGGATGGAGTGCTTTACATATGGAATGTGGAATCTGGAAAAGTGGAACGAAGCTTAGGAAAACACCACAGGTCTGTGCTGGTCTGTCACTGAACAGCTGCTGGCTACTCTTGAGGGAGCTCTGGAAATCTATTTGCACTGGTTCAATGAAATTAGGCTGAAATAAAGACATCAAGCTTGTTGGTTCTTTAAAGGAGTTGTCAGAGCAGAACAAACGCCACTTTCAGCACTGGGCTCTGAAACTCTGGGGCTCTCAATCCCTCCACCTAGCCCCCTTTTTCCCATCTTCAGGTCATGCTTGAAGACCTTAATAATAATAATAATAATAATCCTTGCATTTGATATAGCGCTTTTCACGTCAGGAGGATGTCCCCAAGCGCTTCACAGAACATACTGTAAAGTGAATTGACTGTATATTTGTGGGCGAACGCGGCAGCCAATTGTGCACAGCAATGTCCCACAAACAGTCGTAGATTGAAAATGACCAATTTATTATTGCTTTGTTTTTTTTGGAGGGATTATTGTTAGGCTCTGTGTGGAGTAAGGAAACTTGCCCAAGGTTTCGCCCTCTGCCTGGAATTGAACTCAGGTCTCTCGCTTGCAAAGCGAGTGCTCTAACCACTGAGCTACAGGACCTTCCTTTTCGACCATGCTTACGGTCTAACCAATGTTCTATACACAAGCAAATAGCTTGTAGAGAGATAGAGGCTTGTATCCTTAATGCTTTTCTCTCCCCTCCCCCCCCCCCCCCCACACACACACATGTTGGCATGTTTTTTGAAACTCCCAATAATTTGAGTGTTGAGTGGATTGTTTTAACTTCATTTGATCATAAAGCTACTGGATATTTGCAACCGAATCACTTATCCTTTCCACTCTGTCCGATTTAGCTCATCGATAAATGCAGTGGCGTGGTCACCATCTGGGGAGTTTGTGATCAGCGCAGACAAAGGAAACCGAGCAGTACTCTGGTCAGAACTGTGATTGAGCCCTGATTGGGAGCAGCTCTTCTGTGAGATGCACTTTCTGGTCACGGCGTGGGTCGTCAGCACTGAGCATGCTCCACTTTACAATGCACAAATGGAGGATGGGCATCTGCTGTATATAAGTGACTGCTGCAAAGATGCTAAGACAATGTTGTGAATTTTTTGTACATTTGCAATTATTTGCAAGAAGTGTAACTTTGCCAGAGTATATTGCTTTTTGAAACCGCACAGGATCTGTGCTGAGAAACCAGCTCTTTAATTCAAGAACGTATTATGTTGCTTCCATACGTGTTCATCTGGAACATTGGTTGAGCTGTCTTTACCTGCAGTGGTCAGGAAGGATATATAGTGGTTCCTGCCTGCTCGTCCGTCGTTGGTTTCATTGAGGACAAAGATTAAGGCATGCTGCTTGTACCTTTCTTTCCACCACCCAGTGGCAAGTACAGTGGATACTTTTAACATTTGATTTCTTGACCGGCGAGGGAAGAAATGTTCCAACCGAGAGTTATTGGAAACTTTTATTTAAAAAGTGTGAGCTGGTTGTGGTGGGTGGGAGTGTTGCAGAGAGGCTTGAATTTTCTCCCCTTCTCTACTGACTTGTTGGGCAATGGTTCTATTGTGCAGTTGCTCTACAGTGATAGGCTGCTTGCCCTTCTGGGAAACACAACTGGGTTTGAGCCTTTCCAAGTTGGGGGTGGGGGGGTTTGGGGGGAGAAGGAGGAGCGTCACAAAATAGCGATCAGGAACAAAGACGTTTTTTTTAATTGAAGTTAACTAGCAGCCCAAACATGCTTGCTGAATCCAAAGACTTGAGGAAAGGTAAGCGTACGTCGTGGATCAATCAGATATCATTACGGATGTTTGTTTCATGGTGCTGGTGGTCCCTGGAAGGTGAAAGTCAATTACCCAGACGCAGACTGCTTTTTTTAAAAAAAGCAGAATCTTCATCAAGTACCTGAACTATCTCACTTTATAAATTGTTTGAAAAAGAACCGTCTGATTTCCAGTAACTGTTCCAGCTAACAGAATGGGTGGTCCACAAAATGGGAGGTCAGAATAAGATGTGCTGTTCCGACAATTGTGGGTTGAGTAGGGTGCATCCTACCCATGCTATATCGTACCTTTGAATGCTTCATGGGACAGTATGGATGGAACTTTACTCCGTGTTTAACTTGTTCTATATTTTATCTGGGAGCCCTTGATGCTGAAATGGAGAGCAAAAGTGGCAATGAGTTTAAGATAACACTAAGTTAGTCTCTCCAACACAGTGTTAATAATAATCTAGGTGTCTAATTCAGTGGATGATGACAGCACATTGAAGTGATCGGATATGGGTTTCCACTGTGGCAATTAATAGGTTAGTTCCAGATGAGAGATGTGCTGTGTGAGCATGCTGGAGCAGAGCCATATGTGAGGACGGGAAATCTGAGCAAGACCCCAGGCATTCCCTTCTCTCTGGCCAATAGCATTCTGTTTTTATTGGTTGCAAGGTAAGTTATGGTTTGTAAATCCGAGATGACCACAACCTCTTTTAAACATATGAAAACAATGAAAATAAAACAAAAAATAAAATAAGTTGTGTTAATCCATACTGTAGTTCCAGACCCATTCTGTCATTTCATCCCCAGACAAAGTTTTGATTCTAGCCTTTCCTCTTAAAAATAAGGAATGCTTCTGCTGCCAGCACTTGTGTTTGCCAAATACAGTACATCTGATATTACAGTGTTAGAGAATAATGAACATGTTTAATGAAGGAGGGAACACTACCCCTTCTCTGAAACACACTAATATATTGATGTGTCTTTAAATTCCAGAAGATGGTAACCTTATCTGAGCACAGACCCTCTGGCAATGGCAAGCTATATGGGTTTAGCCTGTTAGACTCCAGCAGTACCCCAACACACACATTGGGGTCCCCAAACCTTGGCTCTCACCAACTTGCGCCTAATACTCTCTGGAATTAAGTCAGCAGAATACATCCTTCCCCCGGGAAAGAGTGCACATTCTATTCCAATAAATATCTTGGGAATGTCCATATATATGTGGGATGCATGGATCTCTGGTTTGAATACTCTTAAGCATGATGATGGGTTTCTGGCTCAGCTGTTTAGATGTGTTAAGAAATTATATCTATCCCATATAAAGGAAATGCATTTCTGGTATTGATTGCCCTCAGGGAGCAAAGAAACAACTGGGTGTAAAAGATCTATTGTCTGGTGTACTTAGTTAACTGCTGTGTTTAAATTGTTTCCTGTTTATCGGTGCTTTTTGAGTGTCCTTCACAACATCTTTTATTTTCCTGCTGAAGAGTAGCATTCCCTCTTGTAAACCTCTTGTACTCACCATCCACCTCACTGCCTGGCATTGCTGCTGAAGTGAAACTTCTTTTTAAATAAAGTAAGTTCTGAAAGCTAGTACCATCAAACTTGTATCTATTTATTTTCAGTTGGCCCATGTACCAACTTCAAGGGCAACAACAACAAGATTCCATTTATAGAGCGCCTTTCATGTCGGGAGGACGTCCCAAGGCGCTGTACAGTTGGGTCAGGACCTGAGCATTGGGGAAATGGTCAGGGTGAGGGAAGGGAGGGAGCGAGGAGGGAGTCAAAGGGGAGCTGAAGGCACGGTCAAATCTGTAATTTAGAAGAATATTTATTGTGACTAAAGCAACATTCTCATCTGAGGAGCGCTCAAAATCGTTTTGCAATAGATTACGTGAATTTGAACAAAGTCCATTTAAATTGGGGTACAGAATGCTTTCATAAGTGATGTTCTTTGTGTCTGAGACCACAAGTGTCAATAATAATAATCCTTGCATTTGATATAGCACCTTATCACGCCTTCGAGAGTCTCAAAACGCTTCGCAGATTATACTGTAAAGTGAATTGATTGTAAATTTTGTGGGCGAAGAAGGGTATTCAAACGGGAGCATCGTGAATAAGATACCTACCAACGTCCACATAAGTACCTTTTCCAGGTGGGGAGGGTAGAAATCAAGAGCAGTTATAAACTGCTCATAAACTGATTCCACAAACAGTTCATTGTGTTATTGAACAGAAGTGATTGTTTTATAAAATTATATTTATTACTTCCAAAGTGTCACACTCTGGTATGTTTCTTGGCCTGTTATATTTGGCTCTACTATTCACCCCCTCACTGATCCCAGCCCCTTCAGACTGAAGGAAGTCCTGATCAGAGGTGCCGCATGAGGAGTTCGATGAATGCAGCAGGAGTTTCGTAGATTCCACTAATGCACAAACTGGTGAGTCAGGAAGCTGTGGATTACAGACCGGATTACACAGGAATTCTCAGTCTGTCACCTTTTGAGTTTAGATCTCACTAGTGGTGAAAATCTGCTCGGCTAATTGTAAAGCTATTCTTTGAAGGGCCACGGGCTCCGTACCACATGATACACCCCACACAATGCTTTCATATTAAGATTTTTGGGGTCCCCTTATGTTTCTCTCTCCCCCCCCCCCCCCCCACCGGTCTCTGCTGCAGGTGGAACGATAACAACAACAAGATTCCATTTATAGAGCGCCTTTAATGTCGGGATGACGTCCCAAGGCGCTGAAAGTGACCATTCTTCAGGTACCATCCCAGTGCCTTTAAGTCTGGGGCTGTTTCTGTTTCCTTAATACCAGTTGTAATTTATAAAATAAAACTAAGATACTTATTTTAGGCTTCTGTCTTTTGATGGGGAGGGGGGAGATTTTCTCTTGATTTCCTTGCAATATGTTCTATTTCCCAGCTGATTGGGCAGTTGTCTACTCCCAGGTCTCTGCCGGGCCCACGTAATAATCCTTGCATTTGACATAGCATCTTATCACGTCTTCGAGAAGTCTCAATGCGCTTCACAGAGTATACTGAAAAGTGAATTCAAGGTATATTTTGTGGGTGAAATGGGCAGCCAATTGTATACAGTAGTGACCCACAAACGATTGTGGATCGAGTGACCAAATTATTTTTTTTTTTTTGAAGGGATTGTTAACGCCAGAAAAGTGATCCACCAATCCACTAACAACCGGGTTCCTACTTACTGCTAAATAAATAGAGGTGTGTGGAGTAAGGAAACTTGCCCAACGTTTCACCCTGCTGGGAATCAAACCCAGGTCCTCTCATTTGCGAGGGGAATGCTCTAACCACTAAGCTACAGGACTCTACAGTTTCAAGAGGACCCTGTGATCAAAGTCTGTTGTGTAGTTTTGATTGATCAGTTCTGACAAGGGCATACTTGCTTCCTCTGATCTCTCAGGTGTTACCAAAGGTAGGTATGATGTGTTAGAAATCTGTTGCACGTGATGCTTTTATTGAGATTATATCATTTTTGAAGTAATGTCACATGGGCAGCAGTGCCCTTGGTGAGAATTTGCTGACTTTTTTTATTTATGAATATAATCTGCTCAGGGCACAGATTTACCATGACCTGTAAAAGGATTATGGAGATTAAAAGATATGAATAGAAAATATGTTTGTATCAGGTGGGTAGCAGGCCACATGCAAGTCTCAGGCTATAAATGCTTCCTACAGCTTCCCTTCAGGTAACAGTGTTTGGCTCCTGACACCCTGAGAGGAAAACTTACTCTTAAACTGACCGAAGGCCCAGAATACATCTGCTAGAACACTGACTCGGTTGACATCCTTGAAAAAGTACGTTTTGGGGGCATTTGCTCTCTCACATTCGACGCTTTTGTTGAGGCCAACTCCTTGAGGTAACTGTTGTACTTTTCATATTATGTTTATTCCCTCAAGTAAAAAAAAAAATAATTTGGTCGCTCAATTCACGACTGTTTGTGGGATCCGTTACTGTGAAGCGCTCTGAGATGCCGTCCGGCATGGAGGGCGCTATATAAATCCAAGTTGTTGTTGGACACTGCTGTGCGCAATTGGCTGCCGCGTTTCACCCACAAATATACAGTCAATTCACTTCACAATATATTCTGTGAAGAGCTTTGAGACGTCTAGGAGATGTGAAAAGCGCTATATCAAATGCAAGGATTATTATGTTTAGTTTGGCTCTACTGTATCTTATTTTCTAACTTGCACAAATTTGGAGGCTGTCTTGGTTAAATGAATGCATACACATCAAGGAACTTGGATAGTACAAAACTGGTTCTTACTGGGCTGAGTGAGAGCCATTCCAATATTGCTTAGGAATCTGCTGCTCTGGCCTGATTCATTCTCAGAATTTACAGCATTTCAAAACAGTGTGCAAATCATAACTCTTAAGGAATCCTTTACAGATTAAAATATCCTAAAGGATATTGAGTTAAATGCATGGCAAACATTTAGCAATGGCCTTTTAAGCTGAAGAGAGCTGCTCCTATGGCGCAGTTGCTAAAGTCACAAGCCACATTTTAAGGAGTTCTCCAGATTTGCTTTCCAGTCTCTATTCAGTTAGTTGATCTCAGCTGAGGTGGGGACCCACAATTGACTTTACCCTTGTTTGTGGAGAGTAAAGCTCAGCTCTGATGCTCTCACAGTTTAAATGCGTACTGTCTGAGGTCACATTTGTAAGTGAATAGACATTCCTTGCGTTTTCTACTTGCATACCTTCAGTAATTTTCAATGGGAATCGATGCTCTTTCCAGAGGAAAATGGTTTATAATCTCCATGCTAATCATCCTTTGACACTCAGTAGCCTGGTCACTTCGCCAGTTGAGGAAATTTCTCTTAAGATTTGTAGAAAACAAATTAAGCGAGTGAATTGCTCTGAATCCGGGTTATGGATGGTTCATTGTTCACAGCCAGTCACTGGTGACTCAACCGGGCTCACAAACTAAACTCATAACTTTGTCCAAATTGTTGTCTGTGTTGTAGATTTCTGTGGTTCAATGGCGTGAGTTACGCAAATGACATTTTGCGTAGATCAAAACCCAGACCCTTTCGGAACCATGTACATAACTCCTAGAGACAAGATGCGGAGCAGGACAGGAGAGGCCTGGTACCAGGGTTCCTGCATTCGTACTCAGGCAGTGATGCATGTTGTAGAGGAAATAGAAGCAAATGAGAAGAGAATAATTGAAGATTGTAATGCAGTTGTTTCGGGGTATAATAAGGGCAGTGATTATCCTGCACATATGCTGCATTTATGGGATCATTACTCTCATCGTCTGCCACCGATCTCATAGAGGAGAATTATATAAACTAACTAATGTAAAACCAAGCCGGCTTTAATGACATCAGGATAACATAAGGTGTTACCTAGGTCACACAGGCAAAGGCAGTTGTAATTTGTTCTTTAGTGTACAACATTCGCCTCCAGTTGGACAAAATGGATACCGCTTGTTAACTACTAGGGGCTGGACCTTACATAGTTATTTGATTATTTTGGAATGCATGCCTATCAATATTTATTATCATTTTTTCAGACTAAGATGAGTGCTGCTGGGAAAAAGGTATCCACCAAGCAAGTTGTCTACAAAAAGACATCCAGGGACAAGTCGGTAAGAGATCCTCTTTTCTTCTCCATTACCTCCTTCTAAAGGCTTTCTCCCTTTCCTTTGGCCATGTTAATTCTGGCTGATGACATCTTATCGACATAACTGACCAGCAGAAATCAACTCAATCTGATCTCCTCCTATTTGTTCTGTTGATGTAACCAGCTCTTACTTCTTTCCTAGGTTGCAATGTACTTGGGAAAGAGAGACTTTGTGGATCATCTAGATCATATCGAACCTGTGGGTAAGTGAAGATCACTAAGTTCATTTAGATATCATTTCAGGTGGGTTTAGTTAGAGGGATGTGCTATCATTTGCATTCACGGCATGTTTGTGTTACTCCAGAATGCCTGCTGATCGTCACTAATGCTGCGCATTTCTCTGCAGATGGTGTGATTGTGGTGGACACAGGCTATGTGAAGGACAGAAAAAGTGAGTCTTAGATTAGCTGGCATCTTGTTAAATCAATGACCTGGGAAATACAGTATGTTCAATATGTTGATGATATAGCGATATGATATAGACTATAATGATATTACATGGTCACCACATAAGAATAATATGAGTGGTAATCCAGTCCCAACAGGTCTAAAGTTACAAACTTCAATTTGGTCCTTGGCTTGGGTATCCATAGATCCATAGCAATTTATGGTACAGAAGAAGGCCATTCAGCCCATCATATCTGTACCAGTGGACAACATGTCAGTTTGAAACCTACTGTTAGTTTGTCCTGAGTTGGTGGTTCTGGCAAAAGTACACAAAGCTCCATTAAACAGCTTCTGAACATTAAACACACTTTTGCAGATACTGTCAGTGCTTCACTAACAATAAGATTGGAATTTGATCCTGCAGACCAACTGGAGGATCAAATTTACTTTAATTGTGATTCTTGTGTTTGTCAGGGTGAGGGATCTTCGTGCTGGAACAGGGAGCATTTTCCAATTCTAGGCGATCAGTGTGAGCATCAAGCTCACAACTCCCAAGTCAGATATTACATGGGTTTGAGACAGAGGCAAGCTCCCACTGTACAGCCCATCAAAGGGCCTCAACCCAATCTGAGCAACTGCCCTTACTGCAACAGCGTGAGGTTTTCTTTTACGCCTGCTCCCTATGAGTGAAACTCCAAATTAATACCATGTTAATAGCAGCTTTGTTTGTGTGCCAATCCTCTGTAGGAACTGAGTAGAGACTGTTCAAATGCCTTACAAGTACAATAGGGCCTTTACAATCTATATTCTTAATAAATTATGCAGAAAAATATTCACCCAGGATCTTGTTCCATCCTGTTCCGTCTTTCCTTCTCTTGACTCCTCCAGACTCTGGGTCCTTTGTGTGTAACGACGATCTGTTTGGCTACTCTTTATCTGATCTAATGCTTCCTTCACTCAATCCTCAGTTTACTGCAGACTGAGCTGCATTTTCCACTATGGCAAGGAGGATATGGACGTCATCGGCCATCCATTCAGCCGTGACCTGTATGTGAGCACAATCCAGATATACCCTCCTACCGAGGAGACAGCCCATCCCCTGACCAAACTGCAGGAACGACTGTTGAAGAAAGTTGGAGATAAGGCTTATCCCTTCTGCTTCCAGGTAATAATAATCCTTTCATTTGATATAGAGCCTTATCACGTCATTGAGACATCTCAAAGTGCTTCACACAATATACTGTAAAGTGAATTCACTATATAATTTGTCGGTGAAATGTGGCAGCCAATTGCACACAGCTGTGTCCTGCAAACAGTCGTGGATTGAATGACCAGATTATTTATTTATTTGAATGGATTGTTACCCCCGGAAAGTGATCCACCAATTGACTAACAACCAGATTCCTATTAAACAGAGGAGTCTGAAGTAAAGAAACTAGCCTAAGATTTCGCGCTGCCCGGGATTCAAACTCGGGTCCTCTCACTTGCGAAGCAAGTGTTTTAACCAATACGCTACAGGACTGCCAAGTTTGGTTATATTATTACATTTGTAGTTATGGATTTGTGGTGACCACCACAAGAATCACAGACTGGGTATGCTTGGATAATAATAATAATCCTTGCATTTGATATAGCGCCAAATGTCTTCACGTTTTCGAGACGTCTCAAAGAGCTTCACAGAATATACTGTAAAGTAGATTGACTCTATTTTTGTATGTGAAACATGGCAGCCAATTGTACACAGCAGTGTCCCACAAACAGTTGTTGATTGAGTGACCAAAATATTTTTTTTAAATTTGAAGGTTTTTTTTGAAGTGATAGAATTTTTCTGTTAAGTTGTGTCTGTTTCCTTTATTTTCTACAATATCTGATCCTCTTAAATAAATTTCCTGAATTCAGTTACTCTGACACCATCAATGTTTGTGCCTTTTCCCTTGACAGCTCCCAGACCACCTTCCCTGCTCTGTCTACCTCCAACCGAGCCCCAGTGAACCAGATAAGGTGAGATCTGCTGGAACCTAACCTGCCTCATCGTAACATCATTGAAAATAACTCAACATATGTGAAATGTGATCAATATCCATCATTAGTTTGAGTTTTCTAAAGCATGCTGATGCCAAATAGTGAGAAACACTGGAATCAAATCAAGAAGTTTAAATGGTTTATACATAGAATAATTGAGTTATATGCATTCTAATCAAGGGGTTCAGATAGTGTCAAAGAGTGAAGCAGGAAGACGTTTTTGAACAGTCTTGGGGTTGCTAGGGAGAGAAAGATATCCAGAATGTCTTTCATGATCACTATTCAGTGGAAATTCATGTGAAGATAGGATGAATAACCTGCTGAAACACATTGTCTAGGCTCATACATAAAGAACAGGCATTTTGGTGAGATAACCCAAAAAGTATTTTGAGATGAATAAAGAGAATTTTTCAAAACAAAAATAAAATAATGCTGGGGTAGATTTGTGTCTGGCTTGACTAGCAGAGATTTTGTAGGAAACCTTCATTTTCCTAATATTTCTGACCCTTTTGCTTCCTGTTCCCCTTCAGTGCTGCTCCGTGGATTTTGAGATTCTCAGTTTCTGCGTGCAAAGTTTGGAGGATAAGATCCATAAAAAGTAAGTAATCAGGACTATAATGAAATATGTTGAATGATTTATGTCTCAAACTCAAGAGGGAATTGATGTTTGTCATGGGAAGTGGAATTTGGACAGGTAGCCCACAGTTATCTTTCTGAGTCCTATACGTTCTGTCGATAACAGTACAGGATGCATACAATTATTCTACAGACCTCAGTCTTGATCAGGTTTGGGTTCCCTGGATTCTTTCTAATAGATTTTTTTCCTGAATCTTTTCCTAGGAGTTCCTCACGTTTGATGATCCGTAAGGTGCAGTTTGCTCCGGATAAATCTGGGCCGCAGCCAACTGCTGAGATAAGCCGGCACTTCCTCATGTCAGATGATCCCCTGCACTTAGAGGCATCTCTTGATAAGGAGGTGAGGGGGCCTACCCAATACACCTGCTAATCTCGCAAAGATCTGCTCTTTAAATCAGACATACAACCCTGTTTTAGCATTTTCTCTCTGTCGGGAAGGTGCTGACTCTTGCTAGTGTCAATGAGTGAACCAGGAAGACTTTTTTGGACAGTCTTTGGGTTGCTAGGGAGAGAAAGATATCCAGGATATCCGTACATGATCACTAATCCCCAGTGGTAATTTATGTGAAGATAGGATGAATGAATCTTGCTGGACTCTTGCTGACGCTACCCCATGCGAAGGGCACTATATAAATGAAAATTTTTGTTGTGTAGTGTTTTGTTGCTGCAGGTCATCCTCATCCTATTAGTGAATCTTTCAATACAAGCCTATACAGTGATGTTGGCTGGTTAATTAACCACAGGGAGGGGGAGCAGTGAGCCTCAAATGCTTTCCTAGTTAAGCTAAGCTAAATCACTATCTGGAAATCAAACGTGCGACCATCCATTCTGTTTTCCCAATGATGCCCCATTTAGATAGAGAGCCAGTTCTTTTTCAATGAGTTATTCAATACATTGTTGGTGTTGATTCCTTTATAGGGGAGTTTCTTCAACAAATCCACAGAAGAAAAGATCCTTCTAAACTGTCATCCTTTATTTCTCTCACACAATCTAAATCAAACCACTTGCTTACATCTAGACCACATATGCCTCTCATCACCTTATTGACAATACGTTGCATTTATAACATTGTTCACACAAAAAAAAACTCAAAGCACTTCACAGAGATGGAATGGGACCTTGGTTCATTCATCCATTAATCTTCTATTCTCCAGTGAAAACAATTTCACAAATCTGTCCTCACAACATAGAGCCCCGTATTTTACCATCATCCTCGATGCTGTTCTTTCAAGACTCTACAATGCATGAACTTTATCATATATTTAGTTCATTTCCGACAAATATTCCATTGGGGAAACCATTGACAAACTCATAATTGGTCTGTTAATTGAATGTAGTAACTGAAGAGATGGCTCTCTGAGTTTGCATTGTGTTCTTTCACAGACTTACTACCACGGGGACCCCATCAATGTGAATATCAAGGTGAAAAATAACTCCAACAAGTTAGCAAAGGGCGTCAAAGTATCAGGTATGAGCTTTACACTTGAGGATAGGGTCCAGCTTGACTCCCAGGTTGGATGGAGGTCTGCGTATCTGCAATCATCTGTTTGAGAAAATATATTTTTTTAATCTCTAGTCCCATTTGCCTGTGATACTCTTTACCACCTGTCCATAGAGGTTCAATCGGATCATACAACAACAGGTGTAACTAATTACACTAATTACTAATTACAGGTGTAACTAATTAATTTGTGGAGTCCTGTAGCTCAGTGGTTAGAGCACTCGCTTTGCAAGTGAGAGACCCGAGTTCAATTCCAGGCCGAGCGAAACCTTGGGCAAGTTTCCTCACTCCGCTCAGAGCCTAATAATAATCCCTCCAAAACCCAAAACAATAATAAATCGGTCATTTTCAATCTACGACTGTTTGTGGGACATTGCTGTGCGGAATTGGCTGCTGCGTTCGCCCACAAATATACAGTCAATTCACTTTACAGTGTGTTCTGTGAAGCGCTTTGGGACCTCTCCCGACGTGAAAAGCGCTATATCAAATGCAAGGATTATTATTATTATTAATTGTGAACCCAAAATATGTGGTTTGCCCACCATAATTAAATAGGTTATCAGCACTTGTGAAATATCAATAATAATAATATGAATAAAGAGTTGAGTTCACAAGCTGTGCTGTGAAATAGCGATTGTTCTTTACTGGATAGTGATTATTCATTACTGGTGCCTACTAGGGATGTGATTTTCACTCTTCAGAAATCCCAACTGAATAGTCAGTGATTTGGAAGAAAGTTGACCCAAAGGTTAGTTTGCATAACTACATACTCTGAAGCAATGAAGGACTGATCCCTGATATCATTGTCAACATAGTATAGAGGAATATAACAACATCAACAATAAAAACAATAACGTTGAAAAGTCCTACCAAAACGAAATGTAATTTCTTGTTGTTGAATACAAGAACATAATTTAGGTTCAGCACTTGTCATTTGTTGTTGTTTTTATTACCAAAATGATACATCTGTATGGTGCCTTTCGTGTCGGGAGGACGTCCCAAAGTGCTGGACAGTCAAGGATTTGGACCGAATAGAGCTGTGTCACAAATCGTTCATACCATCCATATGAATTTCTGACTTTTCAGTTAAAGACAGGCTTGGCGTGGACCTGTTTTTCCTTTCATTCCCATTAGCTTCTTAAGATCAAAGAGTTTATTTCTGTATGAAATTGCTTGCGTGTGTTTGCTCAGCGTTTATCGTGTGTATTTTCTTTGCCGTCAGTTGAACAATTGACCCAAGTGGTGCTGTACTCCAAAGACAAATACGTACAGGAAGTAGCAGTGGAGGAAACAGAGTAAGTGGACTCTTCATTTACCTAGAGCAGCTGGGAGCCCCTAAACCATTATAGCCCATAGATGAAGCACAGCTTTGAGCCACATTGCCAGATTCTCTTCAGAGTAAGTCAGGAGAGGATGTACTTTACATGTGTATAAGATTTTGTTTGATTATTAATGTTTTATACAGTGAGCAGGTGGCACCGAGTGCTTCTCTCTGCAAAACCTACACTCTCCTGCCATTAGCTGCCAATAACATTGAGAAGCACGGCATCGCATTAGATGGGAAACTCAAACAAGAAGAAACCAACCTGGCGTCCTCTACCATGTAAGCCAAGTGGCGGCGGGGGTGGAATTGGTTTGGGGTGTGGTTAAATAGCTTTTCCCAGTGATTCAGTATCCAATCCCATAGAGATAGCAGGATCAATCAGTCTTTGCTGAATCAACTGATCTCAGTAGTGTGTGTGTGTGGTGTGGGGATGCTAGCTACTATTGGCCTCAGTGTCCTGGCTAAAGAAGAAGAGTTAAAAAAGGTCCCCTCTTCTGATTATTATCAATGAGTTTGCTGCAAAATAAATATATGTATATGTGCTCGTGTGTGTGAGGCAGAGAGAGGGAGAGTATTTGTGCGTACGTGCAACCATTGCCTGATTAATGTTCATCAGTGATGTCTGATTGTGTCACTGGCATTTCCAAGTATGTCAGTACTGTCTCCTACTGTTGATGCCATTTGCACGTCTCACCATCAGCACCTTTGCTGAGTGTCACAGTGGAATACTAGATTGGCGTTATTTTCTTTTCCAGGATAAAGCCAGGAGTTGCCAAAGATGTTCTGGGAATGCTTGTCTCCTACTCAGTCAAAGTGAAGTTAACAATACCCGGGTGAGTCTCTTTTAACTGTATAACTAGCACCCCGTAAGTGTGGGGCTAAAATAGCATGCCATCGTATTGTGTAGATCAGTGATGGTCAACCTTTTTGTTTGGCCAACAAAACAAATTCTTAATTGAATATTTTTTGATATATGCCGCAAAGCTAGAAATATTCTATCAAGAGAAAACTGGAAACAAAACAGTGATTTAAAACAAACCTAGTGTGAATGTTCAGCTGGTGCCACTTCTTGATGGTCCTGAGGGTACTTGCATGCTTTAAATAGAAAAGCACAGTAATATTAATCTCTCTGTGTTTGCTTTCTTGCAGTGTGTTGGGTGATCTGACAAGCAGGTAAAGTTTTAATATCATGTGAATTTCTCCACATTCATTAGTAAATTGTTGACTACACAGAAAGATTGTCTGTGATTTTAAGTGGGGCATGTTAAATGCTCTAAGGCGGTATATTACTTTTATATTTACACTATTTTAATGCAAGCTGTTAACAATAGCCGTGAGAAACGTTTTGAAGGAGCAGGCTCCCGCTGGGGCCCTGTGCTTTGTGGTACAGTGTTTTAAAGGTTGGCTTTGCTGAGACTTTTAATTTCTTTCCCTACAGTGACGTAATAGTGGAACTACCATTCATGCTCATGAACCCCAATCCTGGTAGGTACTAATAGTTATGGTGGTAAGTCATTGTGGGATCTATGAAACACATGGCTGGTTTGCCAAGATACTCTGATCCTGTGTTAGGATTTGTCTAGAAGTCAGCGAAAAGAATAAATAATTTACACGTTTGATCACTTCATCCACTTTAAGCAGTTTATGCTACAAGTTAAACGACAATATACAGCATTATTCTATTATACATTCAAAGACAGCAGAGAATATGGTGTGGGCAGAGGAGTGGGGAGTGCTGATGTTGGTAGGGTACATAATACAGAAAAATAGTATCTCTTTTAACCATTTACTGCAGGTTTAGAATGTGCTGATGTGTTCCACTTATTCTGTAAATTCCTCAGTTTACCCAAGTTGATATAGTTGATATAACTCTTAAAATTAATTACATTGATGTCCAGTTATTCCTTATGCACTGTGCTTGATATAGCAGAGTAAGTGATTGCAGTTTATAAAATGTTACTATTGCGGTGTTTAGACTTTAATGGACTACACAAGTGTTAATCTGAGTCTGATTTGGTATAGATTCCTTGACTTCATACAGCTCCATGTATGTTTGTGTGTGTGTCAGTCTCACACTAATGATTATTTTTTATCTCTCAATCTTTCTCCCTGTTTATTCCACCTACAGATACTTCCAAGTAAGAATCTTTTCTTGTTTCTTTTGTTTCTGGTTGATTGGTAGAATGTTGAGGAAACGGGGGCAGGGGTGTGGTGTTTACTGGTTGGGTAAAGTACCTGATCTTTGCGCTTAAAGGGATTTCTATACTAAAAAGAGATTTCCTCTCTATAAAGTACAGTGACAAGATCAGTAACTACTAATTAGCTGAATTGTACACCACTTTGATCAAAGCTCGATTATTTAAAAATAAATTTGATATTTACATAAAGTACCCTAGTTACATAACTGCATCTGTTATTGATTAGAACTGGTGAATGTAAATCTGCTAGAATCTTTTAATAGCTGTTGAGAAATACGTCAACCTTCACTGAGGGTAGAAAAGAAAAACAAGAAATAGTGCTGAGGTGACACAAACATTGGGCCTTATAACCCTGCAAATTGAGAAGTTTGAGGTAGTTGAGGAGTTACACAGTCTAGAGATTTGAGCCTTCAGATACTATGCCCTTAATCTCTGGAACTCTCTCCTTCTACCCCTCTGTTTCTCTCTTTCTTTATGACCAATTTTAAAACCCATCTCTCTGACTGTGCCAATGGATACCTCGCCCTTTCCCTTCCTGTCCAACTATGTCTTTGTAATGCGTTCCGAGATGTTACCATAACTGAAGGGCACTATATAAATACAAATTGTTGTGGGGAAGAAAGGGTTAGTATAGGAGATTAATCTTGATTTCAACACATAGTGGTTTAACTTGTGATATTCATAACAGAGATGGGAAGAGCTAATTTCACCTCTTTCATTGTACCGAGAGGTCATATTGGGGTCAACTGTGAGTGATTTCCTCTCCGTCCCTTTTTATATTTTGGAACATCTTGAAAATCACAATTTAGCACTTTCCATGATTTTTGCAAATATTGCAATTTAGATCTGCATAAGCATGAAAGGAGAAGCACAAGCATTGAAAAAGCTTAGGAGGAGCAAACGAAGGAAGTTCACGAAACAGTGACTGACTATTGGGAGTAGTGTGCTTTTAGTTTAGTTACTTTTTATGTTTAGTTACTTTCATCTATAGTTACTTCTGTCTGATTGATCTAAGAATAGAATTCTGAATGAGGAACAGTCACAAATAACTATTGGAAATGGAAGAATGAAGTAAGATACAGTGCTTAGGAAGTTGTTGATCTTACAAGGTGCTTACCCTGAGAATTTATTTAACTGGTGCATTATACTATGTGTGCCTCGTATCACAGCTCTCTATTTTGTGTCTATCGACTGCACTGCCTTGTGTTATTCAGCTTATTTTACTGAACCCAAACTTGCATGTGTGTCTAATTATTTCCAATACCCTCAACAGTAACTCATCTCCACACTGTCAGTATCAACCCATCGCCACACTCTCAACATTTCGCCCACAAAATATACAGTCAATTCACTTTACAGAATATTCTGTGAAGCACTTTGAGACCTCTCGATGGCGTGATAAGGCACCAAATCAAATGCAAGGATTATTATTATTATAAGAGAGGTTTGAATAAAGAAGGTCCTTTGGCCAATTTACTTTCAGATTCCCAGGATGACCAACATAAAACAACAATTTGCACTTATATAGCGACAACCATGCAGGGTAGTGTCTCAGAGTGCTTAACAATGGCAGGGCCTAACTCCAAACTGGGGAGGTGGCCTTAAGCATGGTCAAAGAGCAAAGGTCTTCAGGCGGGACTTGAAAAGGAGAGAAGGGGCAAGGCAGAGGGATTGAGGGAGAGTGTTCCAGAGTTTTGAGGCATAGTGGCTGCAAGCGTGACCTCTGATGGTGTCGAGCGGAGGCGCCGGGTGGGGATTGGGGAGTGAGGAGGTCAGAGAATTAGGGAGGTGCCAGAGAGTGAAGGGATTTGAACACGAGTGTGAGGGTATTGAAGTTGATCTGTTCGGTGATGGGGAGCCAGTGGAGCCTGACCAGAACTGGTGAGATGTGGGTACAGAGTTTGGTCCGTGTAAGTATGCAGGCAGCAGAGTTTTGCATAAGCTGGATCTTTTGAATAGTGGAGCTGGGGAGACCGGCATGGAGTTTGTTTGTGTAATCCAGGTGGGAGGTGACAAACGCATGCACAAAGGTTTCGGCTGCATTTGGGGTAAGGTATAGGGTCGGATACCAGAGAGATCTGCTGCAGCCACCAAACATGTAATATTCACAGGTTCCTGAACCTGGAATGCACAGTATCTCACCTATGTGGCTCAGTGCTCCACCTGGTATGCTCCGGGATTGTAGAGTGACGGAAGTAAAAGGGCAGCATTTTGCACTCTGGCTGATGGGACCTCCATTATCTGATAGCCTTCTGCTGCCTGGCAGTACAGATGGTCTTAAGTGTAATTGCTTTGCTATGAGCCTGGCTTCTCAGGGCAAGTACAAGGGGGCACCATCTCCTGAGATCCTGATGTTGTCCTGTTGTGGTTGCCCTGAGGACACGATGGAAGAGGCTTCCCAGCAGATCAAGGGAAAGGATGTTGATTGGAGTTAGATGATGATAAGTGAACAACAGATCACAATGAGATTTTGTAAGGTATAGAAGCTCATCCTAGCTCATTATTTTACTTCCCTAATTCAGGGACACTGAAGCCATTTGTAGCAACTGGTACCTTGCTGAAATCATCTATCAGCACGGTAGAGATTCACACCTGCAACCTTCTGATTTGTGCAGCTCAGTTCTGTACCAAGCTAAATATTGCACTTAGTATTGTGGGATATACAATATACTGTTTTACACAATTGGGAGATATACTGGAGTATGCAGCTAATCCTCATTTTTATTTGCCATCTTATTTTTAAAGGAACATTCAATCTTATAAACAGGAACAACTACTGTGCTTTAATTTTGATCCTTGACAAGAGTTCTCATTACGGGATGTACTCCCCAGAGGAGTACTGTAGCTGTTCTGTGCCTGTTGTTTGTTTGCTGTATGCCAAGAGCTTGTGAAAATGGCTTTTCTAATTCCAACTCTACTGAATTTGTCTCCAGAGATGAGGAAGATAATGAAATGGCCATTGAAGATTGTCCAGATGTCCAAGACGCAGCGGATGGGGAGGCCGATGATGATTGACAGCCCTGACTAGCCGTGTACCATTTGATCACTTGCTATCACACAACAAAGAATAATGCGCTTAGTGGGTGTAGCCTCTCTAACTTTTCTGCTAAGAAAGGATTAATTTATTTAGTAACTTTGGTTTGACCTGAGAGAGGTTGAGGAAATGTTCCCTTTGGATAAATCTTTTCTGCAGATTACAAGGTGGGTTATGGGTTTGTTAGCAGTTGTGTTCATGTGGGTGAATGTTCTCAAGTTTCATGGCAACGTAAATGTGGAATAAAACCAACAGGTGAAGTAGCTTATGAGCAAGCAATGTTTGATATCATTAATGTGTTTAGCAGCTTATTGTGAAGAGCAGACAGACCATTTAAGTATATCCAACACAGATTGGCTGATGCTTTCTGTTGTCCATAAGCAGGATATTCAGAATGTACCCAATGCAATGCACCAAACCACCCATCCCAACTGGAATGAAACCACTCTATAAATTCAAGGATTTCAAATGTGACAGTCTCGAAGTATAGAAATTTATCAACGATCATTCTTTCCGTCTGGAGAATCTTTCAAACTGCTTATGTCCCATAAATATACATAGCAAGCAGAGCAGAATGGCCCAACTGTGAGATATGTATATGGACTGCTTTGAGATTCACTGGCACTGTCTCTGGTATCCATTATTCAGTATCCAAACCACCCAAATCCCTTGCAAAAGCTGGCTTTTAAAACAAATCAGTGATAAACTGTCTAAACTCCTCAATTCCACTTTGTAATCACGCGCAGGTGTCATTATACTGTAAAAATAAATCACCTGAACTCCTCAACAGGAGGGTTGGTCTTCAGGAAGGATGAAGTCAAATGAGCCAAAGAACCCATTCAAAGTAATTGAGTGGAAGTGAAATGGATGAGATTAAAGATTTTCATGATCCTGAATGAGGAAACCCTGGTGAGTTGGGGAAAAGATAATTTCAGAAACTCTGACGCGGAAATAAGATTCCAGTTTGTAACACTCTCAGCTCAGGTGAACTTTTAATATGCTTGTAAATGGCATGAATCCTAGGATTAGATTCTAGTGTGTATGCCTGGACATGTGTTTCTCTGTTTATTACTGCCTTTGACTCCAGACATAGCTGTTGAAGTTAGCCACAACTCAGGCATTAAATCAGCACAGAAACATAGTCAATGCCATCCCCTCAGCTCTAAACTGCAACTGTTTCGTGCAATGTTCCAAACAGTTAATTGTTTCAGAAATTAAGATGCGCATTATTGATTCATTATTTATTTAAGAGTTTTAAAATTATGGTTATATTTCCTGTTTTATTAGAGATTGTTAGTGTGCAATAAAAATATATACAAATTATTTGTGGTGCTAAAATGTGAGTACTTTCTCTGTCACCGGAATGTTTAGCGTTTGAATGAGATTACAATTCAACGCTCCATTCCAAAAATAAATGATAATATAAGCACATTCATACTATGATGTACCAATGTTGATTGACACCTACTTCTCATCATTCATTCAAATGCCTCAAAGCACTTCACACAGATTCCTCTGTAAACTGTAATGACTTTTATATAGAGAAATACAGCAACCAATTTCTGCCAGCAACGCTCCAAACAGTAAGGTGTTGAATGGCCAAATTATGGGAAATTTTTGGTGTGTTTTCACTGTTAAAGCCCTCCACCATCTATCTCCGCCCTACCTCTGTCACCTCCTAACATGTAAGAACAGCAGCTTGTACTTAAGTAATACAAAATTCATAGTCATTACATTTTACAGTATATAATAATAATAATCCTTGTATTAGATATAGCGCATTATCATGTCATTGAGATGTCTCAAAGTGCTTCACAGAATGTATTGCAAAGTGGATTGACTGTATTTTGCAGGCAAAATGTGGCAGCCAATTGTGCACAGCAGTGTCCCATAAACAGTCATGGAGTGAATGACCAAATGTTTTTTTTTGGGGTGGATTATTACCCCCGAAAGCATTCTGCCCATCAGCGAACAACTGGGTGGCTACTTACTGCTAGGTAAACATATACCCCATTAAGTGCTTTCCTCCTAACATGAATGGTGCGATATCAAATGCAATTATTGTAAGAACATAAGAATTAGGAGCAGGAGTAGGTCATTCCGCCCCTCGAGCCTGCCCCACCATTCGATAAGATCATGGCTGATCTTCAGACCTAACTCTAATTACCTGCCCTATCCCCATATCCCTTAATCCCTCTATTTTTAAAAAAATCTATCAGTCTCAGCCTTGAAGATGTTCAAGGAACATCTACAGCCTCCTGGGGTAGTGAATTCCATAAATTCGCTATCCTCTGAGTGAAGAAATGTTTCCTCAATTCTGTTCGAAAAGGCTGACCCTTAATTTTAAGACTGTGACCCCTGGTTATAGATTCTCCTACTGGGGAAACAGTCCCTCAGTGTCTACTTTATCCAGCCCTTTAAGAATCTTATGTGTTTCAATAAGATCTCCCCTAATTCTTCTGTACTCTAGAAAATATAGCCCTAGTTTATTCAGCCTAACCTCATAGGTCAGTCCCTTCATCCCAGGAACTAACCTAATGAATCTACGCTGCACCCCCTCGAGGGCAAGTATGTCCTTTTTTAAATAAGGAGACCAAAACTGCACACAATACTCTAGGTGCGGTCTCACCAAGGCAGTATACAGTTGCAGCAAGACTATCACTAATCTATTAAATGTCTCAAAGTGCTTCACAAAGTGTAGTGATATCATATTTTGTTGGAGAACACACCAGCCAATTTGTACACAACGATGTCCAACAAACAGGGATAAGTCAATGTCCAGTTTTATTTGGGCAATTGTTGGCAAGGCCACCAGGAAAAAGAGATAGAGTTTAGACTAGTCAGCTTTCAGTGTGAATAATAAACATTGAAAGCAAATATTTCTATATTTTTTTTATTTTATTCTTATCTCTAAACGTAGACACTAAAAGCAGCTTCAAATTGACTTTAATGGTCACCTCCCTTCCCCTCCCTTCCTTTCTCCCCCCCCCACCCCGACCCCAGCTCGGGTCTGAAATGCTGTACACTGTCCAGTTCCTTTGGACGTCCTCCCGACGTTAAAGGCGCTATACAAATGTAATCTTGTTGTTGCTATTAATATAGATATGATGAATCAATAACTCTCAGCCAACAGTCTTTGAAACAACTGAACTGCTATGGAAGTGTTCCAATCAAGAACAGTGGATGGTACTAGCTATGTGTCTTGTGCTGGCTTGACTGACTGAGCCAAAAGTCTCCGCTACCTGGCCGGTGAGCTGGCTGCGTTTGAATGGAGATTTTAGACTTGACTCTCTCCCTTATCGGTCAGTGCTGAGACAGGTCAAAATACTATCTGTGCCCTTTCAATCTATTCCATTGTATTTCAGTTGGTGCATATCAGTGTCTCCGACACAGCACATTTCCCCTCCCACTTCCCTCATTTGCATTCCTCCTAAGGTTTATTCAGTAACAAAAGTGAAGTTGCTCCTCTGGGAAGTCCTCGCATTCCAATTTAAAATTCAATCTTATATTACATTTTGCATTAACTGACTAGTGTCCTCTAAGTGATAGGCTGGAGTCTGTTGCCCATAAGTATCACTGATATCGTTGCCTGTTCCTAACTGGTGCTGTGACAACTTACACTTAGCATCAAATCTCTATCCACCGTAGGATTTGAAACAATTCTTTCCATTAAACATCCATGTGTCACGTCGTTTTTTTCTAAATGGATAGCTAGATTCTAAAGGGGCAGCCAGCATTCTGCAAGGAGGGTTATGTATCTCAGTCATTTTAAGGTGATTCCTCTCCATCCTTCAGATCTTCCGTTACAGCCATTGGGCGTCTCTGACCGAAATCCTCAAACTGGATCTCATCGTCGTCCCTGAGAATGGAAAGTCAGCAGCACATAAACCGAAAGCAGCTATAATGATCAAGCTATCAAATGGCCTGTGTAAAAGAGCTTAACAAACAGTCTGTAGACAGCATACAGGTGTGGTCATCGGGTGTGCACAGGTGTGAACATTGGGATAAAATGGCAAAGTGGCATGAAGAAAGTAAGTGGAATTTATTTCAATGGCAAATGTGTTATTTCTTTTTTGGGTTCAGCAAATGTTTTGGTTCAAACAAAAAATTAGCTGGAGTTAGATTAGAAGATCAGCCATGATTGAATGGCGGGACAGGCTCGAAGGGCAGAATGCCTACTCCTGCTCCTACATGTTATGATAAAAAATAGTTTTGCCCACAAATACAGAATCAATTCACTTTACAATATACTCTATGAAGCGCTTTGAGACATCTCAATGACATGATAAGGCGCAATATCAAAATGCAAGGATTATTATTAGTATTGTTATAATAACGGCTCAAAATTACAGCTCCGCCTTTCATCACTGCAAAGGAAATGCTCAATCAAGTAAATACGGGTTCTTACATGTCTCCTATCAGATGATCCATGTCAGCAAGAGAAGAGCCAAAGAAAAGGGAGAGAAAGAAAAGATGAAAAAAACGCATAGATTAGTGATAGTTCGAGGAACCGAACATGCACTTTTAACAGCTTTTTTGCAGAATTTTGTGCTCATCAAAGTAAACAATATTGGTACAGGGAAAAGGAAAACCTTTACATTTAAGTCAGCAGCCAACACTCCAAGGCTAAGTGCAGTATTTAGTCAGACAATGATTGTATTAGAAGCCAACTGTACTCTAATTCAGAAAGCCTTACCCAACTTTTCCACTAGATACTTACCAGTTTGTGTTTGTGGATTGGGATTCATGAGCAGGAATGGAATCTCCACTGCAACATCACTGCACATAAGCACATAAAAAAAGGACTAAACAAATTACAGTTCAGAAGCCTTCAAATACACATTCAAGTGAAGGGGAGGGTTTCGAGAACAACAAGGATGATTTTATAACTTAGAGCTGATAATGCAGACTGAAATGAATATAGTCCATGGGGTTGGGGTTGCTACCTGTGGACGGAGGTAGTATTGGAGATATGGGGATTGATGCTTTTTTTGGTTATTTGACTTTTGAGGTTAGGAAATCTCAATTAATTTTGCCCAGGACACAATTTTCTATGGACTGCAGAGGGAGGAAGTTGATGGGCCAAATACCCTTTTCTTGTTACTTCCTTATGTTTGTTCATCGTAGAGCAATTTCAAGAAACGCACGTGAATTCATGAGTAATTTTTTTTAGCTCTCCTTGAGGAATTGAGCTAATCCAGCATTCAGCAAATTCAAACATAGCGTTCTATTTTATGTCACAGCATTATTTGGATGATGCTTTGCATTGCCTAGGGCATCCGTTGCAATAAAGTTGCCCTGGTTACTGCTGTTTTGTACCTGATGATTAGAAAAATACAGGGCAATAATAATATATGAGGAGGGGGCACGATTCCTGTGTAATACACAGAAACAGTTCCTGGTCCCTCTTATATACTCGTGTAGGTTACTATCTCCTTTATACACACAGTGGAAGTGGGGAAGAATGTTGCTATTTCTCCATAATATATTGCACAATCATAGCCACTTCCTGGAGTGGAACTGTATGATGTTAAGATTTTTAATGGTTAAGTACCCTGTAGAGAGAAGTATATGACTTGAGGGGATTGTGTATGTGTGTGAGAGGGGAAGATGCAGGTTATGATACCAAAAAAAAATACCATTTAGAAAATGGGATTGGCCATGCAGAACATAATGTTCTTTTGTAGTCTCATCCCTGTGTACCTAAATCAACGCAAGAAAAACATTTGGCTTCTAATGAGTGCTAAGTGCCTACAAATACACTGTCACTCCATTATATAGTAAATTCTGTGAGGTGGTTTGAGACATCCTCCCAATGTTGCACTCCGAGATGCTGTTCCGCATGAAGGGCACTATATAAATGCAAGTTGTTGTTGATTTGAAAGCCGTTTTACAAGGATTATTTTGCAGAAGCCACATTTTCAACAATCTGAATGTCTCTTGTTTTATTCTCTGTTCGAGGCGCTCACCAAATAGCATTCCATTTGAACATCTGCTCTGATAAACTCATCAAATGTGCACACAAGTAATTATTGTATAGATTCCAAACACCACAATTTTCAATGACCTAAATGCTTACCTGAACATAATGTCACCCAACATTCTGCAAAGTAAGCAAAGGCAAAATCTAAATTAGAAATACAGAGATTAATAATATTGTGCTCCTGATCAAATTTGTAAATTAAATGAATTAAACTATTTTAAGAGGTCATCTGTGGCAATAAAGTTGCCCTGGTCACTGCTGTGTTGTAGTTGATGATTAGAAAAATACAGGGCAATAATAATATACGAGGAGGGGGACACGATTCCTGGTCCTTCTTGTCTACTCGGGTAGGTTACTATCTCTTTTACACACACAGTGGAAGTGGGGAAGAATGTTGATATTTCTCAATAATATATTGCACAATCATAGCCACTTCCAGGAGTGTAACTGTAGGATGTTAGCATTTTAATGGTTAAATACCCTGTAGAGGGTACAATGAGGGTACTTGTTTCCGTTATAATCTATGGCGCTGACATTTCATCCGGACTCAAGTTCAAATCCAGTCTAAATATATACATTATTTTGAGCGACACAAATACATAAAGTAAATGAAATGAATAGTAAAACTAAGCTGGTCAGAGTATTGTGGAGATAAAGTTCAACCCACCAATGGCTACCTCTGTTTTATCCTATGGAATGTATAACTCAAATATTCACTTGTGCTGGGTTCTTTGCACTCCTTCATTGAGACTCCTTTTTAATTATTTTTCACTTTATCTTTTCCCTGGGTTGCCTCACCTAGTCCCAGGCCTGGGCTAACACCATTCTGCAATTGGCTACTGGCACCCACATGAACTTAGATAGAGAGACTGTGGGTTCCAATCAATGGCGATTTCTAAAGGAATTTCTTGATAAAGAAACAAGAAATATGTCACCACATCAGTCACATCGCACACGGCAGCTCTGCTTTGACCCAATCTACTTTTTAAAATGAGTTCCCATGGGTCGACGTGATGTAATTTAGTTACCACTTGGAATCTATTAAGGAATCAAATTAGAAATCATTGCATTTTATATCCCTGGGCATTTGATCCGCTTCCCTCTCTGTTAGTCTTCCCAGTCTATGACTGAGACGGTTCTGATTGGTAACTCTCCATACGGACAAAAGTGACCTTAAACTCTCTCTGATGGCATCAACCAATTGGCTAGTCAATGAACTTTTAGAGCACAGGTAGAATATAACTTTATTGTGGCAGACAAGTCATATTGAAAAATTGCTTTTTCTGGGAAAGCTGAAAGGAAGAAGGGGGAAGGATTTGCAGGTGACACTCACCCTGACACTACCAACTTCACCTTCACTTTGTAGGAGACGAGAATTCCCCAAACTTCCCTTTCAATTCCTTCCTTTAAGCTGGAAATAGAAAATAGGGTTAGACTGTGAGCATTGTGGGGAAGACCTAGGTAACGACTTGATTAAGAAATGACCTTTTTTTTATTTTTAAACAAATAATCCACAGTTTATGTCAAAGGTTTAATGGTGGCCGTCTATTAATCAGGGAACCATAAAGTAGGTGTCTGGCAACATCTTTTACACAGAAGAGTTTGAGCTTGTGAGTGAGAGTAGACTTCAGACAATGATTTCCAGAGACAGTTTTTTTGGGGGGCAGTGGGGACAGAGCACATTCTTTGTAATATTTATTAGATATTACATTTGATAATCTTAAAAATTCAATTGAATCCAACTGCTTTCCAACAGTTATAAATACAAAGCAAAGAGAAATTTGTTTGCTATAATAGTCATCTTCTGTCTCAGGTGCCACTGCTCTGGTCCTTTCAATGTTATTCATTTCATTAGTGATTGCCTAGTTAAGGAATGCCTTTTTAATTTAATCAGGAAAACATTAAACTGCAATACTCAACATGGCCAGTGGACAGTTAAACCTTCATCCCTTACATGGTGGAAGAAGCCAATTGGGTGTCCTCATCTTTGATCTTCCCATCCAGAGCTACTCCATGCTTTTCGCGGTTGTTCTCAATCAATGGCAAGAGCGTGTACTCCTGTTTGTGTTTGCTACCTGGAGCAATCTGTTCACTAAACAGAAAAACAGTTATAAATAGAACCAAAATGTGTCATTCAGACTTAAAATTCTAGTCTTTATGAAGCAAGGGCAGGTAAGGATCTCTCTCTATTCAATGGAGTGCTATTGGGAATTCTTCACAGGTTAGCAGAAAGCTCCCCTATTCCTAGTTTAGACATGTGGAACAGACAAATAACTTCAAACAAACACAGTTAACACTTAATAGTTAACTACTTGAAGAAAGGATTTGAGAAATTTCAAGTTGCGAACTTGATTTAGGTATAGACTGAGATCAAATACTGCAAACTGTGCAAGGAGGTAGAGGAACAACACATCTGTATTGAATGTGGACATGCCAAGATAGATCACTGTTTGGGAATTTTACTGAATAGTGAGAAGGAAAGAATGCTTACACAGAACATTCCTTCAGATTTTTGAATGGATGGGTGTCTTGGTGGAAATTGATCATGGTTAATGTGAGTTTGATAGGCTGACTGGTCCTTCTCGTTTCATGCCTCCTTATGTTCTTAAATGTTAGTATATTTAAAATGTAATAGCCCGGGATATTTAATGGGCACTACACTAAAATACTTCTTTTTTTTTACCTTCACCCCTCTCCCACCCCTCCACATTCACAAAAAACATGGAAATTCACTGAACTTAATATGTAGAAAAAAATCTTTGAATTTTTTTTTGAGAGATTTACCAGTGAGTCAAGACTTGAAAAGTAAATTTTGTTAACTGGCAGTTAATGTGGATTTAGGAAAGGGAGGTTCCTGTTTTAGCAAGCTGGACAGTTTTGTATTTGTTACTGACAAGGTTTGTTGAATTTTACTGCGTTTATAATCTAAAAATAATCCTTGCATTTGGTGTAGCGCTTCTCACTACTTCTCGACGTCTCAAAGCGCTTCACAGAATAGTCTGTAAAGTGAATTGACCGTATATTTGTGGGCGAAATGCGGCAGCCAATTGCGCACAGCAGCGTCCCACAAACAGTCGTGGATTGAAAATGACCAATTTATTATTATTTTTTGTTTTGGAGGGATTATTATTAGGCTCTGTGTGGACTAAGGAAACTTGCCCAAGGTTTCTCTCTGCCTGGAATTGAACCCAGGTGTCTCGCTTGCAAGGCGAGTGCTCTAACCACTGAGCTAAAGGACTCCACATGGCGTTTTTAGAACTCTTTTGACATCTGCACATTGACTGGCCAGAGAACACATGAGGCCCACAGCAACCCTGGCGGTTACTGCCTCCTCTGGAGATGGAATGAAGAATGTACTGGTGACCACCACAACAGGCAGCACCTCCACCTCATTTAGCTTCCAAGCTGTAGTATTAGTGATGATGTTCCGGTTTACTTACTTCACTTCATGCATAGCCAAAGTCTGGGAGTACTTGTCATTGGAGTACAGTACCACATTGGCAATCTGTTCAACTGACAGTTAAGAGAATACATGTGACCAACTCAGCAACAACAATAACAACAACTTGCATTTATCTCCACACCCTCCACACAGGGTAGCGTCTCAGAGCACTTAAACTCTGAGTGTGGCAAAGCATAAGTATTATATGATGAGTATGAATTTCTTTATCTTTACAAAGCAAAAACAGGAAGAATAGCACCTGACAGACAGCACCTGACAAGGCTCACTTCTGCACACATGTTAGACACCATAGACTACAAGCAATATGAATTTGCCAGGTCTTTGATAGCTGAGATTAGGCTTACGTAGCTCTGGTATTTGACATAAGGACATAACAGCATGGAGTTAGACAGTCTGATAATAATAATAATAATCCTTGCATTTGATATAGCGCTTTTCACGTCGGGAGGACGTCCCAAAGCGCTTCACAGAACACACTGTAAAGTGAATTGACTGTGTATTTGTGGGCGAACGCAGCAGTCAATTGCACACAGCAATGTCCCACAAACAGTCGTTGGATTGAAAATGACCAATTTTTATTATTGTTTTTGGTTTTGGAGGGATTATTATTAGACTCTGTGTGGAGTAAGGAAACTTGCCCAAGGTTTCGCCCTCTGCCTGGAATTGAACCCAGGTCTCTCACTTGCAAAGTGAGTGCTCTAACCACTGAGCTACAGGACTCCACCGAAACTCATATAGGAACAGCATGTGCCTGCCTAGTAGAATCATCCTGACCATAGAAACCTATAAACAGTAGGAGGCCATTATATAGTGTCAATGTTCCAATGAAGCCATTCCAATAATCCAAATCTCTGTGAAACTATATAATTAGCAGTAAAGTGAGTTAAACACAGCATAACTTTCAAGAAGCTTTGAACTGTAGTTACTGTGTCTCTGAAGTGCTAGTAATTATCTTTGTTCTACTGATTTTTTTCTGCTGGATTTACACTGGACTACAGATCACCTGCACTACAACATCTCTGTCCCTGTAATAATGTAGAATGACTTGGGTTTGGAAGGCTTCCCTCGGCCTACCTAGCATAACATTGGAATTGGTTCATTTTAAGTGGTCACTGAAATTGAAAAAGCGATTTAAAAAAAAACAGTTTTGTCTCTTAGGATGCAGTTCTTGTCCTTACCAGTTATTTTAATTTTCTTCACAGTCTTGTTAGAATAATTCATTACATCAACACTGACCTGAATGGGTTCATTGTGATAGTAAATCTGTAAGAGAGGACATCACATGCTCAGTTCCAAGGTTTCTCAATTCAATTAGTTTGCACTGACCCTGGGTTAGGTAGAGAGGTGTGCTGTCTGTAGGAAGTGATACTTGGAAAGTCTTCTGGCACATTGTCCTTTCATCTGTGCGCCTGAGCTCACGCCCAACCCAGCCACATGCAAACTCAACAACAAAAGATGAGAACTGTCTGTGATTCAGCACAGATTTCAGAATAGTGAACTGTGCGATGGGTCAGATACACTGCATAATATCAAACTAGACTTGATGCAGCAATGTGTTCCAATTCATGGAGTGACCTTCAGGAAAATGGCCTGAGTTTGGGCTCACTTACCATATACCATTTAATAGAGAAAAGATTGCTGTAAATTCTAAGCAAGAAATAGCTGCAATGCAAAATATTTGGTTTTCATTGCTTGAGTAAAACACTCTGAAGGCAGTCAGTGTTGTCCTATGGTCACTCACCTCTTTGTCAAGTGAGACTTCCAGGTGGATAGGCTCATCGGACATGAGAAAATGTCTGATTGTCTTTGCCATTGGATGAAACGTTGGTTTATCTGGAGCAAACTGCACCTTACGGATAACCAGATTCACAGAACTCCTAGGGAAAGAAGCAATTGAGAAAATGTATCAGCAGGGACTGACTTGAATATTATATAGGTCCTATGTCAAGATATTAACTTCAGAAGTATGAAAAGGGTTTCAAAGGAGGAATGTCTGTTGGGCAAAGCAACAAAATGTCCGAGGACTGGAAACCAACTCTTTGGTAGCATAGTATCTGATCCATAACTTAAACCAATGAGAAGGAACATTCATTTACCTTTTAGAGATTTTCTCATCGATGCTCAGGCTTTTTGCACAGAACGCAAGAATTTGAAAGTCAACACCACAGCACTGCAGAGAAAACAGAAGAAAACTGTCCTGAACAGAGTAGAAAGGGACCAGATTATTGTTCAGTACTATTTACTATTATTATTTAAGGTGTCGAGAAAGTTATTAATAGTAATAACAATTCTTGCATTTGATACAGTGCCTTACCACATTACTGAGACATCTCAAAGCGCTTCACAGAATATACCGTAAAGTGAATTAACTATATTTTCTGGGTGAAATGTTGAGTGTGGAGATGGGCTCATAATGAGAGTTCTAGAGACGAGTTAATGTTCAGTGTATTGAGAAGGATTAATGGTAAGTGTGTTGCGATGGGATAATGTTGAGAGTCAGGAGATGGGTTAATATTTAAAATAAAGAGATGGATGTATGAATGGCTTTTGGTCCTAACTTATTGAATTGTGTTTTTATCACCAATGCTCGATCTTATAATTTTATAGCATTTTGTTCTATTATTTTACATGTGTTGAAGTAAATCAGAGTTATGTATACTAGTTGTGTGTTCCCTCTGCCAGCTGTGTTTGTTGATGGTGTTACCTTGTCAAGGTTTTTTAGGCCGACCTGTAAGGTTATCGAGCAAGGCAGGTAGTCTGGGAACTGTTGAGAGTAAAAACAGAAATGTTAATGGTGCCAGAGGATCTCGGAGAATACAGTACAGTGGGTTTTACCCAAGAAGGGAGAATTACCTGAAAATTGAATGGATAAGCATTATCTCCAAATTTCTTTATCAGACGTTCCTGCATCTTAGTTTGTGTTTTGGGTTTTCCTTCTGGGGGTGGGGGGTAAATCTGGATAACCTTCACAAATAAATCTCTCTGGAACTTTAAACCACAGACTTCCATATCTTCAGGCCCATAGCGGAAAGCACAGACCAGCCTGCAATAAACTGAAACAGAAGAGTAAGCATTGAATTGGTCTCCCCAGAAAGCAAGATTCATTAGTCTACTTGTAAGAAGAGAGTCTCACTAATCTTGTGTTTGTCTGATTTTAGATTTGTTTGTGAATCAGTTTTGAGGTTTGTATACATTGGTGGTTCAATGCCACAATGTGATGACTTCTAGTGCTTAAGGATCTGTTTAACAACAGTATTTGAGCTTACAGGGTTACATACAGTTTGAGATGAACAAAACCTTTATGAAGCACAACAATTTCTGGATTGCTGAGCTTGTACGGAGAGAATATTTTGTGTGGTTTGAAGGAGGCCAAGTTTGAAGTGTCGAGATTTGGGAATGCCCTCCAGTTTACTGCAGTTAGTACGAGGCAACGGGAGGACAGGGGTCGATAATAGGGTAGGTTTTATATGGCTTGTAGAAGGAGTAGGATTGATGGCTGAACGGACATCCTTTCAACTTATTGCTTTGTATTATGTCCATGAGCTGACTGAGACAGCTGACTGGCTCAGTGTGGGCCGACAATCGAAATGTGGAAAAGAACTTTCACACTTACACCACCGAGCCAGTCCAAATCACACAGATAGAAAAACCAGAAAAACGTTTGGCTTTTACATAAACTGAAAAACATATGAATTCAAGAGGTCCTAACTGAAGGTTTCATGCTTGGCAGCTATTTCAGAAGGGCTTGTGAATAAAGCTGAATTGCCTACCTTTCTTGGACTTTATGTAGCCGGTGTCCAACACCAGAACGCCATCTGCAGAGAGACCAGCCAAGATGAGTCATCAAAACTCTACCCAGCCTCACCTTTCCCTGGAGTTTTGCATTCTACCTTTGTACGGAGGGTTACTGTGCTTTATACCTGCCAGGGTAACAAATTATTTGTGGTATTATATCTACATCTCGTCTACTGACCTGTACCTATAGTGAGTATAATGTGCACTGCTTGTATAGTATATACAGTGAAGTAAAAGTGAGTACAGTACTTATGTCATTTACTTCCCTCGTGCCCTCCATTCCACCATCGGTGGGCTCGCTTTCAGCTACTATCCCCCGAACCTCTGAAACACTCTCCCTCAATCCCTCCGCCTTCCCCACTCCCTCCCCATCTTCAGGCCATGCCTGAAGACCTTCCTCTTCGACCTCTCCCCAACTGGGTAGCTGCCCTGCATGAAGGGGGTTATATAAATGCAGGTTGTTGTTACGATTCAGTTCTTGTTGTGTACAGTGGGGTCTACAATTTGGTATTTGCATTGGGATTCAAAGAGAATTCATCAATATCAAATCCTTACAGGAACTATATGTACATCGCACAGATGGATTGGAACGGTCTAACAGACTAATGGGCTCAGGAAGCAACATGTTGGGGAATCGCTCCTACGATGGTAACAAATTATTTTTGGACCCAAACTGTAGTAATCTCTGATACCAACCAGCAGCATCTCTCAGGACTTCATACTTACCCACAGGGTCAGCGTGAGTGACATGATCCACAAAGTCTCTCTTTCCCAAGTAAATAGCAATCTGTGAAAGAGAATATGCTGTTATAACATCCTTTAAACTGGTGAAGAGGGAGACAGTGATATGGAATTATATCAGTGGGCTATTTAAATATTGGTACTGTATGCCTCAGCTCCGATTACTGCTAGAAAGGCTTTTGCTGACTTTCCATGTACTTCTGGATCAGATTTATTGGAGCTCAATGTAATCTGTCATTATTCCAGTTAAGGATTACTTCTGTTTGTGTTTACACCAGGTAGTGATTCCCTTACTCTGTGTTTACACCAGTTAGGAGTTCCTTACTGTTTAATTTATTTCAGTGCTATATTTATGTGCTTTATTGATGTATTCAAGTAAAATAGATTAAACCACATTAGAATAGAAACAGCAGAATACATTCCCAGGAGAGTACTCTCTAAGTTACCTGACCTGCTTCTTACTTTTAACATCTCCAAGTATGGCAGTATATTTTTCTTGCTCTAGCTGTCTATGAATAATGTGTACTAGTTCCATATAATATAGTTCATGTTCTGTCAGCATCCTGCCTGGATGGAATAGATAGAAAGAACAGGATAGAAGGAGAGAGATGAAGTGAACATACTCACCGACTTGTCACGGGATGTCTTTTTGTAAACAACATTCTTGGGAGCTGGGATTGGAGGGTTGATCTTAGCAATGACCAGACTGGGAACTGGGTTCTTCATAACCGTGGAATTACTCATCTTCTCAAGTGCAAAGTGATAGAATCGGGATAGTCACCTGGAGGTCAATGAAGCTGAAAGGACAAAAATTACACAACTAATAGCCCTCTTGCAAAGAGCATTCTGAATGGACAGAGGCGGTTAAGTGGAGTGTATACATATGTAATTTGGTTGTTGTTGTTGAGGTACAGGTCAGCCATAATCTTATAGAATGGTGGAATAGGCTTGAGGGGCTGAATGGCCTACTCTTGTTCCTATATCCCTATGAACACAGAATTGGAACGTTCCTTTTGTAAAATATTTGCTATGTCACTCAGTAGTTTCCCTTAAACTGTTTAAAACTTCCTTTATCCCGCCATTCTTATTCCCATAGTGGTCACATTAAAGATCATTGTCATCAGACAATTGTTTTAATTTTAACTTCATATTTTCATCTTGTATAATAATAATAATCCTTGCATTTTTGATGTAACGCTTTTCACGTCGGGCGGACGTCCCAAAGCGCTTCACAGAACACACTGTAAAGTGAATTGACTGTATATTTGTGGGCGAACGCGGCAGCCAATTGCGCACAGCAATGTCCCACAAACAGTCGTGGATTGAAAATGACCAATTTTATTATTGTTTTTGGTTTTGGAGGGATTATTATTAGGCTCTGTGTGGAGTAAGGAAACTTGCCCAAGGTTTCGCCCTCTGCCTGGAATTGAACTCAGGTCTCTCGCTTGCAAAGCAAGTGCTCTAACCACTGAGCTACAGGACTCCACGATTTTCGGATCCCTCATTAATTTACTGTGAGAAGCTAATGACAGAAGTGGCTTATCCAATTTAATAAAGAGGGGCAGAGGCATAAACTAAACCTTGATATAAAGCCAATGGGTTATTTTACTCTTCCCACCATCAGTATGGTGATAAACTTCTCACTATTGTTAAGGTGATGAACAGCAGATATTGGTGAGAACCATCTGTATGAGGGTGGTTGACAACTTACAGAAAAATTTAGCATGTGTGGGAGGAATTTGAGAAAGATCTGTTACCAGGTATGAGGAGAATGTTACGTATGGTATCAGGCCTGTACATGAAACGGTAGCATTTATTTGAAATAGACTATCCTTCACAGTGAGTAGCAGCAGTAGTGGAATAGTACTGAGAATAAAGTTGTGTAGTGTACTAATCTTTACTTATCCTCTCTATGTCAGTGAATACTACCCCAGCTTTTACCCTTTCAACTAGATCCTCTCATCCCTCGTATCATCCTTATGAATCCACTCCATGGTTCCGATATCCTTTCACCGCAAAATTATTTCAGGCCAAATTTATCTATTGACTTTGAAAGTGTTTCTCACTATGATGCATATGAAAAACATTTTCCTATATATTTGATCTATTTTTATGGAGTCCAGTAGCATAGTAGTTAGCGTGCTCACCTCACAAGCGAGAGGACCTGGGTTTGATTCCTGGACGGGGCGAAATCTTAGGCTGGTTTGCTTATTCCACTTACCTCTGTTTACCCAGCAGTAAGTTGGAACCCGGTTGTTAGTTGATTGGATCTTAAGAAATTGTAAGGAACTGCTGGCCACAATTACCCCCACAACAACAACAAGATTGCATTTGTATAGCGCCTTTCACGTCGGGAGAACGTCCCAAGGCGCTGGACAAAGTACACACAAAAAATACAGTCAACTCCAAATTATTCAGTGAAGCGTATTGAGGCGTCTCAATGATGTGATAAGGCACTATACCAAATGCAGGGATTAAGTATTATCATTATTATTTTATTATTATTATGAATGTTCATTTTCTGCTACACCTTATGCTTCCACATGGCATCAGCCACCTTTCCACTTCCCTGCCATCTGACTGTTCAGCGCTTTGGGACATCCTCCCGATGTGAAAGGCGCTCTATAAATGTAATTTTGTTGTTGTTGTTACAGTTGTTGCAAACATTTTTTAATACTGACGGTGAATCCTTCAGAAAGACATGAATTCTTAGCAAGTCCACAATCGCAAATGAATTTTCCAAATGCGTCCAATCAATTGAATTCACGATTCTATCATTAATTCAAAGAAGCATATTAAAAAAGATACATTAAAATCAAAAGGTGAACACTTTCATGATTTCCCTAGAACTATTTACTTGCCAAATTTAAAAGCGGTTGACAAATGTGTTGACAAAACCGATAATTGACCTGAGCATTGTTCAACAGTGATAACTAGGCTGATTCAAAATAGAATGTAAAAGTTAGTCAGGGTACCTCAAATAGTTGTCTTCAACAATTGTACAATGAGAGAGAAAGCAACTCCCCAGGATGTTGGAGGGTTTGAAGAAATTTTCTACAATCACTTTTTCCTACAGCAGATTGTTGCAAAAGCTTCGCTCGATCAATCCTGTCAGCAAACCTTTGTCTCGGAAGAGGGGGAGGTATAATAAAACCTCTAAAAGCTTCAGGTTAACTGTTGCACCACTCTGTAATCAGTGTACGTACTATCACCCTGAGCAGATTAGAGCATATGATTACAAAACAATGTCAGCAAATTCTCACCAAGGTTATAACTGTCCACGTAATGAGACTTTACTAATCATATATACTGTAATCTGCTGAAATAACAGATTTTCAACATTTCATATAACCCCTTTATTGCCCTTGGATCTTAATGAATGGATATATTACAAGGGATTTTAGTTGTATAGATTTCAAATCCCTGTCTTTTGTGCACTTCCATCTTCTTACTCTGTTAAATCTCATTTGGTTGATGGATAATTCTGTACTTTAAAGTGTATTTTTAATGCCGAGCTGACAGCTGTTGAGACTGTTGCTTCATGTCCCTCTCATTTATTTCCACATCTATTAGTTTTGTGATGCTCAATGATGGAGTTCTTTAGCTCAGTTCAATTCCCGGCAGGGCAAAACATTGGGCAAATTTCCTCACTCCACATACCTCTGTTTACCTAGCAGTAAGTAGGAACCTGGTTGTTAGTAGATTGGCAGATGGCTTTTCCGGGAGTAATAATTCCTTCCAAAAAGAAAATTGGTCACTTCAATCCACTACTGTTTGTGGGACACTGCTGTGCACAATTGGCTGCCGCGTTTCACCCACAAAATATACAGTCAATTCACTTTACAGTATATTCTATGAAGCACTTTGAGACGTCTCAAAGACATGATAAGGTGCTATATCAAATGCAAGGATTATTATTATTATTATGATAATGTTGGATATTCCACCTTTTCTGGGAGATTGCGTCACTCTATGGAGACGTGTTTTGTAGGTGGACGGTCTTTCCCCAGAGATACCAACTGGGAAACTTCATCATGTATTGTTTTGCTGCTGTTGTTTGCTGCTTCCTTCCATCACATCTCCAGATCAGAGCAAAGTTTGAATTCAACATCCAAAGATGGGAAGTCAGAATATTTTCTCGTCAGTAGGTACCAGTGAATACATGCATTGAAAGAACTTGACCCCTTTGAGCAGAGTGTTGCGGAAGCTGCATCCTTATTCAGAGAGACACAGGTCCACTTACAGAATCAGCTTATACACTGTTGCAGGTGAAGATTGGTCACCAAAAATCTGCAATAATTGATGGAATACAACAATCTGTGTCCAGCGTGGAATACAGTAAAATTCCATCAGGTGATGATGAATGTTCTTTATTTTTCATGTTTTGATTCTCTATCAATTGAGCCCGAGCTGATCTACCGGTCTCCACTTTCTGCTGCTATGTTTGGTGTAATATATATATTTGGATGTGGTCTCTTTCTCATTGTGTGCTAGCCATCTTGAAACACCCACAATGATGGCTGTCAGAATAAAGTGGTGTATTAGTTGTGTAGATCTCAGCAGAAATCTTGATACATTCAAAAATGGCGAAAATTCTGAAATCTTCACCAAGCTATCATAAGAACATAAGAACATTAGAAATAGGAGCATGAGTAGGCCACCTGGCCCCTTGAGCCTGCCCCGCCATTTAATAAGATCATGGCTGATCTTCTAACCTAATTCCATTGACCCGCCCTTTTCCCATATCTCTTAATCCCTTTAGTTTTTAAAAATCTAACCTGCTAAATTATTCTTACCTAGCTGTTTTATACTATCATATAGCTATCCATTACCTCATTGATCCACAGCAGTACACCAGCACACACTCTGCGTACCCCAAGATGTGGCTCTTGGCAACCTGTGCCCAATACATTCTGCAATTAGATAAGCAGGGTGCCACCCTCTGGGAGAGAGTTTATAATCCCATTCCAGACAAAGGAAAATTGGCAGATGTAAACGGCATAAATATGTGGAGCTCTCAGTCTGGTTTGAACAGTGTTAAGCATGGGGATTCGTTTATGTATGTGTCAAACCCTCAGATAACCAAATAAAATACTGAATAGAGCTACCACTCTTTCACTGTTTCATATTGAATGGGGCTATTTGCTGTAGTTTAACTGCAACAGCAAAATTATTTTAGGAATTAGATGGCTCATCGGTGAGTATAGTCTAGTTTATGACGTAAACTTGCAAGAAAGATTATCTGCCTAATCCAGTGGTTAATCTCTATCTACATGTCTCATCATTGTTTGTATTACAAAGGTCAGCAAGATTCACTTGTGAATTAAAATGGGCACCATCTTCATCAACAAGGCAAGCTTTGGCAAATCTTGAATGTAATCTAATGGAATAATTGCAAATACACTCCGATGTCACAGACTTGGGAGGAGATAGTGATGGGATGACACTCAGATCCTTTCCATCCACAAATTAAACAAGACCATTTCATGTCAAAATTACTTTAACACGTGTACATTTATATCATTTGCTCATTGATACAACTTGCTTATAGTGCGTTCATAATTCAAAGAATCATAGAATCATAGAATCGTACAGCACAAAAAGAGGCCATTCAGCCCATCGAGTTTGTGCCGGCTCTTTGAATAGATGTTACATTTTGTTCTCCCAACCCTTCCTGCGTCTCTACATTACTTTTACTACTGTATTCTGGAAAAAGTGACTCGCTCTAATCAGCCTGGGCTGTGGAGCAAGGCTAGGGAAGTCTAGGAAGTGGTAGCAATTATGTAGAACAACAAAAAGATTACATTTGTATAGCGCCTTTCACGTCGGGAGGACGTCCCAAGGCGCTGAACAGAATACAGCATTTCAGACCCGAGCTGGGCTTGGGGGTGTAAGAGAGGGGAGGGGAATGGGCGTGGCCGATGGCATGGTCGAAGAGGAGGGTCTTGAGGTGGGACTTGAAGGAGGCTAAGGAGGGGGCAAGGCGGAGTGACTGGAGAATGGAATTCCAGAGGTTGGGGGCAGAGTGGCTGAAGGCTCTCCTGCCAATGGTGGGGCAGGTGGGTTAGGGGCTGTGGAACAGGCCGGAGCCGGCTGAGCAGAAGGAACAGGCGGGTTGGTAGGGGGTTAGGAGGTCGCAGAGGTAGGGTGGGGCGAGGCCTTGGAGGGCTTTATATGTGAGGACCAGGCCGACAAGCAGGGCGTTTACATAGTCGAGCCTGGAGGTGATGAAGGTATTAACAAGAGTTTCAGTGGCCAGAAGGGTGAGGTAGTGGCGGAGTCGGGCGATGTTACGGAGGTGAGGGAAGGCAGAGCGGGTCATAGCTTGAATGTGGGGGAGAAAAGACAGTTGAGGGTCGAACAAGACACCTAGGTTCCTGACTGGCTTGGTGAGTTGTAGTGTGCGACTGCTAGTTCTTATTGAAGTTCCAGAATTCTGTCAGATCTTTCTCAGCACTTGCAAGTGATAACGCCCATCACCATCTTCCCCTGGTTAACCCAGTTAGTACTGTGAAAACATACGGGAGTAGAAGGCTTTATCATTCATGAGTTGTGATTCCTATTTATGTATCATTTCAGAGCATCCAGAATTTGTCAGATTGCTAAATACAACTTTAATTTCGAAGCTGGCTTTCAGTAAGCTATTTCAGAGCTAAAGAAAAAAAAACTAAGCCTGAATTTTAAAAATTTTTAATTTTTAAAATTTTTTAAAAATTTAAGAAAAAGGATACTTTAAAGTGTTACATAGATACGGACCCAGGTGTAATTCCTTCCTAGAGGTGTGTTATTATTCAGGGTCCTAATACAACAGTTTCTCTGGATTACTACATTATAAAGGGAAATATGATTTGGCTGATGCACAGCAAAGAGCCTGATTTATAGTTTCCACAGTATAAATCACATCAGATGGGTGCAGTGACTCAGCTTCTCTTGTGCGTCGCAGTGCCAATGCAATTTAACATAAATAACATTTAGGTACTGCTTTTCCTGTGAGGACTCCCACAGAAAGGAATGGTGTCAGTTAAACAGAAATTAAAAGTCCAACCAACCTTATTTTTCTCCTCCCTCCTCCTCCAATTATTTTCCCAAAGCACCAGTCAGTCTTTGGCACCTCACCCACATGTCTGTTCTTCGTGGGTGGGACAGACAGAGTATTGGCAGGGTCTTTAACCCCAGAAAGTGTCCCAGCCAAGGTCAGTGCTGTGCTCATCAACTTTTCAATGGATCTCTGAATTATTTTTGCTCTGTCTAACCCAGGAAATTAAGGTCAATTGTACATCTCCTCTTCACATTCAACTGATTTCAGTACAGATCTTCAGTCCCGTGTTAGTGAAAAGAAGTAGTTGGGGAGCAGAAAAGAAAACTATGAAAACATTTAAAATGAATAAGATTTGTGCATTCCCCACCCCAAATAAACAGAAAATGATACCACATATGTTTTAATATTTTATTCTAAACAAAATATCTTTCTAAATACCAAGTACATTCATATGAAAACATGTTTTAGATAAACTGCAAGACCATACTTCCTAAACATATGGATAATTGGATGTCAGAACGGTACATTAGAATTGATGACTTCTGTCCATCTACACCTTTTTTCTAAATGGAGCTAACCAGTAAACAACATCGAGCACAGCTGGTAGGCAAAGTGCCTCAAAAGTAGCCTGAATGGAATCACGTCAAAGAGCTAGCAGTTACTGCCAGATAGCATATCATCAGCATATCTCAAATATGTTTTCCTTTGAGATTTACAAAAGCAAGCAAGCATAGGGCAGGAATAGTTGGTGTTGCTCAGATTTGGAGTGAAAGAATTCAAAGAAATAATTATTATGTTTTAAGATTCCTAATTAAAGTGAGATGTAACACCTTCCTTGCCGTGTAAATATCTAAAGGACTAAAATGCCTTAACTTATGACTTTGCAGCATATTTCAATCAATACGTTAATATTTGGGGGGGAAATAGTTAAGCCTAAATGGTAATTACAAATGATACTGTGACTGCAACAGATGAGAGGCTATTTCAGTATTGAAATTGATGGATTTGTCCCATTGAACCCTGGGTTAAGGGAGATTAAAGGGTGTTTATCATAAGGATTTCATTTACCAAAACCATCTTCATTAAAATAACTGGTAGTGTCATCATAATAATAATCAAACGCCCTGGAAACAACCTGGTTACAGCTATCGGGATATAATAAGAAGCCACTGAATGTGCTGTCAGTTTCTGAACTTGCATACATTCCATTATCAATGGAATCCTTGACCTGTAGCCAAATCTTGTCCCCACCAGCAAGGTATAGCACTATCATTTGAGAGGCCTGATCTTTGGTAGCAATGTTAGCAGTTTTAACAAGTGTTTCACGATTTTTAAATAGTGCCATTTGAATGGGATGTTTGGATATTGACAAATGATAACTAAATACATAAGTGCCATTAACTGGTGCTGTGTATACTCCAACTCCGGGATTAAAATGTTTTTGATTGTTATAGAAAACGTTCCTGAAAGGAATTGGGTAATATGGATTTGGAAAGCCATCTCCTATAGCTCGAGCAGCAGAGAAAGCAGACTGGACTGTAGGAGAACAAGGACCAGGATCTCCTATCTCACCCATGACACCTTTTTCACCCATATCCCCTTTCTCACCTTGAACACCCTGTGGCCCCATGTTTCCTTGGGGTCCAACATCACCAACATTTCCAGGTTCACCTTTTTCTCCATCTACACAGTCACAGATACCTTGCATTCCTTGGTCACCTTTTAGTCCTTTACCTCCTTCATCACCTTTTGATCCAGCAATTCCTTGTTCACCTTGACTACCAGGTTGCCCATCAATTCCAGGTTCACCCTTGACTCCCATTGGACCAGCTAGTCCAACATTGCCTTTCTCACCCGTATCTCCTTTATCACTAATACAGTCAGATGGACATTGACCATCCATTCCTGGAGGTCCTTGTCTTCCTGGAGATCCACCGTTACCATCAGTTCCTTTGTCACCTGAAATTGGAAATAATTGAAGAATTAGCTTATTAGCAGATGCTGGTCAAGGCATATGTTCTGCACAGAAGGGAACCATATGATACCTATTTTTCTAAATTGCCCATTTTTAATCATCCTAAATTCCAACTTTTTTCCTACACCCTTAATGTGTCAAAATGCAAGTTACCTCCAGCCTACACACATAATAAACTAAACCTTTCACTGATTTACCTTTAGGTCCTCGAAAGCCTCTAATTCCTTGAGTCCCTTTGAGTCCAAATCTGCCTCTTCCCCCCCGAGTACCTTTTTGCCCTAGAAGTAGAAGCAAACAAAATAGTCAGATTATGTGCAACACATTCTGAATATAACAAGCTGCTTTCAAATAGGATATGTTTTTATCAGGTACTAACATTTCATATGCACGAGCTAAGCACTAGAGAAATCATATGAAGGAAACATTTGTTACATAAGAGCAGACAATTTATTTGAATTTGGTACTGAAAGAGTGTCATAAACTATTGATGCATTAGTAATGAATCTCTGAATGTTGCCTAGTGTCTTATTTTGTATAATTTTTTGTGATTAGAGAATTTAAGGCATCTAATTTGCAAGCTATAATATTCGCCAAATGGTATTAACCTGAATGATAGAGTAAATGACCAAATGTTTGTAGTAAAGATATAGAAATTTGTGTTGTCACTAAGATAAATCCATGACATGTTGACTATTCTGTGAGGGGTACATTAAAAAAAATCATTACTATATTTACAACATCATGAATGTTATAGTTGCTTCCTAAGCCTGAGAGCCATACATCACTGCTCTGACGCTTTCAAAAGGAAGTTCTTGTCCCAGGCTAACACATCCAAAAGATAATGCATTGAATATGTTTGTTAATTTCTGTCAGTAAGTGCAATTCAATTGGTTTCTAAACAAAAATATATTTTAGGATTAGATGGTACTCTATAACCATGTGGCCAAGAGGGCAGTAACATGATTGAAGTCAGCAATTTACTGCAAGGCGAATGGGGAATGCAGACCTATATCCAATCATTCTTTAGTTAAGGTGAAATAAACTTTCAGAGTTTGTCATCATGGCTTTTAACAGAAGGCTTGTGACTAAAACTGTGGTATATCATGAAATGGTTCAGATTCTTGTGAACAGCAGGTAATCTACAATGCATATTGTATATCACCTTTAATTTTTGTGATTGTTTATTACAATGTATGGAGAACAAAAAGAGGTAATAGGTGCAGACCTTTCATTCCTGTAAAGCCCCTAGGACCTCGATACCCTAATCTTCCAGTGCTTCCTTTCTTGCCACGATAGCCTGGTCTTCCTGCCATACAAACAAAGTACGATGATGAGTTTATTCACTTCAAGAAAGTGGAGTGCATGGCTCCATAAAAACACATGGGTAATTTTGAAGCCAGATTTCTATTACAATAAATCTCAAATAAGTCGTATCAGTTGGGACCATACATTTAATATGCCTTATGCAAAGCATGAGTTATGTCAAATCTGTATAGAATATAAATTTATTTTAAGACTGCAGAACTATTGACTGAATTCAATAATTTGTGCAAATTCTGAAACTCCAAGCAAATAGAGTAAATTTAGACCCAGGTAGTATTTCTCCCTGTAAAGAGTATGAATTATATTGTAAACTCACGTGCTCAAAACGAATAGAATCTTTACCTGCAGTATTAATGGAACTGAAGACTGCAGAGCAAAGGACACAAATTGGCAGTCTCATTGGTACAACTCATGTTGTCAATTCATAACATGTCTACAACCTGAGAGGTGCCTCTCAACCCAACAACCTTGTATGAACATTCCTACAGTAGTCGTCATTTTAATATGTTGATTTATGGATTTTTATTCATATTTAGTTGCACAATTCATTATGAAATCGGCTGAATAGGAAAAAGTTATGTTTATAGAGAGGAGTAAACCCGCATTTAATGAGCCATGACAATGTGAGGGTGGAAAACTACTGTGGAGAGATGTACAATTTCAGGAATGTAAGGCAAGACGTGTGAAACCCAACTTTAATTAGCAGGAACTCAGCAGAATACACAATTGCAGGTTTAACATGGAGTTTATTTTAAAACATGGTGTCTGTGCATAAATATATGTATGTCTTTCACAATTGGATTGCAAGTTCACCTATCCTAATATCTATTTCTAATGTTACACTATTATTCCATTAATGATGGAAATTGTTGCTATTTACTATGAAACAAACATTACAAAGTGTTGCCTGAGCCGGCATAAATCCTGAGCATTTCAATGCCTCTCTATAAAAACAACATACAAATGTAATACCACATGTTCTGGATGTGTGCAATTATGCATCATGCACTGAACTCTTAAATCAAGTGTTGGGCTTTTTTTTTACCAGCCAATAGAATGAGGAGCAGAAATGTAAATCAGGCTTACTGCTACACATTACTCTACTGCTGGAAACAAAGTTACCTTGCTTCGAATTATAATGAACGTTTGTTACGTACAAGTATTGGTGTTGCATACTGGCCCATGTCCGAGCCTAGATCATCCCAATATTAAAATTGTATTTAGTTGAATATCTTAATAGGAATCTTTGTGGAGTCCTGTAGCTCAGTAGTTAGAGCACTCGCTTTGCAAGCGAGAGACCTGAGTTCAATTCCAGGCAGAGGGCGAAACCTTGGGCAAGTTTCCTTACTCCACACAGAGCCTAATAATAATCCCTCCAAAACCAAAAACAATAATAAATTGGTCATTTTCAATCTACGACTGTTTGTGGGACATTGCTGTGCGCAATTGGCGGCCGCGTTCGCCCACAAATATACAGTCAATTCACTTTACAGTGTGTTCTGTGAAGCGCTTTGGGACGTCCTCCCGACGTGAAAAGCGCTATATCAAATGCAAGGATTATTATTATTATTATTAACGTGGTTCAGTCGAATTCTTTGGGGTTGGGTTCACCTATAATTTTAAACAAAAGAGCACAGAGTAGAACATAATGTCCTTTTACATCTTTGTCATTCTTCTTAATATTTAATACTTGATAGTGACAAAGTTTACACGTCTCCTTGTAGTGTTTGTGATGAGTTCATCATTCAGTTTGGGAAATGTGATAATATGTGTCTATAATTCCAGTGCACAAACCAGCTTGTGACACCAGCATCAGCCAACTTGTGGCATGATCCAAAACCCATACTCGCAGCCTGCCCAAACATTACATAATTCACTCACAGGAAAGTCATTCAAACCTAAAAAGGTTAATTCAACCACAATTCCTGTTCAAGACTCGCATTTATTAACAAATTCATTGTTGATTACTTCTGATATTGTACCTGGTGGTCCTCTGTCTCCCTTATCTCCTTGGGGTCCATCACTCCCTTTTGGCCCTCTGCAGTGCATGCAGACACAGTATGATGGCACCATGTCCGTACTGTAAGGGTACTCTTGATCGGGAACGGGACACAGATTGTATTCGAAAGCCGGATCTGAGAAATCACGGGATTTTGGTATGGTATCATTGTCAGGAGACTGAGCTTCCGCTAACAAGAACACAGACAGTAGTGCCACAACATGCAGCATTGTAACACCCATTTACAAACCTGGTGGAGAGAAAATCCAGAACTAATTATTTATAGCACAATCATTGTGACATAAAGACCAAACACATTAGATATAATATATTGAGCAAATTTGTTATCCAAGAAAAACTATTGTTGAAAATTAACTGGTAATCCTGCAGCACTGCCCAGGTCATGTACTTTCGATGATTGAACTGTACCTTATTTACTCTCTGCCTAAAAGTAAGACAAATAGGAATAGTTTATTCCACTGTGTTCATTTATTATCCTATTCATCCATCCCTCCCTCTGCACGCTCTATAGGATGGCCAAATAATAATAATTCTTGTATTTGATGTAGCACTTCATTCCATCAAAATGTATTCAAGTGCTTCACAATAATTACTGTTAAGTATAGTGACTGCATTTTTGTAGGTGACCCCAGCATCCAATTGGTCTCAAACAATGTCCCAAAATAGCCAGGAGGTGAAAGACCAATTTAACTAGAGGATTTGTTATTTAGGACATTGGGAGAAATTCTCTTCTCTTTTGAAATAGCCGAAGATAGGCAAACAAGACCTCAGATTAACATCTCATCCGAAGGATGGCACCTCTGGCAATGAAACACTCCTCAACACTGCACTGGTCAGTCAACCATGAGTTCCAAATTCCCAACATGGGACTTGAACCTACAACCTCCTGACCCAAAAGCAAGCATGCTAGAACTGAGCCAAGCTGACACTAAAGGCTTTTTTTCTGGCTCCTTGCTTTCTTGCTTTTATCCATGTACTGCCAATATGCTGGGTACTCAGAAAAGCTTGATAATAATAATCCTTGCATTTGATATAGTGCCTTATCACGTCTTCTAGACGTCTCAAAGCTCTTTGTGTTTTATGAGAAAAAGACCAGGAGCTGGTCTCACATGCCTCCTAGTGACTGGACAGTGAAAACATTTTATTTTAGGAACTACAAATAAACAGCTTCAAAGTCTGACAGAATTCAAAAAAAGCAAAATTCTGCATGCTCTGAAATGCTACAAAAATGCTGAAATATCTAATAACTGGAATTACTCTCCTGCAATACATGTGGGAGAATGGATTTACTGCTAACAGAGACTACAGGTAGAAGAAGATTCCAAAATCAAATGGAATGGTGTACACTTCAGGGTAATAACCAAGAGGGCATTTTACTGCCCTCTGAACATAGCTACAACCTTCAGAAATATATCTTCCAATAAAATGTAGTAGTTGGGGATTAGCAGTAAATCCTTTGTGATTTTATCTAATATCTGGACTTCTCAGTCAGGATATTTGCACATAAGCTTTAAGCACTGGATGTTGATATGTTTGCCAGGATGGTCTGAAAACCACTGCCGTATAAACATCCTGGAACAGTGAGCAATTAACCAGTTAAGAACTTTAATTGTACCTCACTGAACTTCACAATATCCTAAACAGGACAACTCTGGTTCTCTCTGACTATATCAATGGTGAGTTCTTCTCAAACATTTGCCAAACTTTGGCATCATCACAACAACTTTTCTAAACCTCAACATATTTGCCATCCCTTGAGCAACAGCACACTTCATGGTAGCATTTGTCCCTAGAAAGCTGGCATTTGGCGATGAGTTTCCATTAAAAACTTTGCTACAGAGGGATTCAAAATATATTATGCAGGAATTACACAGTGAGAATATTTACAGGGGCTATAGCTGATGCAAATCTCCACATTGGGTGCATAAAATGCTATATCAAATGCAAGAATTATTATTGCCACAAAAATAACTGAGATGGACTATGTACATTGTATTTACGAAGTATTTTATCTCTATGTATGTAGTATTTCAATTTTATTCACAAGAGATGATGAATGTTATTTAAATTGATTAAGTGCCCGAGTTAAAAATCAAAAGTTGATTTTTAATAAAAATTGCTCTTACCTGTTGAGACGCAGATGTCTGGAACATTAAACCTTCCGCTAGATCTGACCTAACAACTTGTGCAGCGTTTGATTTTATAGACCCCCTTTCCCAGGTGATGTTATTATGCATCAAAAAAACTATTCAAAGCGACCTAGTTACAACAATAATGTAGAATTGGGGCATTTTCCCAGAACTTTTTTTTTAACAAAGTAAAATGATGCTTTATTATTATAATCATTAGGCTCAAATTTCCGCTATTACTCCATCTTTAGCTTGATGTTGGAGAAAAGAATATGATAAATATCTGACCTGGTTATTACATTTAAGTATAGGTTACCAACTACTGAACTGTTGCAATAAGCCATTTTGATTCCGTAAATTTACAAAAGATAATTTGACCTCAAAGGGGAATTTACTTCATCTTTCCAATAAAATTATTGATTTTGGTTGGGGTGGGATTCATGTTACATGAATTCTAACAAATAGATTAATTATTTGTCGAAGAAATCTAGTTTTGGCTGCTGTGTTTGCCTATTAAATGCACACACTATACTTTACAAACATCCTGTGAAACACTTTGACATGTTCTCTCATTCCGAAGGCACAATATCAAAAGTAAGGATTATTACATATTTACCATTAGTGCTATGCTGGGCACTTTCTTACAGATAATAAAGGGTAAACTAGGATGGGAAGTCAAAAAATTGGTTTCAAGAAATAGTCTTTGAATCAGTACTTCGGGATGTCTTCTCGATGTGAAAGGGGCTATATAAACTAAATTGTTGTTTTGTTTGACAACAACATCTTGTTACATCAACTTAAATCACCCGTTGAATGTAGTACAGATAAAAAGATTCAAGAATCCTTGAGTCACCGATAAGTCTGATTGTGAATGAGGGTTCATTATAATTAAGTTCTGAGTTCCTACAAATAAAAACCACATTGGAAGAAGTTAAATATGATAACTGATCATCTGAAGAGATCTCATGAATGAAAGTTTCATGAACACATTTTAGCAATACTCTACTCCTCTGTGAGGAAGATCATATTTGACACGAAAGATACAAAGAATAATTGGATCAGTTAGAGTTAGGCTCTGGCAGCATCAACCTCCATGGTTGAACACTTCAACTCACCAAGCCAGTTAGGAACCTGGGTGTCTTGCTTGCACCTCAACTGTCTTTTCTTTCCCACATCCAAGCCATGACCCGCTCTGCCTTCCTTCACCTCCATAACATCGCCCAACCCCACCACTACCTCACCCCTCAGGCCGCTAAAACTCTTGTTCTTGCGTTCATCACCTCCAGGCTTGACTGCGCAAATGCCCTGTTTGTCGGCCTTCCCAACTTCTCCCTCCACAGGCTGCAGATAATCCAGAACTCTGCAGCCCATGTCCTCTCCCGTACTAAACTCCATGGCTCCATCTCCCCCACTCTCGCCCGACTCCATTGGCTCCCTATTTTTCAGAGGATCCAGTTCAAGATCCTGGTCCTCACCTACAAAGCCCTCTGTGGCCTCTCCCCACCCTACCTCTGTGACCTCCTAACCCCCTACCAACCCGCCCGCTCCCTCCGCTCAGCCGGCTCTGGCCTGCTCCACGTCCCCCGAACCACCTGACCCACCATTGGCAGGAGAGCCTTCGGCCACTCTGCCCCCAACCTCTGGAATTCCATCCCCCAATCACTCTGCCTCGCCCCCTCCTTAGCCTCCTTCAAGTCCCGCCTCAAAACCCTCCTCTTCGACCATGCCATCGGTCAGCCCCCTTCCCCTTCCCTCCTTTCTCCCTCCCTGACCCCAGTTCGGGTCTGAAATGCTATACTCTGTCCACCGCCTTGGGATGTCCTCCTGACGTGAAAGGCGCTATACAAATGTAATCTTCTTGTTGTTGTTAGTTGCTCATTGCTGTCCATTTGCAACTTTTAAACCTTCACTCAGTTTCATTTATAAACTAGTCTTGGCTCCTCTGTTCCTTTTTTATCCTCTATTTGTTTGGAATCATTTTCAGGTCAGGCTCAAGCAAGACTCTAATGGCAATGTTAGATGAGCCACTTTAACAACAATACCTGATCTTTTCACTGGGCTTTTGTTGCCCCAAATATGTTAGGAGATAAATTTAATCTCAGGAAGTTTATTAATTATTGATATCATAGAAGACTATATCCCCTGAAGCAGACATTCCTCTGTCAATTCTATTAGCATGAACTGTTTCTTAAATTGTACCATAAGAATAAAAACTGTTTCCCTAAGATAGTTTCCCAGATCTCCACCATCAAGATTATAGCAGAACTCACCTATCCCCAAATGATCTGAAACTTTTCTAACCTAATACACTGACACCCCCCACCTTCCAAGAGCTCAGGTTGTCCTTACAGTCACAAGCCACTTATTGTAAAATCTCCCCATTTGAATAAGTCTCAATTTATAGATAGAACTACCAACTCTTTCCCTGCCAATCCCTTTCCTTCTTGACCAAGAAAATAAATCATTGTAAACCCAACTCTGGTTGTAATCATTCAGTACAAATTAAAGTATGTTCAAAGTCTTAAAGGGGCATTCTCTTCATAAATTAATGAAACAATGTGTGGCAAACCTTATTTGTTTGTGAAGGAGATGAGCCAGAATAAATACATATTATTTGTATATATAACGTAATGTGGAAATGATGTGTTGATAATTCTTAACAGAATTGGCACCATAGTGTTACATTGTGTTACATTATTTACTGAGTTACTCACATGCATATACTTTATGTTGTGTTACAATGTTTATCGTGTTATAGCTTATACAACATTATGCCTCAGTTCATACCACAGTCACATACTGTTAGTTTATTTCTGATAATTGATATGGCTGTAATTGATAGTGTTGTACTTTAGATTTTAGAATGTTTTATAGTTTCGTATAAATAAGCTGCTTACATCAGTCTCATTGACGGTTCATATCCACCATATCTGTTGATCTATGAAAACAAGTTCATTTCTATGAGCTTTTCCTTATAACTTAGAGATAAGAGTTCTAAACATTCATCAATGTGCAATGTAACTTTGAAAGCAGCATAACTATAATTAAGCAAAAGAGGGATAATCATGCAAAGGTTGGGA